GTGCGATAATGTGTTTGCTCTGTGTTCCATGTAACTCTGTGCAGAGCAGTTTTAATCGATGACAGGGGCGTGTGGATGTGGAGGTGTGCAGCCGGGAAAGTCCCATCCCATTTTATCAGACAGAAGAGAGAGGGGGGGGAGGAAGGAGAGGGAGAGACGGAGGGAGGGAGAGAGGGAGAGAGAAAGAGAGAAGGGGAATTATAGAGGAATGAGAGACGGAGAAAGGGAGAGGAGAGAGGGAGACAGGGGTAGAGGGGAACAGAGCGAGGGAAGGGGAAGAAAGAGTTATGGAGGGAGAGAGGAAGGATGAGAGAGAGAAAGAGAAGGGGAGATACAGAGGAATGAGAGAGGGAGGGACAGAAGATCGGGAGGGAGAAAGGGGAGAGAGGAGGGGGGATATAGAGGAAAATGACAGAGAGAGAGGAGTCGATGAGAGAGGTACGAAAGAGCGGGGAGAGAGAGAGGAAGAGGTGAAGAGGAGAATGGGAAGAATGAGATGGAAAGGGAATATTGGAGAAATAGAGAAATGAAGGAGGACGAGAGAAAGAGAGTAAGGAGAGAAAGGTGAGAAAATAGAAATTTGGAGAAAGATAAGAAAAAGGAAGGAAGAGAGGAGAGAGATAATAGATTGGATAGAGAGAGGAGTGAGAGAGAAAGATAGAAGAGGAGAGCGTAGACAGAGATCTGCAGATTCGAGTATCACAACTGTAATTAGTTATAGTCAGTTAACTGAAAATAAATAAAATTCACTCCATCTATTTGTCTACTGTGAAATTCTGAACAAGAAAACAATTTAATAATAATATAATTAAAGATTCTCAGATGAAACAGTAGTCTAACCTGTTATGTGCTTTGTGACACTTCTATTTAAGTGTCTTCAAGGAGATGTTGCTTTGCCTGGAATATTCCACTGCATGGCATTAAACTTGTGAAGAATTTATTTGATGACAGATGTTTTTATTGCTCAAAAATATCTTGGAAAAACATGCATTCAGAGTACTTGTTTGTCTCCATGGAGATAGATAAATTTACTGCCATACTATGTAACATTCCAGGCAAAGCAATTACTACCCCCTAAACTGAAGTGCAGAACAGAGCTTAAAGGTGCACTCTATAACTTTTTGTTTTTAGCGCCCGTCACCTGCTTGTTTCTATGGATATGTCATTGCTCTGCTTGGAATGTTCCACAGTAACTTTAAACACTCTACTTTACATTTTTCCAATTACAGGTGGTTTTATAGCTCAAGAATACCTAGAAAAAACAGGCATTCTGACTGTGAGCAGGGTCGCCTCTCCACAGATCTGACCTTGTAGCTTGGTCTGGTTTGGTCTTCCATAAAGATAGAAAGGTTTAATGCCATACTGTGAAACATTCCAGACAAAAGCAGTAACATCTCCATGGAGAAAAATATTTGACAGACCCTCTACCAGAAAAGTTACATAATGCACCTTTAAGTTCACCTCAACACTCAGGTCCTGGTTAAAACAAACAAAGATGTACCCACTTATATAAATATTGTATTGTGTGTGTGTGTGTATGTGAATGTGTGTTTGAATGTGGGAAAGTCTGAAACATGAAAATGTTCTAAATATGTGTAAAGTGCTTTAAAATGTTGTAAACTCCTGGGAATTGAGAATTAGAACAAACTACACCTCTGCTTGTTCTGCCTGTGACTATATATGACTGCATTATCCCTGTGAAAAAAAACAAAAACAAAAAACTTTAACACCAGTGCTCTAACTCTTTTCTACCTCTTTCCTTTTATCCAGATTTGGGAAACGCATGATGTGGAGAAGCAGACCGTGTATATGTATGTATTGAATTCACTGGAAAACTACCCATTTTTTCCCCCAGGATTCATGAGAAATTTTGTCTTAAAGAAAACATAAATCAAATACACAGTCAGTGGGATGTCTTGACCTCCTCGTCTTAACTTAAACAGATTTTTAAAACAAATCTTTAAACCCTAAAACTGCCCAGAGATGTTAGTTACTCGATCCTTATCACACTGACCCCTTTCTTTTATTCATTATATGAGATACTGGAGGTCAGATTTTACGTGGATCTGATCATGTCACCGTGAGACCTCCATGTTTGGACATTTAAGACTTTGAAGTTTTATGCGTCCCCTTGTCCCTTAGCGTAATGGCGTCCATAAAGAAAGACAACACGGAGCTCGTAAGCACGTTTATATGTTTAAACTATAAAGAGCAAAGGAAAAACATGAAGGGAATGTGGCTATGTCAAAGGTATCAGTGTTGGCTCTTAAAAGTGCACATAAAAATCTTGATAAACAAACAAAATTAACAGAGAGGGGGTGTCCCAATGGTATACCAAGGTGTCATTTGAAACCTCTTCATGGAGATGTTACTGCTTTGCCTGGAATGTTCCACAGTATGGCATTAATCTTATCTCTCTTTCCATGGAGTCAAGTAGGTAACGCAACCAGGCCAAGTTACAGATCTCTGGAAATTGACCCCTCTTCGCAATAAGAATGCAGGTATTTATTTAACAACAAAATACCCGTAAATGAATGAATGCTATATAGATAAGTTTAATGCCATACTGTGGAAAATTCCAGGCAAAGAAATAACATCTCCATGGAGATAAGCAGATGATAGAACCCCCACCAGTAAAGTTACATATTGTAACTTTAAGAGCAGACCAACGAAATGGTAATAAATGTAGGAATTCCAAAAACCAAGGTCACCATAGTAATTTAGTAAAATAACTACAAGATATTGCTGCATTATAATGAATGTACTCCTTTTTGCCTTACAAACTCCTCAGAAACAAAGTTGTGGTTTATTAGAGAATTTATTTTCAACATTTTCTGAATTTTTAGACTGATTTTTGATTATAGCAACGTGTGTAATGTAACAATGGTTGGATATAGGTTTCCTGTTTTTTCCTGTTTTGCTTCTTACTGAGATATCCCTTCTTAATCAGCCCATAGCTCCATTTTGTAACATGGCAAAAAGGCAATCCAGTTCTGCAGCCTTTAATACAGTAAACATAGAATCATATATATGTAACTTTTAACAGTGAATTTTAAAGTTACCTGTGGATTTTTGGTATTCATGGAGTTCAACTTTTTTATTATATGCAGACTTTTACTGACTTTCCCATTCAAAATATGTAATATTTTGTTTTAAATTGTTGATCGTTATGGCAAAAGTCAATTTTTTAAAATCATTCTGACACCCCTGGATACTGTCTTGTTCAATATAGACATTTGCCATCTGTTACTACTTCTATATAAAAGATCAAGCCTATATGGTCTTGAAGAAACTGTCAGTGTTATTTCTCCACTCAGTTACCATCAGTAGTACTGGCATTATATTAAACCAAGTTCACTTCTGGTGCTAATTGCAAAACCATCTTTGAAACTTGCAAAAAAATGTATCAATCTGTAATAGAGATGGGGCAAGATCTAATGCCACAAGATCGAGCAGACATGAGGAAAATTATCTTGTATGATTTTTTTCCTCACATTTTGCATTTGTCTTGGATAAAAAATGCTGAGTAGCTCCTCTTGAGAAACACGAAATAATAACACCAAAAAGTAGTGCTAGAACGACAGCAAAAATTGTTAAGTCAAAATTGTAAACTACAATTTATTTATTAAAAATTATATAAAAATCTCATCTTGATTTCGTGGGCCTAATCTTGTGACAGGTCTCGTCTCGTACAAATTGTGTCTCATCCCATCCCTAATTCCAAATATTTATATGATTGATAATTTGGTAAGAAAATATAGGTTTAACATTGAAAACCTGTAAGCATAATATTCCCCACAGTGATTTGAATTTGTCACGCTCCACTCTCAGTATCCACTGCTGCAGCCAGACCCTTCTTTAATAAATCTGGAACCATTCTGTAACCCTTAATGTCAGCATTGTACTGTTTTAGACCTATGGATAGGACACCATTAAGTAAGGAATATCTCATTAAAGTGAGCAACTGATACTTTGCAGATGATGTCATCAGCATTCCCTGGGGGTGTGATGCTAACTAGAAGCACTCTGTCTGAAGTTCTGTTACTCAAGTTAGACTTAATCTGAGCTTCATTTTAGCACAATATGACCAACAGGTGAGATGATCTGTGTGCTAAAAAAGTCCCACACATAAAATTACAGTCAAAGGCTAGCTAACATTAGCAACAGTTTTTCATTTAGTCACTCTCACCTTTTTGTTAAAAATCAATCACCTAAACAGGACCATGAATGCTCATATTAATCACAGGCTCTAAACTTTTTTTTCTTTTCTTGAGTTTTCAGACTTAAAACATTTTTGACAGTTTTTGCTAATGTGTACATTGCATCACCATGGTAACTGTTGAACATTCAGCCAAAAGAGATAAATGAGGAACCCCCCAACATGATTTCACTGCAGTATCAACAGGAGCTGTCGTTGGTCATTGTTACTATCACTACTCAAACTCATGTATACAGTGCTTCAGTCTATACATTTTTCTAATGCTTTTTCTATAATCAGTGTGTCTCTAACTGTAAAAATATATTCTCAAATAAATAAATATATAACATAAATATACGTATGTAAAGTGAATAAATAATTTCTTTTTTACATGTTGCTTTTTCTCGTCAAAGTCCAGCTGAAAAATAAGCAAGTTTCCTTCAAGCTCCTCATTCCCACGTTATAGGGCTAGGACTGGGTTAACAGTGGCCAAATTAAAATGGCTCACTTGTGCTTGCTTACGTCCTATAGGTACATATCCGCCCGGGTGGAGTTAGTGTTTCCTCATTTCTCTTTCATCTCCTCTTTGCACCGAAACAAGCGCACCCTCAACACGAAGAGTATTTGGACGCTGTCTTCCTGACCTGTTGAGAGATGGACTTTTTGCATTCCTCCAAGGGGCCCCATTGGCTCTATCCCTTGGGTAGTAGCAAGGCATATCCTCCTTTAACTGCTACTGTCTTATTCCAAGTCAGGGTAGCTCATTTGTTTTGGTAACTCCTCAACAAAACTCCACGCATTTTCAGCTATGTCCCAGAATATCCTTGTACAGTTCAGGAACACGGTCTGGGTCCACTGGTCTTGGTAAAAAGTGTGTGAATTTTTGGTGTCTTCGAGATTTTGTCCCATCTCGAGGCGTTCCATCTTTGTTTAGAGCCACAAAGTATCGTGTCCCTCTCTCTCCGTTTTTGTACAAATTGGAGGAATAAGTGTTGTACCAGTTCTCCTCAAACTGCTCCCGGAAAATACATTCTGGTGTGAGTTGTTCCTGAAAATAACAAAAGAGAATTAGAAGTGTTTTTTGTTGTTTGTTTTTTTAAGAAGGGTGGGGGGTCTGTCAAATGATTTTCTCCATGGAGATGATAGTGCTTTGTCTGGAAGGTTTCACAGTATATATAGTATTAAATGTTATCTTCATGGAAACCAAACCAGACCAAGTTACAGGTCAGATCTGTGGAGAGGTACCCCACTCACCGTCAGAATGCCTCTTTTTTAGGTATTTTTGAGCTATAAAAAAACCTGTAACTGAATAAATGTAAAGTAGAACTGTTTAATATCATACTGTGGAATATTTCAGGCAGAGCAAGCAAGTGACAGACCCCCAACAAAAAAGTTACATAGTGCCCTTTTAACACTGTTCATTCAGTTTTTGACATTTTATGCACAGTGACAGTCCCAAAAATAATCAGGCACGTCAAGATTAAGCAACATCTTATAGGACCCTAGAGATAAAAGCGCTTTTGTAAAGAAACACAATTCAAACTTTTAACTCATGTAGTGTTATTTAAGAAAAAAATAAACAAGTGCACAGCATAATCTTTTGGTGAAGAGCACCTGCTTGTCTCCATGGAGATATTAGTGCTTCAACCATGGCCATACCGGCTTGTAAAAGCCTGATCCCGTCAGATCTCAGAAGCTAAGCAGGCCGGGCCTGGGTAGTACTTGGATGGGAGACTGCTTGGAATTCCAGGTGTCACAGTGGGGCACCAGTGGCAAAAAACTGTCGTTGTGTCCTTAGGCAAGACACTTCACCCACATTGCCTAGTATGAAAGTGGTGTGAGCGTGAGTGGTGGTGGTGGTCAGAGGGGCTGATGGTGCAGATTGGCAGCCTTGCTTCTGTCAGTCTGCCCCAGGGCAGCTGTGGCTACAGTAGTAGCTTACCACCACTGAGTGTGGAGTGACTAAATAATGAACTGTAAAGTGCTTTGGGTAACATGAAAGATGCTATCAATCAATTAATCAACCACAGCATGTCATTTAAAGGTCCATATTAACAAACCCTGAATATTTAGGCTGAGATCTTCTCTCAAACATAAAATACTCTGTTGCACTTTGTGATGTCATGTGGTAATACAGGAAGTGCTCCATGTTTTTTTTTTTTTAACTCAATACTTCACTAGAATCATTTGGATGATTTTAGCCCTGGGATTGCCAATATCTACTGAACAAAAGGTAAATATTGCTGTTAACTTAAAAACTGCAGCTTCATGACATCACAAGGTGGAACGGAGCATTTTGAGCTTTGGAGATGTACACAGACTATTACTCAAATGTGTGACTGAAACAAAACACAACTCCAGATGTTTTTGATGAGGTAACAAGATTATAACATGACTTAAAGCTCACCATTTAAGACCTTTAAACATATCTTTCCAATATATATTCTATTACAGGTGCTTCTATCGCTCAAAATTCCTAGACAAACATTCTTACTGTGAGCATGGTCACCTCTCCACAGATCTGACTTGTAACTTGGTTGGCCTGCTTGTTTCTATGGAGACTGATAGGCAAAGCAAAATCACCCTCTCCATGGATAAAAGCAGGTGGCTTACCTTCCTCCAGAAAAGTTAGGCAGTGCACCTTTAGCAATCCATAGCAGTCAAATAATTTAAAACTGTTTCTCTCACCCATTTAGTTTTTTGTCACTTGTATTGTAATACACATTTAGGTTCTACAAAATAGCACCAAACATCAAATGACAGAGTTTTTGCAGAGTGAATAGATAAAAACATGAAATAAGATAAATAAAATTTAATATAGCTTGCCACAGTTCTGAATGTGCTTGTCCAGTGGAACTCGATTTAGCTCAAATTGTGACTATTGCTTGTAGCCTTTAGTCTTTAGCATTACACATATATTTAAAGCTAATTACTAAAATTACACTGGCCGATGGTGTGCAATTTATTGTAGAAAAGTATTGCATGTGCATAACTGATGTCACCATGTTGTATGCCTGTAGTTTGCGAGCACTACATGGCCTAAACGCTATTCACACAGATATATCACAATAGAATAGTAGTTTAAAGGGCCCATATTACGCTGTTTTCTAATCAATTTTACATCATTTCCTCATCAAAAACATACCTGAAGTTGTGTTTTGTTTCATTCACACATGTTTAACACAAAAAACTTGCATATTTAGGCTAAGTTCTTCTCTCAGACAAACACTCTGTTGCATCATGTGGTAATACAGGAAGTGCTCCACTGTGATTTTAAACTTCGTGCACCTTCACCAGAATCATTAGGTTAATTTCAGTCCTGGAATCTCTAATCAATCTCTACTGAAAGGTAAAAGGTAGATGTTAACTTGAAAGCTTCATGACATCACAAGGTGGAACAGAGCCTTTTGAGCTTTGGAGATGTACACAGACTAATAATAAAGGGTTACTCAAACGTGTGAATGAAACAAAACACAACTCTGGGTTTGTTTTGATGTTGTAACAGCATTGTAACATGGCTAAAAGCTCACAAGAGTCAGTTTTGCATAATATAGAACCTTTAATTATAAAAAGTACTAAATATTGTCCATGTTTCTGTACGTACTGATCCATAGAGCTCCCCCTTGTCGTTCATTCCCAGGTACAAGCCACTGTCAACTCCTTTAATGCTGATTAGCCCCACCGCCAGGCTAATGAACTCCAGGATCCCTGAGAGAGAGAGAGAGGTAACAGTTCAAAAGTGGCTTCAGATGAAAGAGCTTTTCTTTGGGACTGATAAGTAAAGATTGTGGTTTTATGCGTCAGGTATCAAGGCAGAACATGTGAATGGACAATAGAGGGCATTTTAAAGGTGCACTGTGCAACTTTTCAGGTGGAGGGTCTGCTACCTATTTGTCTCCATGGAGATGTTATTGCTTAGCTTGGAATGTCCCAAAAATTATCCAGATAGCATTTATTCATTATGGGTGTTTCTATTGCTCAAAAATACAATAATTTGTTCTGTGAATAGAGGCGACTCTCCACAGATCTGAACTGTAATGTAGTGTAGTGCAGTGAAATGCTTGTCTCTTGTGATAGATAGGTTTAATCTATAATGTGGGACATTCTATACAAAACAATAACTTTTCCATGGAGACAAACAGGTGACGGACCCTCCACTAGAAATGTAACGCAGTGCAACTTTAATATGGTGATGTTTAGAAATTTTATACAATTTGTTGATATGTTTTATCACTTTTAGTAGCTTTCAGATAAACGTAATCACAGTAAATTATGAAAATGTCTGAATTTGAATTAATCTAATTACATGTCTACACTGGAAAGTAAAATACATGTAAGATGCACAGTGCTAATTTTACTTTATTTTACTACAAACTTACGGGAAAAAAGTCAGTTTTCATTTGCAAATTCAGGATGCAATGCGACATATTTAGGCTGGTATATAGTGTAGAAAATATGAATGAAACTCTTCTCATCTCAATATATACAAAATCTACAAAGTCTTTTCATATGCCAATAAAAGTGAGCTATTTAAATATACCCTAGCAAATAAAATATACTGAATATTAACATGTCTTCCAGTTAGTTTTACTTTTTGATATGGGGTATGCATAAAATATGAGAATCAAGAATTGCACAAAATAGTTACCAAATCTGCTGTGATCCTTCCTGGTCCCCTGCACAGTCCCGTCTGGAAGTATCTCCAGGTGAAAGCCCGTCCTACAGTACAGCTGCCTCCGCCTCAGAATCCCTTTGAGGTGCGTGAGATCCGTCGTGGTGCTCCGGTAGAGTCTATCCCCCGGTGCAAGTTGGTCCCCAAAGAGCGCCGGACCATCCCCTTGCAGCGCGGGCAGGTAGTAATGGGACCCCACCTGCGGTAGACCATCCACACCGTGCAAAACGCCTCCAACTTCCCCTAAAGATAGTGCGACAGAGCCGGACGCAGCTGCTGCCATCGCCACCAGGTATAAAGTTCAATTAGGAGCGTATGCAACTACCTGGCTGCTACTGTTGCATGTTGCGCGCGAGATAAAGCGATTTCTTCCATTTAACATAAGAAAAACGCGCCGATATATGTCTTATTCTCACGTTTTATCCATTAATTCAAGCAATATCCAGTCATGAAATCTGCAGAAAGGTCCATGGATAAGGAAAGTGGTTGCTGTAGAGTGTAGCGCACGAGTAGAGGAGGAGAGGCGCAGGTAAACGGGGCTCGTAGAGTGGTGGGGACTGAGTGAGGCAGGTGCAAAACCACAGGACAGAGAGGGGCGGGGCGGGCGGTTCAGACGTGCCCTGGCAGAGACTCACCTCCTTCCCGTGAAGCGTAAAATAAAAGGTAGAGGGACAGACGCGGGGAGGAGGAGAGGAGCGGGTGGTTAATGAAAAAAAAGGATACCCATTGTACAACGCACTATGGCTACTTTATTAGTCAGTTATAGGCACGAATAGGTATATCAGACATCTTTTGTGTGGATACCTGTATGGTATTCCGTGGCTCAAACAGAGGGATAAATAATGGGCACCTGCCATTCTTATATAAGACCAGGTGAAATCATTAGCTTAAAGGTCCTATATTAAGCAAAATGGACTCTTGTGAGCTTTAAGCCATGTTATAATGCTGTTAACTCCTCAAAAACACACCTGGAGTTGTGTTTTGTTTCATGTTTGAGTAATCCTGAGTTATTAGTCTGTCTGCATCTCCAAAGCTCAAAATGCTTGTTGCACCTTGTGATGTCATGAAGCGGTAGTTTTCAAATTAACAGCTACCTTATATATATATATATATATATATTATATATTTTTTTTTTTTTAGTTGATATTGGAAATTCCAGGTCTGAAATCATCCAAATTATTCTATTATTCTATTATTCTTAATTATTCTAGTCTATGAAGATGTATGGAGTAAAAACATAGTGGACCACACATTGCCACATGACGTCACAAGGTGGAACACAGTGTTTTCTGTTTGACAGAAGAACTCAGCCTAAATGTGTGAATGAAACAAAACACAATTCCAGCAATGTCTGTGATGAGGAAACAACATTGTAACAGAGATCTGACTATATAGCTTAACCTACATAGCTTATACCCCAATGTTATGCAAGCCTTAAAGGTGCACTGTGTAACTTTTCTGGAGAGGGTCCACAGGTCAGTTTTTCTCCATGTTAATATTATTATTTTTGTATATAAATTGTCCACAATATGATATTAAACTAATCTGTCTTCTATTTATTCAGCTAAGGTTGTGCTTAAAAAAACATCTATTCTTCTGGCTTGCAAGTCTTCATGGAGGTGTACTGTACTGTGTAACATTCTAGGCACATCTCCATGGAGACAAGCAGGACCCTTCACCAGACAAGTTACACAGTGCACCTTTAAATAGCTTTACACAACCTACTTACAACCTTTTTAATAGCAATGCATATGTAGCCTATAATGCATTTATTTAAAGGTCTCAGCTATATTAGCAAATTATTTATTATACATACCAATTTATATTTATAGTATTGGGAAATAAATAAAAAGCTGTAGATTTGTTTTGTAGGGAAAAAGACATGGCATCCCACGCCCACACAGTTAAACAATAAAGCCATAAATAATACAACATTAGTGTTAATAGCGTAATATTTGCCATAGTTGAGGTATGATAAATAGGCCTATAGTTTATTGATTTCCTTTTTCTGTTGTGAGAGGAGATGTACTGTAGCCAATCTCTCTGGAGGGGCGCAGAATCCGACACTACACCAGCGCCTCGTCGCTCCTCCGGCATTTCTCGCGTGTTTTCTCGCTTCACACGGAGCTAAGAGTAAACAGCCATGGCCGCCCTCCGCAGGACCGTCCTGGCTCTGGCTCACAGTGCGAAGAATAATACCCGTACATTTACCGCGTCTGGAGCTGGAAAACAAGCCGATTCAAAGGCAACCAAAGCGGTGAAAGCAGTAGCGGCGCTGGGGACATGTGTCACCGCTGTGGGTTATTGCTATTTCTACAAGCAGCAGGGCAGTGGGCGAGCGGGACTGACCAACCACACCGACACGGGACTCCTGCCTTCGGTCTCAGCAGATCAGGTACACGGGTTTTAATTTCAATTACACTATAAATTGTCTACGCTATACCACATTCATTTCATAAAACGTTAAATTCACATAGATCTACACAAATTCACACATGTTTTTTACTTCAGCTTTCTGTTGTCTCTGGGGTTGCAGTTTGCAATAACTTTGTGTTGCCATGGGAGACAGAATCACACAATTATTCCCATAACAACGACGTAGGCTTCTATCTACAAAGGAACTGTCCCACACGTCGGTGCTGAAGGGCGTCCCCGGTCACGTGACCAAATATATCAGCTGCCATGACCCCCAAGACTGGTCTAATTATAGCGATATTAATTAGGTCACATTATTTACTCTTCATCATTCTACACTGTAGAGATTTTGAAGATGGGATTAGTGGAATGTGTTCATTTGTACACATAACCTATTCCTTATTTGAACAGGGAAAGTCTTATTCAAACAACTACTAGACTAAAAATCTGACTCATCCTTAGAAACTAAAACAATATTGGGAAATAAAAAAGAGCAGCAACATAGTACAGTGTTGCTAGGGTCACTGCAGATTAATACACTCTAACAATATTTTTTTCAAGGCACCCAAATCTCTCAATAACAGAGTTCGCTCATGCACACACACACAGACACACACACACGCACACAAACACAGAACTTTAAACTTTACATGACATTTTGATACTAATTATTTTATCACAACAATATTAAAATATAAGTATTTGACGAGGTGTGGGTGATATCCTAATTTTTTAATTGGGCCTAACTATACTCAGGCATTATTTTGCTAATCCTACAGACGTGTTAAGAACATGGTTTTAAATGTATATAAATTGAGGTTTAAGTATCAAACTAATGTGAAATGACTGTAAAATCTTCCACATAAATGCAGAAAGACCACTTTGTACCTTTCTTTAGGAGAAGGTTTAATCATCTTTATTCAAATATTGCAAGTCTACAAAACAATATTTGCAATAATGATCTATGTTTTGATCATCTGTATAGGCCTATTAAATTCTATAATAATATGGAGCATATTTATGGAGCTCAACAGTGACCGTCCACCAACTAAATTTCACATTCATTTTCCCCATAGACTAATGAGCACAAGATCATTTTATTTAAAGTCTATTTATAAACCGCAAAGTTATTATTTTGCAGAATCTTGCATTTTAAATGGCCTTTGCAGACTTGCCATGTTATGGATAATAATTAGCACGTAGCTGCTTAGCCTTTGCAATGCCTTTGAACTTTTAATATTCTCCCATAAAACACTGGCTTTCTGAATTCATCTTAACCACACACAGCTTATCATGGTCAAATAATATTAGCACAAAATATTAATGCAACACTTTATGTAAACAGACTGAGGTGTAATTGCTCTGTATTTCAGATAGTTGCATTCCAAATACTGTAATTTACATCTGACAATTTCTGAAATTACTGAACAAATTGATTTAAATTTGTGACACACGTAAAGAACTTTCAGAAGTCTTGGAAGGCCCAGGCTAATCCTCAGAGTAGCAGCAGGAATCCAGGGACAGGAAACCGGACACCAGCTCCAGATGAAGGGGCGAGCTGAGATGAGAGGTGGGGTGGAGAGGTGGTTTTGCTCAGGGGGGCATACATTCCCGTGGGCGTCTGCTCTGTGCCCACCAAACCTGGACCAGTGCCACCTCACAGATAGATCCCCTCTCTCCGCACGGCCCCAGCCTCTGATCTGGACATTTGTAGGGACATTATCTACTGTGCGGCGAAGAAAAATAGGCCCAACTGGACTCGCATGCACCCCATTACTGAATTACTGTCCCGTGTGAGCCAGTTTTTTTGTTTTTTTTTTCACGACAGATACAGGCTCGCATTGGTTTTATACAAAGCATCTTTCAGGCATTATCATTACACTGGATATGGTATGAAATGTGAAATTATTTAGGATGTACCAGTTTTCAGATCACTTGGTAGAGTGCGTTATATAACGCTGCATTATGTAGGTTTTCTGTTTGATGGTTTTCTGCTTGTCTCCATGGAGATACTATGACTTTGCCTGACGTATTCCACTATCCACAGTATGGTGTTTAGTTTATGTATCAATCTGCATCAAGACAAATTTTATGTTACTGGTTGTATTACAGTTCAGATCTGTGGAGACGCAACCCTGCTCAAAGTAATAGAGGTGTTGTTTGAATAAACGCAAGATATACAAGTTTAATGTCCTATAGTGGAACATTTCAGGCAAAGCAAAAATAATCTTCATGGAGACAAGCAGCTGAGTTCTGCATTAATTCTGAGATACGACAAGGCATTGACGAGGATTACAATTTAAATCAAAATATTATATCTTTTGATTTTGGATAAAGATCCTCACAAAATCAGGACAAAATAATTTTCTTGAAATCCATTAATATAACCATACCATATTCAAATAACACATTGTGATTATTAGTGACGTGATGTTTGTGAGTGAGTTGACTCTTTGAATGGTTCTTTAGCGTGAGTGGTTGGAATCAGATTTCACTTAAAAAAAAACAAAAAGAATAATAATAATTTTTTTTTTTTTTTCCTGCTTTTTATGCATTTTTATCTTTATTAACCTTGAACCAACACAAGAATCAGCAAAGAAGCAGAGCAGGCACCATTGAGACCATACCACAAAGGAGCTGAAAGTCCCATCACTAATTATTATACAGTGAACTTGTTTTTATGTTTTTGTTTGTAAATGTTTTACACTCTTAATATTTCTCGTGTCCTTTAGGCCCGGACCCCTCGCCTGGTGGATGGGGAGGTCTACATGTCTTCTTATGAAAACAGGTTCAGACTCTTCAGCTCCATCGAGTACGACGGACAGCTCTTCATGACTCCCCTCAACTTCATCGAATCAGTCACTCTCAATGAACCAAAGAGTGAGTCCACCACTGTTTTTCACTGTATTAAAGCAGACCTTTTATGTCAAATAAAAGCTTTTCAAAGCTTTTAACAATGTTATATTTTTATCCCCTTCTCATTTACCCTCTCTTGTTTTTGAGTTTTTGATTGTTTGAGCATGTTTGAGCAATCTTTAATTGCCAATTAAAATGTTTTCACTGCGACATGCCCACTTAATCACTGATACACGTAGGATTCGGCAGCATCATGTACTCATTTTGCTACTGTGTCCAAGTAATTTCCCTTGTGGATCAATAAAGTTTGTGTCTAAGTCTAAATAAATAAAAAAAATTGCTACTCACTAGTGTGACAGGAGATGCGGACTCTCTGCGGTGATCATGTTTGCGGCGACATCAGCTCCCATTGGGCACATCAGTTTTCTAACACGGATTTCAATGAACTTGTTTAGTTTATTAAGTCGTTTTTGATTAATATTGAGATTTAAAATGTCCAAATTCTAACATAATTATCCACGAGTGTCGTAGATTATAACTATATAGCAGACACAAGCACAGTAAGTCTTCTTTAAGCCATTATTGTTATTTCATGTCTGATGTTGTTATTCAGTCCACTGGGGTTAGTAAAGACAAGTACTGTATTAGAGAATATTGTAATCTATACATGTATTATGTTTCCAATACACTACGTTGACCATTAGGATCAAAACAGGAAGTACAAACTATCACATATCACTTATATCATTTTACACTGAATAGAAGCTTGTGCATTTCAATTTGTGGTATCTTGTGTGTCATTAAAGGGCCTTTATTACACTGTTTTCTATGTTATAATATCATTTCCTCATCACAAATATACCTGGAGTTGTGTTTTTTTCATTCAAACATGTTTAACACACGAACTCTGCATATTTAGGCTGAGTTCTTTACTCAAACAGAAAACACCCTGGACCACCTTGTGATGTCATGTGGTCAAACAGGTATATATTTGAGGATTTGAGGATACCACAATATAAATAAAGCCACAAAAGAGTTATAAGATGTGACTATAATCAGTAATTGTGCTCAAATATCTAAAAGCAATGCAAAATACCTAAATAATTTATTATACAATGTCATCTTTTTCCATACAGTATATATGCTTAGCCTTAGTTCCTGTAAAGTAAGGTTGTATTTTTTCCATAGGTGTTGACACTATGTTATTGTTATAAACTGAAGACCACACTCACAGCGTAACCCTTAATCAGCCTGATATATAAACAGTCTATATTTCATTACTGGATTAATTACTGGTACAGCACGGTCTGTTCTCTGCTGACTCTTCTATGCTGCACTGCGATGCTTTCACTCTAATTTACAGCTGAGAAATCCATTTACGTGATTATGCTTAGAGCCCGCTCCTTTTAAGATCACACTCACTGACCTGTTTCTGTGCTGTTGTTGCCTTATTTTTATATATGTCAGTCATCCCTCTGTCACCTTTACTATGTATTTCCTCTCTTTATATCCAAGTTGACTTCTTTTCCATGCATAAACAAACCCACTGCAGCCTCTTGTTTGGCATTTGAACGATTCCCAAGACTTAATATCACCCTGTTGATTTCATTGCTGTAAATTGTGAATTTTGGCAAACTGTTAGCCTTGTAATCAGTAATGGAATTCAATTCAATTAATCAAGCAGGTCATATTTTAAGGATGCACTCTGTAACATTTCTGGTGGGGGAATCTGTGACCTGCGTGTGTCCATGGAGGTGGTGTTGCTTTGCCTAGAATGTTCCACAATATAACTGTGTGTTTTTATAGGTCAAAAATATCTTGAAAAACATCAATTCCTACTGTCAGTAAGATTGCATCTCCATAGATCCCACCTGGTTGAGTCACCTGCTTATCTCCATGGAGAATGATTATGCCATGTTGTGGAGCAGGCAAAGCAATAATAATGTATGATCTTAATGACAATTCAATGTTGTCAGATTTTATTTTCATTTTATTGACATTCAAATGTTAGTGTTGCAGCTGGTACATACACTTTTGAAGTAACTTAGACAAATTCATACACACGTGTGATCCTCACCTCAGAGACCCTTTACTCTCCAAAAACAATGCATTAATCCCCCACATTGACTTCAAAACAGATGCATAAAAAGTTATTTATAACCTGTGATGTTGAACTCTCCCAAAAGGAGCTTTACCAAACAATAGTGACTACAAATGTTTCAGTCATAACACCTGCATAGACTACACAGATACTCATCTTCACCAGCAACCCCACTTCTATGGCTCATTTATGAGGCAACAGGCGGAGACCAAACAATGCACAGCAAAGCCATAAATGCTACGATAAGAATATTTTCATTGTTTTATTTTATAGGTTCAGGGTGAGTGACCTGGAAATGGGCTGCACTTTCAAAGCATGAACTCAATCACTTATTTCAGTCCAGTTTATGTGGCGACAGAGGAAATACATTTTTATGACTAATTGTAAACTGTGATTGAATTGAGTGGCCAAATATGGTCAAATAAGAGTAACATTACTTCATAATAATATTACTTAATCAGAAGTACAAAGTAGTGATCCAAGAAATCAAAAAGTATCTGGAGAATCTACTAATCAAATAAGTAATTGTAATTAGATAACTGTCTGGATGCGTCTGATTTGAACTTGATGTAACTGGCAAAGCAAAACCTTAAATGATGTACAAAACTTTAAATTATGTATTTTCAAAGCATAAACCACAGAAATATGAAGAACTCAATAACATATGAAGGAGCAGTGTAAAAAACACAAATCATTTAGCTTAAATTATTACAAACATAAAGCCTTTAGAAAATTGAACATGGCTGCACCCCGTGTATTGATCAGTTAAAATATTTGATCATACTTGCATTAGTTGCTCCCGTCCTGTGCACCCTAATGTCAACAAAAGCACAAATTCACTCTCAAATGTTGTAATAAATATAAGTAACAAATATAATAAGAATGTCCTGGTTAATAAATTGACCAGCATTTGGCACTTTCCTTGTTTTTTATTGCTTTTAAGTCTGTACTTACATTGTATTGTACTTATCATTGCTTTTTTGCAGCATTAGTCACAGTGAGAAGAGTAACCAAAATGTTTACTCAAGTAACTTCAAACTAAATTACTGAAGTAGGATTAAAAATATGATGTCGGAAAGCTACTCATAGAGGTACAATTGCATTAAATTGTTAAGCAAGTAAATTTAACATTGTACTACCCACCTTTGCATCTAAGATGCATAGTTGCTGCTGCTTCCATCCTCTCTGAATTAAACAAATTTTTTTATGTTTTTTGTTGGCGAAAATACTACTTCTACTTCTTAATGTCATTCGTAATCCATAACCTCATTCACTCTCATGAAGCATGTGACTGAGCGGTTATCAGCTTCTTGTCCTGGTGAAATCTTTGACTTTATGAGGTTTCTGTGTTATCTCTGCTTTATTGAGGGTTGGAATGCAGCCAGGGATGTGTCCATGTAAACAACTGGTTTCACTTTTAATGACCGTGTGTATGTTTATAATTCTTTTACAAAGGTCCCTAATTGTTTCTCTTGTTTTGTTTAGGCCAAAAAGGATGGAGGTCCCTCACTAAAAAGGTGCATTTTCTTTTAAAGGTTCTATATTATGCAAAATGTATTCTTGTGATTGTTTAGCCATGTTATAATGTTGTCACCTCATCAGAAACATGTTTTGTTTCATTAACACATGTTTGAGTGAGCCTGCATTATTAGTTTTTGTACATCTCCAAAGCTCAAAATGCTGTGTTCCACCTTGTGATGTCATGTAGTGGTAGTTAACAGCTACCTTTTACCTTTTCATTCAGAAGAAGATTGGCAATTCCAGGTCTGAAATCATCCAAATTAATTCTATTGAAGGTGTATGGAGTTTAAAAACACTGTGGAGCATTTCCTGTATTACCACATGACATCATAAGGTGGAACTAAGGTGATTTCAGTTTGAGTGAAGAACTCAGCCTAAATATGCAGGATTTGTGTGTGAAACATTTGTGAATGAAACAAACACAAATAGTGTAATTAACAAAAATCCATTATAAAACTGCTAATTAAACAAAATCTAAAAATAGGTCCATTCATTAATCAGGTTTCCACATTTATAGCTCTGTTTGTGTGAGGCTGTAGCAGTAGCCATTAGCTTGCTTAGTGTCTCAGCAAATGACTTCTGTTATCAGTGATTGATTACATTCACTTCATTGACGTAAATAGGCTTCTGTTACATCCTCATAGTTTGGTTAGCACTTTTCTTTTTGTAGCCTCAAAGCAGCCATAATTGTACTGTAAATACAGCACAACCTTATGAACAAATCCCTTTTAATACCATCATTTTCTCAGTCTCAAAATCCCCCCTTGCATTGAGTGATCTTGGCTTTCTTCTTTTCTTTCAGGAATTAGACAAGATACTGTCAGATACGCCTCCTATTTGTAAAGGATCATCAAACTTGTTCAGGAATCTCCGTGAACGAGGTAAAACAACACCGTCTAATGTCTCTAATTCTCTTTATTTTTCAGCTTAAGGCTCCACATTTGTTGAGTGCAGAGTTGGGAAAAGTGTGTGCTGTAAATGTTATCTTATCAGTGATCAGTCTGGCCACATTATGAGAGGTGACGTTTGAGCAGGGACTGTGTAACCTGCAACTCAAGCACAAAAACAAACCCATTACAGACACAGGATGAATGAAGGAAAAAAGTCACATTCTTTTCAAATATCTCTGTATGTTTGCAAAACTTTTGGGGGCAGGAGTGCTACTTTTGGTGCTCTTCAATTTATGGACCAGTCTCAAATACAAAGTTGAAAAAACTGAGGCACTCCTGTATGTTTAACTAACTATTTAACAAAATGAAGAAATAATGGACATGACATTATGCAAAATGAACCCATAATATTGAAAGGTTCTGTATTACGTAAAATTGACTCTTGTAAGCTTTTCGACACATTGACATGTTGCCTGGAGTTGTGTTTTCTTTCATTCACACATGAATAACTTATACGTGAAATACAGCACATGCTTTCTCACAGTGAGCGGGCTTACCTCTCTACAGATCTGATCTACAATTTGACCTGATTGTCTTCATAGAGAGATACATAAGTTTAGTCTTAGTCAAACTTTAAAATTATTATTTGGAAATTATTTGGACACAGTAGCTCACACATCATAAATAAGTAGCAAAAAAAGATAGCAAGTCAAGCAATAGCATCTCCTCTCTATGGAGACAACCAGCGGCATACCCATGTACACAGTGCACTTTTAAATAAAAAAAAAAAAAGTTTTAGGAGTGAGTAGTAACTTTTTATGCAGTTATCTTGACCGGAAATCCATATATGTAGCACCTTAACACAACACGATTGTTTGACTGAAGTAAAGTCCATAAAAGGTTGATTCTGTGATACGAGAACATTAGCTGTGCTTTTATGTGGTTTATCTGTGCAGCTACTAATTAAATACTTAACTGTTAAAAGTTGATCTTTGAAACATGCAAAAACTCAGTGGTGAAGAATTCCTGTGACACATACCAATAGGGGAAAGTTCATTCAAAAAAACTCCCCGAAAACAACAAACGCTCACACACCTTTTCATCCCACTGTTTGGCAGGTACAGCCTCGAAATGACAACAGGTCTGTAGCTTCAAAGCCCTTAAAGCTTAAATGGGTTTTTCAGAAAGAGAAAGAGAAAGAGAAGAAAGAGAAAGAGGAGGAGGAGGGGGGGAAACTTTTAAGAAGATTCCTGACCAATACCACACACCTTCACTTGCCTTCGTCTAAAGTATATGTTCTCAGACAATACAAAGAATTCCTCTGAAATGCTTCATACCCCACTGCTGTTCCGAAGAGGTAACCCAATGCCGATTTGGGGGTTTACAATGTCCCACGCTGATCGAGGAAGGGGGGAGGAGGGAAGGAGGGGGAGAGGAGGAGGAGGGGAGGGTGCAGAGGGGGGCATGCTCAAACATAACCGGGTTCAAACAGCCTCTCAGTCACTCGCTGAACAAGAGCTTTGTCCCCGGATCAATCCAGACCTCTCTCTCTCTCTCTCGCTCTCTCTCTCTCTGTGTCTCTCTCTCTTTCTTTCTCTTTCTCTCTCTTTCTCTCCCCTCGACAAAGCCTCAGCGTTTAATGGCAGGATTAAAAGACCCAAATCCCACGGCTGGCACTTAGCTAAAGAAACACAGAGAGAGGGAGGGAGAGAGAGTAGAGGGAAAGGGAGAGAGAAAGATAAAGGGAGAACAGGAGGAGAGGAATAAGGAGAGAGAGAAAGAGGTATTGAGAGAGGAAGAGAGTTGGAGAAGAGTGGGGAGGAAGAGAGGGAAGGCTGAGTGCGAGGGATGAGAGAGAGGAAGAGAGAGAGGGACAGTAGAGGAAGAGCGAGGAGGGATAGGGAGAAAGGAGAAGGGTGAGCAAGAAGGAGGGAGAATGAGGGGTGAGAGGGAGGAAGAGCAGAGAGAAAGAGAGACAGAAGGGTGTACAACAGGGAGAGAGAAAGAGGGAGGAGGAAGGAAAAAAGAGAAGAGAGAGAGCAGAGAAATTTTAAGTAGTGGTTTCCAAAGTTTTCTCAGCAGAGATAATGTTTGGCTTTCTGAGTACCACCAGGTGAAAAAAGGTCTGTACTCGGCCTAAACTAGAACTATAGGGTTGACTATTTCAGCTGTTTCGCCCGAGCCCCATTCAAACTCTCCTGAAATACACAAAAGCATAATACAAAACTGTACAACTTGACAAACCTGATAGTCCAATGAGATTCATTTGGTCTTCCAATATTCTATGTTATTAGGTTCTTTTTTTTCAGACCTAGAGTGTTATTTCATACCTGACAGTTTCGACTGCTCACTAGCGTCTTCCTCAGAGTGGTCACATGATGTTGCTGTGACGTGTCCAGTCAGCTGATTTAAACAGGTTTTGGTGCTGTCTTCCTACCGGTGGAGGCAGGACGACAGCGCCATCTGCAGTCCGACTTCCTCAGGACAGCATCCCAGGTGTGTGAGAGTAAAAAAGCCCCCTCGTCCCAGTTTACAGTCCTGTGGGCACGTTTCCTTATTTCGATTGCTTCTTTAATCCAGCGGCGATGTTTGTTTTCCTCTGTCCCAATGATGTTTGCTCCATCCCAATCCATAACGTGGTTCTCTCTTTTGCAATGGTCAGAAATGGCCGATTTGAGTTGTTCCTGTTCTGCATTGTGTTTCGTTGCTCGTGTGCACGCCTTCGTATATTACATTACATTTATGCTCCGAAGAACCGGAGCATAAATGTAATGTAATATACGAAATTCCCTGCATGTCCTGCAATAAAACAACATAGAACATAGAACAGAATGCGAGAAGGAAACAGCGAAGGCGTGCACACGAGCAACGAAACACAAAGCAGAACAGGAACAACTCAAATCGGCCATTTCTGACCATTGCAAAAGAGAGAACCACGTTATGGATTGGGATGGAGCAAACATCATTGGGACAGAGGAAAACAAACATCGCCGCTGGATTAAAGAAGCAATCGAAATAAGGAAACGTGCCCACAGGACTGTAAACTGGGACGAGGGGGCTTTTTTACTCTCACACACCTGGGATGCTGTCCTGAGGAAGTCGGACTGCAGGTGGCGCTGTTGTCCTGCCTCCACCGGTAGGAAGACAGCGCCAAAACCTGTTCAAATCAGCTGACTGGACACGTCACAGCAACATCACGTGACCACTCTGAGGAAGACGCTAGTGAGCAGTCGAAACTGTCAGGTAAGAAATAACACTCTAGGTCTGAAAAAAAAGAACCTAATAACATTGACAAACCTGATGCGATGTGCAGGAGTTTCATTAGCGGGATGCACACTGATTGTGTTGTGATAGCACTCTGAAGGGGGAGTGACTTAACACAGGGAACAAAGGGACGTTCTGTCAAAAAAGAAATGAAACATTTTAATATGTTGTTTTAAGTGAATATGGGATTTTGAAAACAATAAAAGCTAACATGGTGATCTAAATGTGTTATGTGTTATCAGTTAAAACCCCACAAAAGTGTAATACCTCCTCTAATCCAAATTCACATCTTCATAGCTTCACTTGAACCTCAGTAGCTTCTGTTTTTCGAGCTCCTTTTCTTGAGATTATTTCCCATAACACACGGAGCAGTCACCCAGAACTATCTTGCTTTTTTCTTTATCTTTGGCCTCAAACAAAAGCCTAGAATGCTTTCAGGAGCAGAGAACACAATCCTCCAAAGATACTCGGACACCTAAACTTCCCCAAAAACAAAAGGAGCTGAAGGACTGAAACATGCAAAAAAACAAAACAAAACAAAACACACACACACACAAATCACTCTGTTTCAATCAATGACAAATGCTTCGGAAATGTCCTACACCTTGTTAACTAAACAGGATCAGAGGCTGTGGACCTTACATTTGTTTGGGTTAGTGTTTGAATTGGTCATCTCAATAGAAGCCTGTGTCAGTGTGAATGGAGACACCAAAGCATGAAGTCAGAGGCACCTTTAGAGATGTTATCAGGGAAATGGGCCAGATTAACTCAGTGTCAGGGCTGCTGTTTGTAGAGATGCTTATTCAGGATGACGCATGACTTACCATACAGAGATGAACTATTTAAAACAGATTAGATTGGCCTGGATTTCACCTACAATTTTTAATGTCAAACTCAACAAGTGCTGAAAAGTGACTGCAACTTATTACCTAAGTATTGTAGAAATTGTGCACCATAAATTTGTGTGGTAAAATACACATTTTAACTGCTCATTGCTGGTTATAGAGCTTGGGAAGGAACGTCAAAAATGTCCATTACCATGTTTTTGGCAGTGGTGCAAAACTGCCATTGAGATATATTAGCTAAAACATTAAAAAGTAAATAAAAATCTGAAGGTTAGCAGTTTGAATCCCCACTCATGGCATAAACATTATTGGCAGGAAAGATCAACTGACCCACAGTTTGGCAGTATGCTTCCAGCTTCCGCAGATGAATACTCAACTATAGTGAGTCCTTGGACAAGATACTTCACCCATCTTGCCCCAAGTGTCTCTGTACACTGGTGTATGAATGTGTGAGTGGTTCCTTGATGTAAAACTGATATTAAAGTCCTAACTTCTCTATGATATGTGTTAATAATAGAAGCTTGTATTTACTTTCTTCTAGGTGTCATCAGCTACACGGAGTACCTCTTCCTCATCTGTATTTTAACAAGTCAGTATAATTACTTACATACCATTTATTAAACATGAATATGCTCTGTAATATTGAATTTCATCTCTGTTTTGTGTTTGATTTCAGAGCCTCACGCTGGATTCAGGATCGCCTTCAATATGTTTGACGCAGATGGAAACGAAATGGTCGACAAAAGGGAGTTCTTAGTGGTAGGATCATGTTTTTATTTATTTAAAAACGCCTTTGTACGTTAAAATCATCTATTGGCACATTAATAATTCATCTTTCAGCTTGAAGAAATTTTTCGCAAGAAAAAGGAGAAAAAGGAAGTAACAGAGGACAGCGATGGTTGTGATGAGCAGGTATGAACTGTTGTGCACAGGATAAAAGGCAATTTTTTCTCATACATTTATGTATTATTATATTACAAGAGATGCTTTTTTGGATTGTTTCATCACTTTTCTAATGCTTTGTAAGTATTTCTGCAAAGTTAACCCAATTGAGTTCATACAAGAAAGACAGAGCAGAATTAGTATTCAATATAGATAATTACAGTAAAAAAAAATAAAAATCTAGATAAATAACTATTAAAATACTTAATGACAGACATAAAATCTATGGTTGACTATGCCTGTGGCTATGTACAAAGCAGAAATAACAGATAAAATGCAAGTAGAATGCACTCCATGTTGATTTTTATTAGGATTCATCATAGATCATTAGACTCTAATTCACAATTTGAATGGACACAATTGCTACAGTTGCTATTTTACCATCATTTCCTTCACAAACAACAAAAATATATTTTTCTACTTAAAAATGGCAAAATATGCTCTGGTATGTGATTATTGTATTTATTTATGAGTTCATATTTGAGCCTTTTTGTCAAACCTTCTGGACGCGTGATGTGAACTTATGTGAAATTATTAAAGGTGCATTGTGTAACTTTTCTGGTGGAGGGTCCGTCAAATGCTTTTCTGCATAGAGATGTTATTGCTTTGTCTGGAATGTTTCACAGTATGGCTTTACACTTTTTTTTATCTTCATGGAGACCAAACCAGACCAAGTAAGAGATCCGATCTGTGAACAGGCAACCTTGCTCACAGTCAGAATACCTTTTTTGAGGTATTTCTGAGCTAGAAAACCACATGTAATTGAATAAATATTAAGTAGTGCTGTTTAATGTCATACTGTGGAACATTCCCGACAGAGCAGTTATATATCCATAGAAGCACCCTCAACCAAGAAGTTACATAGTGCACCTTTAAAACAGAAATTGCAAATCTAATACTTGTCCAAAAAACAAACACAATGCAATTAGATATTTTCCCCATAATCGTGCAACCCTACTTTCTATAGATCCTTCTTGGCCTCCCCTGACTGTAAAGTACAAAAGTGCATTTCCTATCTTTAGTTTGGGCCATAGTTTTAGCCGTAGCTGTTTTTTCCTCGATGTCGCAGAGGTGAGTGTGGTGGAGCAGGGTGAAACTTGCCCCTCTTTCATCTGGAGGTGAGGCCCAAAGCTCGATGCAGGTGGATGTAAACAGACCAGGGCACTGATAAGAGCCAGAGCTTTGAGGTCTTATCACACAAAACCCCACCAGAGACTTAGACCGGAGCACGGCCCGCAGAATCATCAAAAAGATTATTAGAATAGACTCGCAAGATTTGAGAGATACCACGGCGACGCAGTAGGGGGCGCCGCAATCAGCTTACAGGGAGAGCAGGTAAAAATGCAGAAAGGTCAACGGTGTCATGTTGTTTTGAACCATGGGAGTTCAGAAATACACTTATTTCTTTGCATAATATTGGATTTAAACTTCAACATTTAAGATTTATACCTCTATTTCAATATTATTACATCTCTGTATTATTAGTTTTCACTAAAATGTTTCTGATGAAATGGATTAGGAAGCTCATGTTAGAATTCTTCAAATTGAGATGGTTTGGGCATGTGCAAAGGATGGAGAGTGAATATATGGTACAGAGGAGGAACAGTGAATCTATGGGAATAAGGATGGTGAGGTTAGAGAATCCAGAAATGTAGTGAAATAAGATCTGAAGTTAGCTGGGGTACAGATGATAGTTAGATGGCCAATCCTGAAACAAAAGTAGAAAAATACACACAAAATTACATACTGATTGCATTTACTTGTTTTTTGTAGTATTAGATTTGCCTGGGATCCAAAATACACACTTTTCCAGTACTTTATGAAGTCGTAACTCCACTCACTGGTGAATCTCAGTTTTCCAATGGGTGTGAGTGACAGGTGGATTAGCCAATCAGGGACACACATGGTGACCGTATTGGAAAAACATAAAGGAAAACAAAATATCTCAGGGGACTGAAAAACATTGCGGATTTCTGCAGAATCAATGAGCGAAGCAGTAAACTCTGTTTTAGGTGAGAGAGGACGTGGAGACCAGACTGACCTGTGTAAAAAGTACAAAGACAATAATCTATTAAATTCTTGCAGTTTCTATGTGATTTGCAACAATCAAACATTTTAAATGGTTGTATTTATTTCCTTTTTTTTGTTTGTTTTGTTTTTTCTTTCAGACATTACAGCTTTATGGCCACCGCAAACCTCTCCAACCCGCCGTATGTATTTAAGCCTGTCTCTCTCTCTCTCTCTCCTCTTTGCATGCCGCATTGTACCCAGTGATTGCTGTTTATTCCATCTAAAATACCACACATGAACTGTCTAAGCCAGAGCCTGTATTTATCTAGTCCAGGTCTATGTAACCCCATTCACTTCCACTGAAACACCTCATAGCATTCCCCTTCTTTATTTGACACATTTCTCTTAAAGGTTTTGTAGAGAGATGATTTATGTCTCAGTCCATCTTGTCATTAACGGTCCACTTCAAAATGCTCTTAGCCCAAAGACTGACAACTTCGCCAGGACCCCCGTGTTTTATTTTTACAGTTTCTGGTGGAATTTGGGGCTTAAGTTACTTTTTGTCATGGCTTTGACCGTGAAAGCTTAAACTTTTTTTAGAGGAGCTCTGGAGATCATTTTCTAGGCGTGTCCACTGTGTTTTGATTCTTCGAGCGTTGCAGCACGAGTTCAAAAGTTAGATTTTTGTTCGTTCGTGTCCCGAAGTGGGTAGTTTTCTAGCACAATACTTTCACTCCAGGTTCAGTTATGTTTATTAAAGAATTCTGACTTGAATAAATGATTTTGCTTACTCCTCATACAACTGAAGCTAGTGTTGTCACGATACTAATATTTCAAACTAATTCAGTACTAAGAATAGACTCAATACTCAATACTGATTCCGATATCACAATGATAATAAAAAGCATTCTTTCATTAGACAGCTTACTGTCTCTCGTAGTACTTGTACCATGTGGCCGTATATCTGTGTAATCCTCAGTGGTCCAAGTAGGTTCCATAGTGGTCCATGGGTGTATACTAGTCTATGTACCCTTATACTTGTTTTGATACAGCTCAAGATCATTCTAAAACTATTCAAGAAAAGTTCATTTCTGTCCTGTGGATGTGACTTTTTAGTATTGATACCTGCTCATTAGTAGTTTCAGTATTGATTAGTATCTGATTTTAATAAAGTGGTCCCTCATTTATCGCGGGTGTTAAGTTCTAAAAATAGCCCGTGATATCCAAAAATCCATAGGTAGGTGAAGTAGTCAACTTTATATTTTACAATTATTATATATGTTTTAAGGCTATAAAACTCCTCACCACACACTTTATAAACACTTTTCTCAGACAGGACAGTTACAATCCTTTTTGCATCCTTCGTAAAACTTATTTCTGCTGTTGTCCTTATGTTATTTTCCTCCTTCTTCTCGAACCGAAGATTCATTTATTCCATAATGGAGCCCTACAGCGCAGAGTCCTGCACTGGTCCATTTTTGGAGACCCGCCCCCGCCCAGTACAGCACCACTTCCGCTTGTTAACCCGAGATTATATCAAACTTTTGTGCTGCATATGCCACGAACTGAACCAAGACTAAACCAGGACTAACCCAGGACTAACCTAGGACTGATTCCAGAACTGAAGAGGAGGACTAAACCAGGACTGAACTAGGACTAAAACAGGACTAAAACAGGAGTAAACCAGGAATAAACAAGGACTAAAAAAATCCGCAAAACAGCGAGACTGCGAAAGGTGAACCGCGATAAAGCGAGGGACGACGAGAATTTCCTGTCAGTTACTTTAAATCAACACATTTTTAAGGTATTTTTCCAAACCTGTTCACAGCTCACTGTTTTTCACTGCAATTAACATCCAAAATGAAAAACATGTTTTTACTTTAGTGTTTGGCTAAAATATTACAGAGGGAGTCTTTAACTTCAAATCACTTCCTATCTCATTAGTTACTCTTACAATTACTGAACGATTGTAAAACTTTTGTCCAGTTGACAGAATTGACTTGTTTTTTGCTATGGAACTTGGACAACTAAGAGATTACACAGACATCATACTTGAGTTGTAGTATCCACCAAACACTTTTTTCCTTCTTGAGTAATGTTATTTTGAAGTATTGGCACTTTTGCTTGAGTACAATTTCCTTCCCACCAGTCTCTTCTGTGGTCGGAATTCCCCTTAGATTTTGCACTGAACAAGTTTTCAGTGGAATAAAATGGAGCACTTTACAGTGTTGTCAGTGATTATTTGTGGTTTCTTGTCATAAATCTTTCTTTGATTTGTTTCATCACAAACCCTCGAGGCAAAGACACAAAACTGAATGGGATAAATTCATATTATGTAATTAAGTAACAACCATTTACGAACACTGTGTCTCCTTAAAGTGGTGTTGTTTACATAGACATTTTAGACCTGTTTCAAACCAGCCAAAATCAATGTATTTCCTACCTTGTAAGTTTAGTAAATAGCAGTTTCTGTGCAATTTTAAGTTTGTAATTAACTCATTTGAAGTTAACTCAAAGTGGATGTGGTTTTGGATATAGCTTGTTTTTAATTTTGTTTCGTACCACATTTTAATAGTGAAAAAAAAAAGAGTCAAATACAAGTTTACTATAGTGACTTAGGATGCCTCTTTGGCTAGAATGTAGAACAATACAGTATTAAACCTTTTTTATCTCCATGGAGACCAGCAGGTGACATAACCAGGCCAAGTTACAAGTTAGATCTAGAGATAAGAATGCATAAATACAAATTCAATTTAATAAACACAAAATATGTTTAATGCCACTGTGTTTAATGCTGTGGAAAATTCCAGGTAAAGCAATAACATTTCAATAGTATGTAGCTGAAGGATTAGACTGTTGTGATGTTGATTTAGATTGCATAAGAAAATTGTGTAAGCGTTTAACATTGCCTTTGAGTATCATTTCTTCTCCATTAGGAAAGCACTTTATCTAATGGTGCTTCCAAACAACTGCATACATTATAGCTTGTTTATGGTGCAGCCTGTATGCAAACATGCACTGAGTGGTTTGAGTCCTCTCCTCTCGCCCCTGTTCACTGTTTCTCTGCATGTTTTGGACCTGTGTTTGCTGTGAATGCCAAAACAGTGCACGCTCCAATGCAGCCCCCAATCTGCCCCCTCATCCCCCCCTCTGCCCCCTTCAACCCCTTCCAGCCCTCTCTGTTTCTGCTTGTCTGTGCTGTCAGAGAGGGGTTGGAGGTATTGCAAAAAAATTTTAATCAGTTTTGTTAAAGACTACATCATGATTATGAACAATCAATATTCATGTACGCTTAGTAACTTTACATTGCCTGAAGAGGTAACTAAAGCTAGCTGCTTCTTTTGAAAGTCCACACTTCAAAGCAGTTGGTCAATCGCTCAGAGCATGATGAAACCAGAGGACCAATCAGAGGAGCTGTTTGAGTAACAGAGTCACAGAGATGCGTTTGAACATAGAGATGCGTTTAACAGAAAGTAACTAGAAGGAAGTATTCTCTAGATGGAGTATTGACGCAGTGATATCAGTTCGATATCCTGGTTGGGATTATAAATTTGTGGTAGTTGATCCATACTTTCATTTATACAAGGCAGTTATGTAATAATTTGGAGATAAATAACAGCTACATAACACATTTGAATTGGATTAGTCTTATGTTCTTTTTGTTTTAAGGAACTATATGATATTTTTCAGTTCTCCATAATTAGATACTTAAATATATGTATGTATAGTATTGACATTGGTATTGGAATAAGCTGGATCGTCTATCCCAAGTTTAGTTCTACCATTGTGTTCCAATTGAAAAAAACGTTACAGCTCAGCTTCTCATTTTGTCCCCCCCCCCTTCCTCCAACTTGTCAGTCTTTTCCTCCATCCCCTGTTTTAATCATGGGTCTTGGACAATGAATTTTCTAATATGCATATTGTGATGTTTGTTTAACTTTTATGCTAACATTTATGCTAATGTTTATGCTAATGTTTGCTTGGATTGCTGCAGCAGGTCGTTGTTAAAGGCACGGGGCATGTGGAGGACAGAGGCATGTGGGACGCTCTGAGACGCAGCACGAGTCAGGTGCTGTTTTCTGACCTCACTGAGGTTAGACCTGGATCTGTTCAAATAACATTAGATTAAACACTGGATCTATTCAAATGATATTAGGTTATGGGTGAGATCAACAACAAATGAACATTTAGTTTGAATGTAAGTAGAAAAAAGGTGTAGTTTTATCTTGCAGAAAACTGGATCATAGCATCTCGAATAATGTTCTGTATCTACTGATTTCTCCCATCAGAGCAGCTCCTGTAGAATGAAGAGTGTAGAGTGAGTTCGGTGCCTGTGAAGTCTGCGGCAGAAGACTCAGTGAAACATTAACTGTTACAGTATAAATGGCTGATCTGTCTCTGACTATTAACTCACATCTAACTCAAACCTGCAGCCCGGATAAAACGTGGAGCTGTTAATGATCACCCAAAGCTAATGTCCATCAAACACACTGTAAACCAGAGACCACCTGTTTTGTGCAGGCTCTAGTAGTTCTTCTTATAGCAGCTTCTTACAAATGATCAAACCCTAACTAGAGCTGCATGATTTTAGAAAAAATCCAATGATTTCTCTGAGTAAGTTTTTTATTTAATTACAATATATTATGCAGCCCCAACCTTAACCTACGTTTTGTAAATATAGGAACTGCATGTGCATTTTGGAAATATATTTATGTAGAAAATCGAAAATAGCAAAGTTTTGAAGAAAAGGAAAAAAAGTTATGACAACCATTCCTAACAACATGTATGTGTGCTGTGTGTGGGTGGAAAACATTAGAAGCACAATTTAATTACATCTGATCACGTGACGGGTGTAAAAGTCTAAAATGTATACAATACATACTTCAAAAAGACTTTATAAATGTAAAAAAAAATCATAATAAAGAAAAATACAAATATAAGTATTGAAATAATATAAATCACTGTATTCAGGTGGTTCAGAAAGTTAATTCATGTGATTTCTTTTATTAGTCTGTGGATGACAAAGCAGAGACTACACTCCTGGTCCACTTCTTCGGTAAAAAAGGCAAAGCAGAGCTGAAATTTGAAGACTTTTACAAGTGCGTATCATGTCCTGTCTTTTATAAACATGTCTTTGGTCTTAAGTGGTTGGTTGACTCTTTGTTGTGGTCGAGTCAGATTCATGGATAACCTGCAGACGGAGATGCTGGAGGTGGAGTTTTTGGCATTTTCGAAGGGAATGCCGACCATCAGCGAGGAGGACTTTGCTCGTATCCTTTTACGCTACACGAATGTAGATGACGTCAGCGGGTACCTGGAGAACATAAGGAGCACCATGCCAGACGAGAAGGTACAACAGAGAGGAGTTAGCTAAAGGTGCGCTGTGTAACTTTTCTGATGGGGATGTCTACCACCTGCTTGTCTCGACGGAGGTGTTACTGCTTTGCCTTTAATGTTCCACTGTATGGCATTTATAGCATTTATTTCATTATAGTCTCAATGGCAATAGATAAGTTGAGTGTCATACAGTGGAACATTTTAGGTAAAGCAAGTAGCTGGCTCCTCCTAGTGCCTCCACTCAATTTCATTTCTCTCCAGCGTCTAGGTCAGGAATCAGAATACATTAGTCTAGACGGTTTGCAAGAACTCCAGAAGTTGTAGACCACGCACCGGCTAATCAGCGAAGAGCTGTGAAGCCATGACGTCAAACTCAGTCGTCTGTCTGGATCCCTTTTGTGGTACAGCACAACAGTAAACAAAGCGGTCGAGATGGATGTAGACGAAGACATACATTCGATCGAGGATTTAAAGCTAGAACAAAGAAAATGTTTGGTGAATTTTATCAACGGGAAAAACGCTATTGCCTTTCTTCCTACGGGATTTGGCGCGACTAAATAGCAGCGATTGGTTAAATAAAAGTACCTGCCGACCGTCAAGTGAATGAATCCTAATGCTGCGAGGTCAGACGGTTTCCACGAAGTGAAATGAAATGAAATGAGGCTAGTAGTGTACCCCCCCTCCAGAAAAAAGTTACATGGTATGCAAAATTACAAAGAGTATGTATGGATTTATGTATGTATTGTCATCAACATTTCCTGGGGGTGTGATGCTAACTGTAGGCTCTGCTCTGTCTGAGGATCTGTTACTCTGTTACAAACTGACCGTAAGGAACTGACTTAGTTGGAACTAGACCAGGTGAGCTGATTTGTGCTGTTAAACAAGTCTCTCACACATACAATTACAGTCACAAGCTAGCAACATTAGCCAACAGTTTTTCAGTTAGTCACTCTCACCTTTTGTTAAAAATCAAACACCTAAACAGGACCATGAAGGCTTGTATTGATCACAAACTCCTGAAAATGTGCTGCTTCAATCCATTTTGTATTTGAGTTTTCACACCGTCTTAAAACATTTTTGACAGTTTTTGCAAATGTGTGCGTTGTGTCACCAGGTCAAGTGATGAACATTTCTCCAATACAGATACATGTGGAACATTTACAGCATGATGTCACTGCAAAGTATCAATAATATATGAATGTACATATCTATCTATCTTTCTATTATCCTTCTATAAGCCATACAGTCTCCTCTTTAGTGTCTCTGAATTGTCTGTTGAGTGAAGCATCCTCATTTTGTTCTTAATATGTTTTTCCTCTCCACACTTTGACCCACAGAGCAAAGCCACCAGCACTGCCCCCTTTGCACTGGAGGAGGGTGATGCGAGATCTCTATTCAGAATTAAGTGGGGCCTATCATTAGCCTAAGAGATATTATATGGCCTGCTCCTTCTTAAAACAGCAAAACGTCACACATAACTCATTACTTCATTTGTTAGCTAGCTTGTGTGCTCGTCCCTCCGCTGAGAGAGAGAGATATAGTATCCGCGGGATGGTTGAGCGCATTTCTAAAGACCCCATGTTCACGTCTGCAGCCAACCTTGAGATGTTTGGAGATTCATCACTTTTTTTGTTTTTGTTTATACAAGTATCGGGTTAATCTGCTTTTGAAAAAACCCAGAAAATGCCGTGACCCCGACTTAAAAAAGAGTGAAAAAGCTACAGTCCTCCCCCCTGCGCTGACAGGTCGGCGTGTCCATACGGAGCAGGGGAAGTCCATAGACTGGACCAGTTGGGTGTGCTGTCGTGATCTGAGGGATCCAACAAAACCAGGGACTCCCCACTGTTTTAAATACAAGAGTAGTGTTTGTACTTTGTACTAATGTAATTTAAGTGCTTCATGTGGGGTTTTACAGGTGCAATAAATTAAACTTAAACTTACATCAAGTATATAGGAGATGTGCTATTGATACTTTGCAGTGACATCATGCTGGGGGTGTTGGTGCATGGATGTATATGGTGGAATGTTCAGACGCTTCTGTGGTTACACAATACACACATATCAGTGCAACCAAAAAGTTTGAATATAGTTGAAACCTCAAGAAAAAATAAATAAATACAACATATAAAATACAAAGATGTTTGATTTTCAAAAGGTGAGAGTGACTAATTGAAAAACAGTTGAACAGCTAGCCTTTGACTGTAATGTTATTTGAGAGGGACTTGTTTAGCAGCACAAATCCGCTCACCCATTGAAGTTCCAAATAAGTCAGTTCTTTATGGTCAGATTGTGTTAAATTAAAGCTCAAATAAAAAAAAACTAAGAAAGCCTCAGACAGAGCAGACCCTCTAGTTAGCATCACACTCCCTGGAAATATTGATCCCATCAGCTGCAAAGTATCAACAGTCTCTGTTCACATCACAACATTCTGCCCCCCTATAGTTTAAAACCGAGCTGGAGGACAGGTCAGAATTCTAGTAGAATTTGCTGTTTTTGCTGTCAGATTGCAGATTTGTTGACCTGGTTTATGATTCATATCTCTGTAATTACTGAACCTATACACATTAAACAAAAACTGGCACAAAGTCTTTTCTGTCAGTATAAATAAACATAAGTGATTTATTTTTTTTTAATAAGCTTCAAAAAGTGTTGCCATGTATCAGTCCCAAAAACATGATTGTTATCAGTTGAAAGGACTTTGACATAAGATTAATAAAACAAGTTTGTGGACACAATACCAAACACATAACACAATTGTGGATCATACATTTGGATATATCTTAAAAAACAGCAAATCTTCCCTAGTGTTATGTAGGCCCCTACCCTCCATCTGAGATTATATCATCAAATTCTGGAAAGTGAACACAACTTGTACGTATGTGGCTTTGATGAGTAAGGACCTATTTTCCTTTTCAGGGAATCACGTTTGAAGAGTTCAGATCATTTTTCCAGTTCTTAAACAACCTGGAGGATTTCACGATCGCAATGCAAATGTACAACTTTGCCAATCGTTCCATTGGACAAGGTACACACACACACATAACTTTTCCCATTAATCAGAACAATATTGTAAAGACACTTTTTGTAGCTTTTCTCATGTAGAGTCTGTTACATGCTTGTCTCCATGGAAACTGTATTACTTTGCCTGAAATGTTCAACAATATGGCATTGAACACAACTGTTTTGCATTTATTTTATTGTGGGTGTTTGTCTCTCTACTTTGAGTGGGGTTGCCTCTCCACAGATCTGACCTGTAACTTTGCCTGATGGAGATAGGTAACTTTAATACCATACTGTGAAATATTTCAGGAATATCAATGACATGGAAGCAGGTAATAATAACGCATTTATTTAAAGAATTTGTTGCAAAGTGCTTCACAACATGGGAAGAATGGGAAGTAACTGACCATTAATGAGAAATGTTACACATTTTAATTTGAGTAAATGTCATTATAAAGTATTATTTATTGTATTTGTGTTTTTTCCTCACTATTGTTTTATTATTATTTTATTATTAATGGATTTTTTTTTTTTTTTTATCCTCAGAGGAGTTTACCAGAGCGGTGTATGTTGCCACTGGCGTCACTTTGACTCGTCATTTGGTGAATATAGTTTTTAAAATCTTTGACGAGGATCATGACGACAAACTCAGCTACAAAGAGTTCCTCGGGGTCATGAAGGACAGACTACAGCGCGGAGAGGGGGTGAGACACAGCTTTAACTGAATTTTGCATTAAAAACAAGTATGTTTCATCATGTTTTCATATTTTTCTGAAGATGCTAAAAAGTTTGTCCATTGATTTCACAATATTACATTTTCAAACCAAGGAAACCATTTAATATGCAAAGAATTATCATTTTCAACACAAAATAATAAGAGATTTCCACATGGTCTGATAAGGTCAAGACAATTGGTCAAAGATTCAACTTTTTTCTTTTTCAGCATCAGTACTTGCTCAAATTAGTATCTGGGTATACATTTTTTGATAGCCTTGTGTGTTTGGTTGATTTTAACAATGTGCAAAAATGGTCGACTTAATAAGTATTAATGACCTGGCCTGATGAGATCAGGCTTTGACAGGCCCTACCAGTCTGTCAATGCCTCAAAAGCTTAGCAAGGACCAGCCTGGGTAGTACTTGAATAGGAGACCAGGTGCCACAGTGGGGCACCAGTAGCAAAAACTGTCATTGTGTCCTTAGGCAAGACACTTCACCTACATTGCCTAGATTGCTTTGAGTGTGCATGAGTGTTGTGGTGGTCAGATTAGTTGATGGTGCAGATTTGCAGCCTCGTTTCTGTCAGTCTGCCCCAGGGCAGTTGTGCCTAAGATAGTAGTTAACCACCACTGAGTGTGGAGTCAATGAACAATGAACTGTAAAACGCTTTGGGTGTCTTGAAGGGCGTTACATAAATGCAGTGATTAATTAATTAAGCCTTTTAAAACAATGGTCCAACAACCAACCTATGACCTATGAAATTTGAAATGGTAAAGAAAATATTTCCTTTGTTCCTGTATATTACATTTCTACAGTCATTACCTTTACAAATTGAATAAACGCAGCGTTTATATATTTAATTAAAAGTCCAATTACCACTGCATTTGCTCCAGTGATGATGTAAAATACTTGTCTAAATTACACGCCTGCCACTTCACATTACCAAAACTCACCTCTCTTCAATTTATAAAGAACTAAACCTGTGAAAGCACTGACATCTAGTGGACATGTAGATAACTGCACAGTAGATTCTTATAATATTATATTTATTTATATTTTCAGCGCTTCAGGGCCGAAGAGAAATTTGTATCTTTCAAGACCTGCTTGAAGAAAGAGCTATCTCACAAATAGGTAACTAAAACTCTATGTATTTTGCTCACTGAGTTGCAGAGGCTGCACTAGCACTGATTCATGACTGGCTCCAGGTGCTAGGGTTTCAGATGACAGAAAGGCTTTTTAGATTTAAACCAATTGGATTTCAGCATTGAAACTGGCAACCCAAATGGCACACATGAGGCTCCTTCTACTTTTTGATTGCATAAATGCCATGGGAACCAAAACTCTAAATTATAACATAAATAAATACGAGATCATGTCCAATCCTTTGTAATTAAGAATAAATCAGCCTTATAATAGTTATCAGTAAAAGATATACTGGATTGGCACATCTTTACCTCATATCCAAGGTTATGAAATATAAAATCAAATTTGTACATACAGTTTCTTTAATTTAAACTAGGGATGGGCATTCAATGAAATTTTCTTAATCGATTGTCGGAAGAATTAACGATCGATTATCGATTAATCATTAACGTTTTTATTATTAAAATTGATCATCATTTATTATTACTATCTGCACTACTAATCTGCATAAATAAATCAACTTTACGACATATAAACCGTAACGACTCTAGAGCCACATCAATCCGTTTGACATTATAATGTGTTTAATTCACTTATGCGCAACTCTCACAGAAACTAAACTTAAAACCGCATCGCTAATTTGCATAAACTCAGCGAAGATAAAACTACAGCTCTTGTGTCGCTGATGCGGTCAATTTCTGTCGGATTAAAAGACATGATTCAGTGGAATACAGGTTAGTGTGACCATATTTGCGTTTGTCAAAACCAGGACACTGTACGGGGGGTGGGAGGTTGGGACTCGTCATCGACATTGCGCGACTCTCACCTGGTAAAGCTTTTTCCCACTGGACACCGAAACATATGTGCTGCTTTGTACACTGTGCACAAGGACTCCCACTTGTCCCGTACGCAACAGATTTTGAGATTCTTTTAAGATGCATAAATAAAATGCATTTTTAATGCTTTATTACAACTGTAAATATTGTAGTTATTGTAAAGTCTTACCATGAAGCCTACATAGAGAGTCCCTGTAGACCTGTAATCTGAAAGCCCCTGGTCCTAATCTCTGTATTAAACCAGACTTTCCCAGGCCCATAGTCCCAGATTAAGCCTGTGTGTGTATGGGTGTCAGTGTGTGTGTCTGTGTGTGTATGTGTATCTGTGTGTGTGTCTCTGTGTGTGTGTGTGCGTGTTTGTGTGCAGGTGTGTGTGTGTGTGTGTGTGTGTGCGTGTTTGTGTGCAAGTGTGTGTGTGTGTGAGCAGAGGCCTGGACATGAGCATTGAGTTACACTGTAAAATGAATAATCTGATATTGGACACCAGTTTAAGACGAGAGGGGTTCAAGTACAGACTCATGTGTAGTGCTTTTCTAAGACCAGTGGACATGTTTCAGTTAAACACATTGTGTAATTTTTTTGGTTGGAGGTCTGTCACTTGCTTGTTTCTGTGGCTATTATGTATGACCTTAAACAGCTCCATCTTTCATTTATTCAATTATAGGTGGTTTTACTGCTCAAAATAGCTAGAAAACATGCTTTCTGACTGTGAGCAGGATTGCATCTCCACAGATCTGAGCTGTAACTTGATCTGCTTTGGTCTCCATTAAGATAGAAAGGTTTAATGCGATACTGTGAAACATTCCAGAAAAAGCAACGGAGAAAGGCATTTGACAAGTCCTCCACTAGAAAAATTATACAATGCACAATGCAATTAATAATATCTACAAAACAAGTAGGCTACCAATACAAATACAAAAAGTATCATTCTGATTCAGATGACCTCATCTGTGTCACAATTATATTTTTGAAAAATATTGTTTTCATGCATTAAACTTGCAAGCTCCACACCAATAAGTTGCTCATAATCATGGACTTGAACCTGCAACCTTTTCGTATGAAGGCAAGATGCTGTGCTGTTAGAAAACATGTCACAGCAATTTTATTTCATAATTTACATATGAGAAAGATCACATGTTAAAGATGAGAGTTTAATAGTCTACATGTGTAATTAGTAAATCCGTATTTCAGATTTTAATGCAAAATACAATATTGAAAATATTTAATAATAAAACATTTTGAACATGATAGACACAGAGATAGGGGCTAAGTGAAAACAGACATTTTAAGGGCACTCAAGCCTTACTCAAAGATGCATGAATCAGTGAAAACACTCTGAGTTAGCTAATGATGATGGAAAAAACACAACAACATGGTTAAAACATGGTTGATTTTTCATTATATGAAATAGGAAGAGTATTAGGAAAAGTGTTCAGACCTTTTTAACTAATATGCATTGTACAAGGCGCCTCTTGTGGTCGTGTGGTGGAAGTGAACAGTCTCCAGTGTAAACCTGTCAGGGGAATTAGCAGCTGTGGACTGAGGACCCACTTTAACGTTACTTCCTCATGAGCAGAGCTAATACTGGACCTGGGCTTAAAATGAAAGAACGAAGAAATATTTGACACTTTACACTACTTAAATTTAACAGATGATCAAATTAATCACTCAAAAAAAAAAGTTTAAAGTTGTGCAGTGACACCATCAGTGTCTTGTAGCTCTTAACAGCTCTTAACTTGAGACTTCATACTGAATTATGAATGAGAGAAAGAGTCAAGTCTATTGTAAGTTCTCAGGAGCTTTGAACAGAACATGTGCAACTATCATAAAGTGCTTTCTGTGCTTTTTTCAGTCATTTGAAAAATTGGCATTGCAATAGTTCTTTCATTTTGCTCATTTACACAGAGCCTAATAAACAAACAAACAAAACAAAAAACAGTGCTAATTTGGTTTATTGTTCATAATAAAACTGCTGACTTGTGGATCATTTTACAGTTTCACATTTAAAACCTCAAATAATACATAAAAAAGGCATGTTTTTTGCAAATTTCTGTTGGATTGCAAAAATATTTTCTAATTCTTGTAATTGGGGGTAAAAATATAGCTAAATTAAACGTGTCGCCCACCCATTGTTGTGACTAAAATTACAGATACAATTCAATCATAATTTACCCTTTTGTCCTCTTAAAGTGATTTTGTGGATTTTGACAATTTGAGTTATTAGTATGACATAGATCAGTTTACAATAACATTGCATTTTCCCCATATTACACAGTGTATAGCAAAAATGATATCTGCATTTGGTCAGTGTTGAGGCTGAAGTGAGCATAGTGAATACTGGGGCCATTATAACAGATATTTTACTCTCTTTGTTTATTTAGCAAACTGTGATGAAATTGTTCTATTAAAAAGGTCACAACACAACAACACAAATGTAATATCCTGTTATGAGGCACGCTTCCTGTCTATGTGATAATTAGTTTTTGTAAGTGTAAAAAAACTGTTTATTCTTTATTCTCTTAGTGTCAAGATCAGGTCAAAACAAGACATTAAAAACATGCTGCTCCTTTGGACTTTGCTATTTTACCTAAATTAAAGGAGCCATATTACACTATTTTCTGATGTCTGTTATGTGTTGTTTCCTCATCAAAACATACCTGGGGTTGTGTTTTGTTTCATTCACACATGTTTAACACACAAACCTGCATATTTAGGCTGAGTTCTGAGTTCAGAAAACACTCTGCTCCACCTTGTGATGTCATGTGGTAATACAGGAAGTGCTCCACTGTGTTTTATATTCATACACCTTCACTAGAATCATTTGGATCATTTCAGCTCTGGAACTACCAATCTCTACTGAACCAAAGGTAAAGGGTATCTGTTAAGTTGAAAAACACACACCTCATGACATCACAAGTTGGAACAGAGCATTTTGATCCTTGGAAACGAAGACAGACTAATAATAAAGAATTAGTCAAACGTGTGTAAATGAAACAAAACAAAAGTCTGTGTAATATAGTCCAGAGTGATGTCACTGCAAAGTATCAATTATCCGATAATCAGGAAGTGCATGTTAGCATGGTAGTTGTTGTTAGCTTTACGGTTTCTGCAAAACTCTGGCCTCTTTGTTTTCTTTGCAGGTGAATGGCCCATTTTTGGTGCATGCTGCAGACCCTCTTCAGTCTGATCTTCAGGTTTTTGGCTCTGGTGAAACTAACATGGTGAAGAATGGCACATTATTATAGTACAAATGGTCTGGGGAATATAAAGTTACTTATAGCTGATGTCTTTATTTTTTGGTTTTAAATGTGTTATTTATTATTTATAAATATGCTCATAATAAATGTATCCGTTTAAGACGCAATAGTCCCTTTAACACAACGAATAGAAAAGTGCCCTAGATAATATATTTTAAATAATATATAGAACTTAATTAATAGGTAATATGCTCAAAACCAAATAATAGGTCTATAGTGTCAATGTTACAACTATTGAACTTATTTATTTAGACCTGTCTTTTAAAGGTGCACTGTGTAACTTTTCTGGCAGGCAGTTCACTTGTCTCCACGGGGATGTTATTGCTTTCTCTGCAATTGCCCGCTGTATTGCCTTAAAATCATGTCATTACTGCTAAAAACCCATTGAAAAGCATGCATTCAGACCGACAGCATACTTCCCTCTCCACAGATCTGACTCATAACTTGGTGGTGGTGGTGTCACACGCTTTTCTAAATGGAGATCAATAAGTTTTAATGCCAAAATGTGGAACATTCCAGGCAAAGCAATAACATCTCCATGAATACAAGTCTTGTGATGAACCCTTCCAAATTACATATTGCACCTTTAACTGCATAGACATGTCATGTAGTTATGAGGGAATGTTAATGTTAAGCCTTATTTATAATTATATAATGTTATGTATTTGAAGTCATTAATTACGGGTCTTGACAGTCTTAAGCTTGTAATATATTGAGTCATCAAAGCTAACAGCCAGACTGTATCTTAAGCCATAATCTCTTATTATCACTATCACACAGTGTCCTACTGGTCAGATCAGCGCAGGACTGTCCCACCCACCTACACAACTACTACAAAGTATTATCATAAAGGGAGTAAAGCAGGATTATTGTATTTTATCAGCCAGGTCTAAATCAAATCTTAATCAGAACCAGTTTGAGACTAACATGACATACAAAATTAGGCAAAAAGCTAAACTAGCAGCAGCCGAAAGGGTCTAATATTGATTGAGCCAAATCTTATAAGTACATACAGAATAATAAATAAATAAATAAGTCAAAACAAAGACAAATAGGACAATGCAGTAGCCAGGTTGAAATGCGGCTAATCCATGAATAAATGATGTATGAAATTGGAACTGAACCATTTTGAGCCAAATTGCGCAACGAAAAATTTAGACTAATACTTTAATTTATTTAACTAAACCAGTGTTCAACTTGTCTTTGAGCTTCTCTTCACAAACTTGACTGGTATCTCAACTAATTAAAGCCACAGTATGTAACTTTTTGCCATAAAATAGAAAAAAAATTACATTTTTACTTAAAGAGTAAAAAGTAAAAGTATTTTAAGCTGATTTTGAGATCCTATAAAACTTCAAATGTAGTGATTTTGAAACAGATTTTGAAACAGCTGAATATTCTTCAACAGAAACTTTTTTGTGGTAGCTGTTGTTAATTATATATTTTTGTTTGCTCAAATTATGAAAGTGTTAAAAATAAACCCTCAGCCTTTTCAGCAAGTCTCAATCTATCATAAACTATACCTTTACTTTTGAGCCCTGTTCAAAAATGTAGTGGAGTAGAAAGTACAGATACCTGCTCTCAAATGTGATGAAGTAGTGAAAAGTATCCACTGTAAAATGTACTTAACTAAAGTACAGATGCCTAAAATCTAAAAAGACTTGAAAAACAGCTGCTTTAAACGAAACTAAACTAAATTCCACATCATTACCATCTACAGAGTCTTACTATAACCATCTTTACCTCTATTTGGGACTGTCCATTCTCTGAGCTGACCTCTTTATGAATATACGGAAATACACCAGCCATATGTTTGTTTACTCCTGGGACTCTTATCTTAAATTAGTGTTGATTTTACAGGAGTCATTTATAACCCCCTTTAGGCACTTTATATGTTTGTCCTTAAATGAACTAGAGAGGACTGCTGTTAGCTGGAGTAGAGTTAGTTAGTGAATAGGAATGAACAGAAATATGTTACGTACAGTAGTTGTTAAGGTGTTGTGTTTTTGTTTGTAAAACTTTAGGCAGATGACTGTTACCAAATGTTATGCTGCATTAAACCTAAATTGTATGCTAAAATTATTGTGAGTGAGATTTCTTATTGTAACTGTGTGGTGTTTATAGTGGATTTTCATCAGCTCAGTCAAGTCGCTATTCTATACAAACTCTACACAGAACCGAGACCTGGGGAATCAAACCGGGAACCTTTTTGTTTTGAGGTAGAAATGATAACCACATCACTGAATTATCATTATCAGTTTAACAAAGCAAAGTTATTTAATTGCTGTTTTTATAATAATTCCTATTTTGCCGTTTCAGCACTCTCACAGTATACAGCTGGATTATTGAATAAATAAGGTATACTCATGTTGCCTTATAGTTTTTTAACCTGCAGAGGAGAGAGGAGAGTACAGCAAAAACAATGCAAAGAGAGCGGAGAGACATTAGAATTAGCAAATTGTTCTTTGGCTTGTTTTTCTCATTAGCGCTGTGACCTAACCCCCATCCTCCATACAGTGTAATAAATAATTTGTTAATTATCTAGTTGGCTGTGTACTTAATTACTATAGTATTTTTACATGTCACCAGCTCAAAGGTACCCTGATTCATCAGCGGGTTTCACTTCGTAGAAACCACCTGACCTCGCAGCATTACAATTTGTTCACTTGACAGTAGGCGGGTACTTTTTTTATTTAACCAATCGCTGCCATTTGGTTGTCACGTATGTAATGCTCCACTAACAGGGCTAACTGGTATATTAAGCTTTTCAAAAATCTCGTAGGAAGAAGGACAATAACGTCTTTCTCCTTGATAAAATTCACCAAACATTCTCTTTGTTCCGGTTTTAAATCCTCGATCTCGGGAATCATTGCCAGCACTGAATATATGACTCTTCGCTGATTGGCTGGTGCCCAAACTCGCACTTCCGGGGTTTTTGCGAACCGTCTAGTGTATTCTGATTCCTGTCCTTGTTGCTGAAGAATGTAATTGAGCGGAGGCACTAGGTGGGCCAGCCTGGCTAGCTCAAAGGTCCTATATTACGCAAAATTGTCTCTGTGAGCTTTTAGTCACGTTATAATGTTGTTACGTCCTCAAAAACATACTTGAAGTTCCATTTTGTTTCATTCACACTTGTTAAGAGTAATATTGCTTTATCAGTTTGCCTACATCTCCAAAGCTCAAAATGCTCTGTTCCACTTTGAAATGTCATAAAGCACTAGTAAAGATTGACAATTACTAGTGAAAATGTATAGAGTTTAAAAACACAGTGGAGCACTTCCTGTATTACCACATGACATCCGAAAGTTGAACAGTGAGTGTTTTCAGTTTGAGAGAAGAACTCAGCCTAAATATGCAGGGTTTGTGTGTTAAACATGTAAATGAAACAAAACACAACTCCAGGTCTGTTTGTGATGAGGAAACAACATTATAACAGAGATCAGAAAATGGCGTAATATAGACCCTATAGAAAACACAGAATTAAACAGTAAGACTATATATCTTCACTGCTTTTCCACACACTTACCCAGCAGTCATATCCATGTATATAGCTCTAATTAACCCTTTTTTTAACACGTTTAGCTTCGTTTCATTTACAGACATCACAGAGAGGCTACAGCAGAATAAATGAGTTTTCACATCCTGCACCTGAAGCCAGTCGTTATCAGCATTAGTCATCGAAGTGTGTGGGCGAGAAACGGCGATTTGAGATTTTTAACCTTAAGACGAGTAAATATTTCACACAATCCCAAATGTTCCTCCAGCGAGACGGGCAGATTTGAGGTTAAAGAGGCAGAAATTAGCATTAGCTGTGATATATGGCAGTATCAATGTGAATGGATAACAGTTTGTGTCGATAGCTGGTGTGAGAAATCTGCAGTCAAGTTTGAAGGAAAAGTAAAGTTATACTATAAAGAGGCAGTTGTCTTAGTCCGGTAATTTGTGCAATCCTGTAGTGGTTAATATTAAAATAAATACCTGTTTTTAGTGATACTTATTGCATGCTACTATGATAAGTATATACTAGGGCAGGGGTCTCCAACCTTTTTCCTCTGTGAGCTACCTTTACAAAACGAACATGCCGGAGAGCTGCTAATTTTAGTGTCTACAAGAAATGGAGTAAATTAGTTGGGGTACAGTTTGATGCCTATAAACACAACTATAATAAATTTATTAGATAGATAGATAGATAGATAGGCTTCAAAATTATACATTTTAAGTACATTTTTTTGTTCTTCAGTACAATACATATGATTCAGAAATCCTTTGGCGAGCTACTTGGAAGGAGGTGGAGAGCTCCTGGTTGGAGACCCCTGTACTAGGGAGTCTAATGTTAGCACTACTACTACCACTACTGTCAAAATGTCCTTAAAAGTAGAAAAAACAAACCACCAAAACTATCCCTTATACGTTCTACCACTACTACTGCTGCTGCTGCTACTACTATTACTTCTATTACTACTACTACTGCTTACTAGGCTTTCGAAATGACATTAATTGTAGAAAAATGGTCAAATAAACCTCCAAAACTCTCCCTTGCACTGATTTCAGGACTCATCTTCGCTGACTGATAAAATGTACCCAAGTTCATTCAAGGTCATGGCACCAGAAACCTATATTTATATAAGTGTGAAATCATGTCCCGTATTTTACCATTAAAGCTCGTTATTGCTGCAGCTATAAGACGCAAGTTCACGCTAAACTGGAAGCTCAAATTGTTTTAGAATTTAAATATGTTGCACAACCAAATACGCAGTGTCAATTCAAATGTCGCGTTTAAAAATGCGGTATTGGAGATGGCGCCACCGTGGAGTCCACTGGTTTGATTTTGGTTTTGACCGTGAGTGTGCGACACGGAGGTGGGAGGAGGGAGGTAGACCCCAGTTTGAGCACTGGCGACTCTGAACTCAATGCACCCGAAGTGAAAAATGTGCCAGCTTTGCAGCATCCCGTGGACGTCATGGCAACCAACGCGCGCGCGAGGGCGGGAGGAAGACGGCGGCGGACGCGAACGGGCAGGCTCGCGCGCACACCGACTCCCCCCCTCACCCCTCCCCTCCCCACCCCCCTCTCCCCTCCACCCCCCCATACCCCTCCCCTTCCCCGTTCCTCGTGTCTGCGTTTGAACCGTCTGATATTTGGTTGTAGCCCGGAGTGACCGCGCCGTGGCTCATATACTGGAGCAGTGCGACACCACATAGGGAAAGACGCATAATATTAAACAGGATTTTTACACGTTGTGATGTTGCAATCTTAATTTTAACGCTATGATGCAGTGACAGTGGATTTTTGGGGGTCGATTTTTAAAAAAACAAATAAATGCGCTTGGAGTAATGTGCTCCTAGGACTATGGCACCATCGGGAACGCGAATAAAACGTGGTTGTCAGAGAGTTTTGTACTGGATTCCGGTCCTGTTCATTGCCGTGATAGTGGCATGGTCATACTACGCCTATGTTTTGCAACTGTGCATAGGTAAGTAGCCCCCTTACTATGTACTATAAGCATGAATGGATAGCTCTGTGTATAGGGGGAGGGATGGGGGACTGGATGAGACGTTTCGGGTTTGGTGTTGGTGAATGTACCAGACTAGGCTCCGTGTTTACGCAGTGTTTGTTGACAGTGCCATTACTCACACGGTAAGAGCAGGTCAGCGAGAAATACACCAAGAAGTTTTATCTGCACCACTATTGCAATTTAACATTCATTTGATTAGAAAACAGGGTTATTTTAAAGGAACATTTTGTACATTTTAAAGGAGATCAATACACTGGATCACTGCATGGATTAGATGTAATAGTATTATGGTAATGTCTCGTGGCTCAGTGCGCTGTGTGGTTTGTGTGCAATCCAGTAGATGACAATTTCACAACAGGAAATGAATAAAATATTCCTCTGTCTGTATATTAAAGGGCCCATATTTTCTGATCAATGTTATAATGTAGTTTTCTCCTCTAAACATGCCTAGAGTTGTGTTTTGAATCATTCACATCCTGCATATTTAAGATGAGCTCTTCTCTCAACCATAAACACTCTGTTCCACCTTGTAAGTCTTGTGGTAATGCAGGAAGTGCTTTATTGTGTTTTTAAACTCCATACACCCTCACTACAATCATTTGGATAATTTCAGCCCCGGAACTGCCAGTCTTTACTGACCAAAAGGTAGAAGGACAGGACAGTACAGCAGAAATGGTGCAAAGAGTGTTGAGAGACATTAGGCAAACAGTTCCTTGGCTTGTTTTCTGTATTAACGCTGTGACTTATCCCCTAAGCAATCCTCCATACAGTGTAATAAATAATTTGTTAATTATCTGGTTGGCTGTGTACTTAATTACTATGGTATCTTTACATATCAGCAGCTTAGAGGACATATAATTAAACAGTAAGCCTATATCTCCACTGCTTTTCCACACACGTACCCAGCAGTCATGTCCATATATATAACTCTAATTAACCATTATTTAACATGAGTGTGGGAGGGATTTATTGATTGTTTAATTTTTGTTCTTGTTTTTTATAATGCTAAGATAAAAATAATAAGGCCTGCTAATAGCCTCTAGTACACTTTAACAGCAACTACCAGTATTACTGTACCATTGCTTTTGCTACTACTACTACAACCTACAGCAACTGCTGCTGTCTTGTAAATCTTGTGAATTAACATTATATATAATGATTTTGAGGTATTTGAGTGTAGAAGTGAACTGCAGACAGCACCTCTGACCCAGGTCGGCCATTGTTGTAGGCTTAGTCAGGCTACACTCGGCTAATACATTATTGATACAGAGGCTCCCTCTCAGTCCATTAACAATGAGCCTAATGACAACATAAACTTTGTTTTTCCACATATTTAGAGGTCATATAAAGTCAGCTATAGCTCGTATTTCTATCATCAAATTGTGTGTTACTTTAACATAATTAGAAGATTTTGTGCTCCACAAAAGACACATCAGCTGCTTATTGCATGATTAATGTGAAAACAAATGGCCAAAGTGAAGGAATTCAAAACCTAAAGGTTGACTATAAATTTTCTGGTTCTTATTGTCTCTATGCTTTGTCTACAATATTCCATAGTATGGCATTAATCTCTAGCTCCATGGAGACAAGCCAGTTACACCACCAGGCCAATTTATGTGAAATCTGTGGTTTGGTGAGCCTGGTAACAGTTAGAATGCATGTTAGTCAAGCATTTTTTTTTTTAGCAATCAAAACACATTTGTTATTGGATAAATGCAAGATAGAAGTTTAAAGATGCATTACATAATGTTTTGGTTGGGAGTTTGTCACCTGCTTGTTTCTATGGGTATGTCTTTGCTTTGCCTGGAATGCTCCACAGTATGACATAAATGTTAGGCAGAGCTGTATAAACCATTGTGTGAAACATTCCAGACAAAGCAAGATCATCCTCATGGAGAAAAACATTTGACAGACCCTCCAGCAGAAAAAGTTACACAATGTACCTTTAATGCCATACCATGGAACATTCAAGGCAACACTTCTCCATGGAGACAAGAATGTGTGTCTGATGTGTTCATATACTGTGGCATCCCTGAAAAGGAAGGACATGCAATTTCCTTCAAACAAAACAATATTGTATCAGGTCAGATGAGGCGTCTAAATATAGAAACAGAATCTCCTTGGTTCGCAAAATATAAACACGCTTTTATATTTTTTGTAGCTGGCTGCTGTAGCAAGAAACAGTTGAACAATGTTTTTATTATTGCTCAAATTCTGCTCTTGTGTCCTTGGGCAAGACACTAAACCCTTAATTTATTTAAGCTTTATCTGACAGATCAAAGAGCAGTGACATTCAGCAACCAAACTCTTTAGCCAAAGTGCAGCAGCGATTAAGTTGTGTTTTATATGTACAATTAATACGGTTTACTAAATTAACCCACATATTTTCATTAGTTATTCACCCTGCATATTTATTCTGTGTTCTGCTCTCAAACAAAAAACACTCTGTTCCACCTTGTGATGTCATGTGATAATAAAGAAAGTTCTCCACCGTGTTTTAAACTCCACCTTCTGTAAAATCATTTAATATATTCATTGGATAATTTAAGATCTGGAATTGCCAATCTCTACTGAACAAAAGGTAACAGGAGCTGTTAACTTGAAAACTATTGCTACATGACATCACAAGGTGGAACAGAGCATTTTGAGCTTTAGAGATGTAATAATAAAGGTTAGTCAAACATATGTGAATGAAGCAAAACTCATGCAAAACTCCAGCTATGTTTTTGATGAGGTAGCACCACTACAACATGGCTTAAAGCTCACAAGAATCCATTTTGTGTAATATAGCACCTTTAACTAAAATTCTCAGTATAACCACATATTTGAATTCCAACCTTGCATAACATCCAGGTTTCTTTTTAAACATGGCTGAAGTAGGACAGAGCTGATGTTACTGCGCCGTATCACTGATTTCATGGAGACTTGTCCCCAAACGACCCCTGGACTCTGCTTCACCAAAGTTTGTGTCCTGAACACTTTATGGAACAGTACTGCAGTTTGACCAGAAGTACTCTAAATCTGTCATATATATAAAGGTAGCAACACATCAAGTAAACAGGACACCATGAACCATAAGTGGGTTACAGATCTGGCATAGAACCATGTGATCCAGTTGGCTGGCATTTTAGAGGGTTTAGCATTGTTTACACTTGTGCATTAGTTAATAGTAAAATGTAATAGTTCACTTGTGTGGTTATAGATAACTGGTAATTTGGTATCATCTTCGGGGTGGGTGATATGCCAAAAAATTCATCTCACGATTTTCTTAAAGTCAGATCATAATTTAAATTTTATTATGATTCATGTTTTTTAGTATCTTTTATACAGTTTTTAAGAGGTAACTAAAACTATCTGCTGTTTCTGTAAGTTTCCTCTTCACTGTGATTGGTTAGATCACATGTCACTCACTCAGAGCATTACACAGGCTGACCAATAGGACGAGTGGGCGGATTAATTATGTTAATTTTCATACCAAAAGAGTTACCTGCTATCCAGAATACAGACTTCTCCAATACTTTGAGTTTGGTCTCTGGTTGTATCTCAAAAATGGGCATGATTGACAGGTGCGTTAACCAATCAGGGACATGCATTGTTCGTCTGTATCAAAACAAACATGGCTGCTTATGAAGGAAAAAGAAATGAAAAACACATTACAAGGCTCTGAAAAACATTATGATTTTCTGGAGACTCAGTGAGTGAAGCAGTTAACTCTGTTATTCAGGTGTGAGAAGTTTGATTTACTTCAAAATGATGGGTGACCAAAGAGCCCCTTCGTTTTCAGGTGTCGCTGAAATAAACAAATCTGATTGGACGATCATGTTCTGAGCCTGGCTCAAGACGTGACAGAGGGCGTGGGGACTCGACTGATATTGATATCAATCTGTATAAAAAATGTAAAAATATATGATTTTGAACTTGCCCGATAAAATTGTTACAGGAATGAGATTGTAATTAAAGATTCTTATTATTGCTCAGAGCTAGTTTTAAGATTTATTACACGTTGTTTATAGTTGTTTCCTCGTCACATGTTTAAATTCGAACAGTGCTCTGGGACAAAGGTCTGAGGGGAGCAGACTCAGACAGTTTGTGCAGAAGTGTCGTCAGCTGATGGTTCAAACACATCGTCTCATTGTGAGTTTATGTAATGCACCCGGAGCCTTCTGCACATGACCCATTTACTGCCTCTGAACAATCTGCACTCTTCAAGACTCAGAAATATACTGTTTTGATGTGCTCTGTAAGTGGGTCACTCGTGGCACATTACTGAGTTTGCCAGCATTTAAAGCAAGGACTGGTACCTATGCAATATTATTTTACAAAATATTAAAGCAACATTGTAACTTTATGAAACTGGCATCTGCACGATTCCATGGAAATAGAAAGTTAAAACCATAAACAGTCTCCAATTCTGTGCCATACAGTAAAATATTTTAGTCAAAGGAACAATGCATGGAAACAAGCAGGGCAATTAGAGTTAGGTTTGTGGAGATGCAAGCCTACTCACAGTAAGGACTAGCTATTCAGCTTTTTTTGTGTGTGTATTTTTTATTTATTTTTTTTTGATAAAAAGTTGCATTGTGAGGCTTTAAGTTAATGTTAAGGTGCATGCAGTTTACCCATCCTTCAATTCCACATGCGGCCAGCAGCAGTCAGAAGCAGTGGGGGTCTGCTCTCTAGACACACAGTCAGAAGCTGGATGAGCAGGCAATCAACCTGGTGACTTAAATATATGTGTGAGAACAGTTTGATAAACTGAACATGGAATGGTTAGCACTTTTTGATGAGAAGGGTGCCTCAAGTTAGCCAGGCTGGCGCCACCTAGTGCCTCTGCTCAATGTAATTTCTCTCCAGCGATTAGGTCAGGAATCAGAATACACTAGACGGTTTACAAAACCCCGGAAGTACGAGTTCGGGCACCAGCCAATCAGCGAAGAGCCATACTTTCTGTGTTGGCAACGATTCCCTAAATCGAGGATGTAAAGCCAGAATAAAGAGAATGTTTGGTGAATTTTGTCAAGGGAAAAGACGTTATTGCCCTTCTTCTTACGGGATTTGGGAAAAGTTTAATATACCGATTAGCCCTGTTAGTGTCGCATTACATACATCATGACCAAATGGCAGTGATTGTTTAAATGAAAAAAGTACCTACCTACCTTCGAGCAAACAAATCCTAATGCTGCGAGGTCAAATGGTTTCCACGAAGTGAAACGCACTGAATGAGGCTAGGCTCAAGTGGCATTGAAGGATGAATCAAGTTTGTGTTCACAGGAAGAACAAGTATATTTTTGTACATTTATGACAGTGGAGGCTTTCTTCATAATCTTTTGTCCCTTAGTTTAGAATTATGAAATATTTTTCCTCTGCATAAGGTCTTTTCTAACCCATGGACTCTATTTAATTATTTTACAACATAAATCCCCTGTATATTTTTGTATTGGAGGAACAACAACTGCTTTTTTTACTTAAAGACACATTGTGTAACTTTTATTCAGGACGGTCCACCGCTTTCTTGTTTCCATGGAAATGTGTTGCTTTGCCTGGAATGTGCTACAGTTAATCTTTATTTAGTTATATAATATTTGTATTTCTCAAAAATACCTTGAAAAACTTGCTTTTCTCTGTGTGCAAGGTCCCCTTTTCACAGATCTGACCTTTTCACTTGATCTGGTGCTGTCACATACTTATTTCTATGGAGATAAATAAATTTAATGCCATTGTGGAATGTTTTAGAGTGTTATAACTACCACAGGCCCAAATGTTTAGGATCTATTTAGTGTTTTTATTTAGTGGTCACTTCTCTGTAGCCTTTGTCCTCTTCATGTCCAGCTTACGCCATAATAACTTCATAAACCTCCCTGATTCGCCCTTGTTTTGTCTCCTCTCTCTTACTCTCTCTCTCCGTCTCTCTGTTTCTTTCTCTGTCTATCTCTCTCTCTTTCTCTCTCCTCTCACTTTCTATCTCCCTCTCTCTCTGTCCGCTCTGGGGCTTTGTGCTGCGCTGCTGGAACTGGGCTTTTGGCTCCGATCCTGCACTCAAATCCTTGGATCACCTCTTCTCTCTCATTCCCCTTTCTCTCTCTCTCTAGACCTCTCTCTCTCTCTCTCTCTCTCTCTCTCTCTCTCTCTCTCTGTACTTCCTGTCTCCCTTCACATTCCCTCTCTCACTCCCTTTGCCACCTCTCTCTTTCTGTTCACTCCTCTCCCCTCTCTCACACTTTTTGTCTCTTCTCTCTCCTTTCTGTCTTCTCTTCCTCTCGCTCCTCCCTCTCTCTCTCTCTCTATCTCTCTCCCTCTCTCCTTTCTCTCTCTCTCTCTCTCTGGCTAATTTACTGGGAACAGATGAAGTTGTGTGCTTAGCTAATCACTGATTAAACATAATACTATACCACATAAATATGAACTGTGTCAGGCCATTGAGAGACTACAGCTCTGTTACATGAATGATTTGCAGCAGCACACAGGCAGATGAGTGAGCTGCAGCTGAAACTTTGTTCAACTGAATTTTTGGAATAAATAAACTTTTCGGACATGTGTGAATTAAACAAAACACAACTCCTTGTATGTTTTTAATGAAGAAAAAACATTATAACATTGCTTAAGGCTCACAGGAATCAGTTTTGTGTAATATAGGACCTTTAATTACAAAAAGATTTTCTCCTACATAAAGTGTCTCTACCTCATCAGTGATGTGGTTGCTGCATCAGAGCGTTGTAGTGAAACGGGAGCAATCTACGTTCCTACCCTCACCTATGGTCATGAGCTTTGGGTAATAACCAAAAGAACGAGATCGCAGATACAAGATTTCGAAATGCGTTTCCTCCTCAGAGTGGCTGGGTGCTCCCTTAGGGATAGGGTGTGGAGCTCAGTCACACGGGAGGAGCTCGGAGTAGAGCTGCTGCTCCTCTACGTCAAGCCAGCTAAGGTGGCTAGGTCATCTGTTCCAGATGCCTACTGGGCTCACCGGAAGGAGGCCACGAGGAAGACCTAGGGTGCGCTGGAGGGACAATGTCTCTCAGCTGACCTGGGAATGCCTCGGGGTCCCTCATGAGGAGCTGGAGGAAGTATCTAGGATGAAGGAAGTCTGAGAGTCCCTGCTTAGACTGCTGCCCCCTGACCTGGCCCCAGATAAGCGGAAGAAAAAGGCTGGATGGATGGAAAGTGTCTCTAATATAATGTATTGTAATTAAAATATATGATGTAACAAAGTATTATCCAACATTCACAAGAAATCAATGACCTTTTAGCAAAGCTAATAAATAAATTCAATCCATATATTTGATTAGCTGAAATCTGCTACCCGTTGGCCCTCACTGTAATTCTGTTCTCTTTGCAGAGTCCATTGAAGACACAGGGGAAAAGGGTAAGTGATGTTTAAATCTGTTAAAACATGAATCAGAATGAGTGAGTTTTTAATCTGGGACAGCCAGTTTCAGTGGGATCCCCAGTCTGAGCGTGCGCAGCCAAAAACTTCAAAAATGCTATAATTAACCAAGGCCCTGAATGCACCACCGCGCACTACAGCGAGACCCAGTTTCTCACAGTTAGTCTTCACAAACAGCTCCCCCCAAAAAAAGCTAATCCGCCTTGACCCACATAAGTACAGCGGTGATCAAAGTTTGTCTGTTTGAAATGTTTTGGGGAAATCGACAGACTTTAACATCAAATCTTGAGAAAAGCAGGCCAAGAAGGGAATGATGGTGAGGTGTAGGGATGCACTGATCCAGTTTTTTCAGTTCTGATACTGACTTCATATCTGTCGATGTTAACCATATTTATTTCCTTCAATCAAAAAATTAAAATAAGACAAAACTGATTCAAATGTGTTATGGAGCTGTTGTTTATGTCTCAAATAACTACAGAACAACTTTCCATAAATAAAAGTTCAAACATTATGACATTTCTGGGCTAAGTGTGACCAGTAAATAGTCTTATTACATACAGTTTGTGTTATATTTCATTATCAACATGCATTAGGTTCATGCAAAATACACTGTGGTAGACCCTGATTTGTCTTATGTTATAATTGAGCTATAGTGCCATACTGTTGAATGGGTAGCATGAGTGATAACATTCACCAGAAACTATTTTTCTCCAGCTTGAGATGTTGATAAAACTACATGGAAGTTATTTCATGATAAATTAGTTATAGCTACCATTTGTAAGTTTATTAGAATTTTATTTTATTTTTTCTAGTAGATGGACGATGTGAAACTTGTTCTCACTTCCCACCTCTCCTCACCTGGCCTTTGTGTAGACTCACCTGTGCTCTGTGGTCTTCTTCTGTCAGACCAAAGCTCAGTTTGAAGTAACATAGATAGACCTCTGATGGTGATATGTAAAAGTGCAACAGGAGTGAGTCAAACAGTCTAATTACAAATGGTAGCTTTAATTGTTTTTAATAAGTTTTTTTTTTTTTAAACAATAGACCCTAAATGCTTTTCCCCAGAACAGAAATGGTTTGGTCTGACTCTGACTGTTTCACATGATGACAAATGTCCTTGAGGAAAATAGAATTACCACAGGTTATAATGAACTGATAATTTATTAAAGTATAAATAATAAAATCTTCTCTCCTCTTCCTCAGTGGTGTATCTGCTGGTGTACCACGTGGTCTTCATCATGTTTGTTTGGGCGTACTGGCAAACCATCTTCACCCAGCCCATGAACCCACTCAAAGAGGTAAAATCCCTAGTCCTGGTTTAGTCCTGGGTTAGTCTTAGTTTAGTTCTGGTTAATTCTGATTTAAACCGGGTTCAGTTCATTAATAGTCCATGTTTTGTCCTGGTTTAGTTCTAGTTCATCCCTGAATTAGTCCTGGTTTAGTCCCGATTTTGTCTTGATTTCATCCTGGTTCAAGTCTTCTTAAATCCATGTTTAGTTCTGTTTATTCCTGGCTTAGTCCTGGCTTAGTCTTGTTTTTGGTCCTGAATTCAAACCCTGAAATAGATGAGCGCATTAGAGAAAAGCAGCCTTATTTCTTAGGATGTCTCGAGGATGTAGGTTACTGTCTAGACAAAACTTGATCAAAACTTGCCTTGAGACAGTGACACTTTATTGTTGCTTTGTTGGGCACTTTTCAAATATGGAGCACTTAAGGTTGAAGTTGGACCAAAATATGACATTGACTGAAATAATAAAATTCATGGATAGAAATATCTTGCAATAAAATATCATAAACATAGTGCGGTCCTAATTGAAATTTGTGATATTGTTGCATCCTAAAGCCAAACAGCTAAAATCAGATGTGTCTCTGTTTACTATATCTAATGTGATGCTGTAAAAGTCAGGGCTGAACCTGGATTAAACCAGGACTGAACTAGAACTAAACCAGGACTAAACCGGGACTACGCCAGGATTGAACCAGGATTAAAACCAGGACCAAATCAGGACTAAAACAGAACTAAACCAGGACCAAATCAGGACTAAAACAGGATCAAATCAGGACTAAAACAGGATTAAAATAAGACCAAATCAGGACTAAAACAGGACTAAACCAGGACAAAATCAGGACTAAAACAGGACTAAAACAGGACCAAATCAGGACAAAAACAGGACTAAACCAGGACTGAACTAGAACTAAACCAGGACTAAACCAGGACTACGCCAGGATTGAACCAGGATTAATACCAGGACCAAATCAGGACTAAAACAGAACTAAACAAGGACCAAATCAGGACTAAAACAGGACTCAAACAGGACCAAATCAGGACTAAAACAGGACTAAATCAGGACTAAAACAGGACTAAACCAGGACTAAATCAGGACTAAAACAGGACTAAACCAGGACTAAATCAGGACTAAAACAGGACTAAACTAGGAGTGACCCAGGATTAAAATCAGGACAAAAACAGGACTACACCAGGACTAAACTAAACCAAAAAAGTTACATACCATGGCTTTAAGTATAGTTCACAGTGTGGGCGTGTGATGGAACTGTGCTTTTACAGTCAGTAATACTTTACAATGGAAGTGCTTCTGGCAGTAATCTATAATGTATTTGATCCTGACCACGGCACTTTAGCTTCAGAGGCAAAAACACATTTATTCTGCCCTAAACCAATTGAAACCACATGCATTTATCCCATACATAAAGGCCTACTTTACAAGAGCCTATTGCCAAGTCACTGTTGTTGCGTTTGCTGTAATGACCATAGACTGTATATCTAAATGGACATAGCAATCCCACTAGCCACCACTTTGCAAACAGGACGTGATCATGGGGTGCGCTTCCGGCTCCATCGTCTCTGGTTCCAATTGACTTTGTATTGAAAATGGTCACCCTGTCTGTGCTGCAGTGAGCCTAGTCATTTTGGTCTTAACATTTTTGTATTAACCCGCTCTGTGTGATCCTGGTGTTTTTATTTTGCTATTTAGTCTGTAAATAAATTTCTATTCCTAATATGGAATTCGGCTCAAAATTCACTCCCATAACTGTTCGCCTTGTGAACTTTATGATAATGACTATAAGATCACATGTTTTTTTCCTGTGTTTTGTGTTAAACCGTGTAAGATTAATGGAGCACTATGTAACCTTTCTAGTAGGGCTTCTGCCACTTGCTTGTCTCTATTTGTTTGTTTCTTTGCCTAGAATGTTCCACAGTATAGTAATAAACTCTTCTGTCTTTTATGTACTAAATTTAATTATTGTTTTATTGCTAAAATATACCTGAAAAACAAGCATTATTTCTGTGAACTTCTGACTTGCGTCTCTACTGATCAGACCTGTAACTTGTCCTAGTGGTTTCATCTCCTTCCCATGGAGTTTAATTCCATACTGTGGAAGATACATATTGCACTTTTTTTTTTTTTTTTTTTTAACCTTTTTTTTAAAAAAAATGATATGATGGTGTGCTCCTGGTTTTGTCTTTTTTATGTTTTATTTTTATTTAAACAAACTGAATACATTCAGATATTAATGTCTCCAGACCTCATAATATAGGCCACATTTCCATATTTTCCCCAGGTTTTTTTTTTTTATAAATAAATCTGTTTTTGTTTGTTTGGCTCAGTTCCACCTGTCGTACTTGGACAAAGAGCTGCTGGAGCGTGACGACCGAGGGGAGTCCCAGCAGGAAATCCTCCGCAGGATCGCTAAAGACCTGCCTATCTACACACGCACCAACTCTGGAGGTCAGACAAGGTCTAGTCTATGGTTTAGGCCTGGTTTAGTCCTGGCTTAGTCGTGGTTTAGCCCTGGTTTAGTCCCGGTTTAGTCCTGCTATGGTCCTGTTTAGTCCATCTACACATGCACCAACTCTGGAGGGTAGACCAGGTTTAGTACTGGTTTAGTCCAGGTATAGTCCTGTTTAGTCCATCTACACAAGCTTAAACTCTGGAAGTGAGTGTACCTAGTGTAGTAGATGTGGGTTAGTCCATTCACGTGCACCAACTCTGGAGGTTAGGCATGCTTTAGTCCTCGATTAAACCTAGTTTAGTCCTGGTTTAGTTCTGGTTTAATCCTGGTTTAGTCGTGGAGTAAACCTGGTTAAGTCCTGGTGTAGTACTGGGTGGTCCTGGGTAGTCCTATTCTAGGAGTGAATAAGGTAGACCTGTGGTAGACCTAGTTTTGTCAGTTCACACACACGCTCCAACTCTGGAGGCCAGACCTGATTTAGTCGTGGGATAGACCTTGTTTAGTCCATGTTTGGTACTGGTGTAATGCTGGTTTAGTTCTTGCCTAAAGTGGACCTGGGGTTGATCTAGTTAAGTCTAACGCATGCACCAACTCTGGAGGTCAGGATTAGGTCTGGTTTAGTCCAAGGGTAGACCTGATTTAGTCCAGGGTTAGATCTATTGTGTCTCTGGTTTAGTTTTGACTTCTTTTGGTTCTTTTGGATCCTGGTACTTATAGTATCTTCTCTCTCTCTCTCTCCCTCTCTCTCCCTCTCTCTCTCTCTCTCTCTCTCTCTCTCTCTCTCTCTCTCTCACTCTCTCTCTCTCTCTCTCTCTCTCTCTCTCTCTCACTCTCTCTCTCTCTCTCTCTCTCTCTCTCTCTCTCTCTCACTCTCTCACTCTCTCTCTCTCTCTCTCTCTCTCTCTCTCTCTCTCTCTCTCTCTCTCTCTCTCTCTCTCTCTCTCTCTCTGTTTTTCTCTCATCAGCGATTCGTTTCTGTGACCGGTGTCAGCTGGTGAAGCCTGATCGATGTCACCACTGTTCAGTTTGTGATAAGTACGACTCACATCTCTGTGTAATTTAATATGGTACAAATACACTGAGATACACTGTGAAATAGTCATATTCATTAAAGTGTATTATAAATCTTTTGCAGGTGTATTCTGAAGATGGATCACCACTGCCCCTGGTCTGTACAAACTTTATACATTTAACCATTTATTATGGCCATACATTTTGTATTAAATTGCTTTGTTTATATAGAAAACTGCATGGATAAATATTGCAGGTGTAGTTCATTCCTCTAATTCTAGTTTAAGTAGATACTGTTCTGATACTAGTAAAGGATATTGGCAGCGATAAAGAAAAAGTGTGAAGGATTAAATATCGGCTTCCAAATATTGATTCAGCCGATATCCTGATTGGTTCAAGAAATTGATTTAATAATATTTACTGGTCATAGCCATCTGAGAAAGTCCTTCAAAGTTAGCATTTTTATTTATACAAAGTTATTCTGCATTTACTTGAGAGATAAATAACTGCTACATAACGGATTTGGATTCGGCTTTCTTTTACTTTATTTTATTTTAAAGGAAATAAATACTGTTTTCAGTCTGTGCACTAGTATCAGCAGATATTTAAAGCTATAGTATCAAAATTGTTACAGAACTGAAAAATCTGGATCAGTGCATCCCTATTGAAGTATTATAAGAGATCATTGCAGTTTCTTGTTATTGCATTATCTGTTTTCTTTAACTTCTTGGGTTCTTTTTAAAGACAATACAGTAAAGTGTGTTTACCTTGTTGACATGTTTGGGCTGCTGGCTGCAAGACATCTTTAGAACTGTCACCGGTGTTGGTGGTGACATGTCGTATATCAGCTGTTGTTACTTCCTGTAGGCGTGGTCAGGTTGCTCAGACTGACCACGCCTCCCGTCGCCCGATGTTCTCTGGAGGAGGGTGTCACAAAAATGCAACACCATCTACGAAATCCAGTGCAAATCATGCAATAAATCATACATAGGGGAAACAGGCTGGGCATTCCACATTCGAAAAAAGGAACACCAAAAGGAATGCGAAAAGGAAACATCAGGGAGACTCACCAGAACACAAAAAGATTAAGCAGAACAGGAAAACCTAAAATCCGCCATATCAGACCCCTGTAAAAGGAACAACCACATTATGGATTGGGACGGGGCTCGGGTCATTGGATCAGAAAGCAACAAGTTCAAACGCTCCTTTCACACACCTGGGACACCCTCAGCCCACCCAGAGAACATCGGGCGAAGGGAGGCGTGGTCAGTCTGAGCGACCTGACCACGCCTACAGGAAGTAACAACATCTTATATACGACACGTCACCACCAACACCGGGGACAGTTCTGAAGACGGCTTGCAGCGAGCAGCCAAAACATGTCAACAAGGTAAACACACTTTACTGCATTGTCTTTAAAAAGAACCTGAGAAGTTAAAGTATATAAGAAGACAAAATGAACATCTTTGTCTTATTATCTGTTTTCTATAGTATTAATCTTGCATAATCCTTGGTTAATCCCTTCAGGCAGTCATAGTTTACACTTCATTTGCACAGGTTTTCAACAGTTACAGCATCTAGCCATTTCCATTAACCAAATACACCATTATTGTTTAGCTTCTTATTAGCTTCTCTGTCCTGTTTATTTTGAAAAATCTTGCCTCTTGAGCAGCTTGAGCAGCCTGTCGTCAAACTGAGAAAAGCCAAAACAAACACAGATTCTGGAGCAGATTTGAGTTTCTCCTCGACAGACTGAGAGACAGAAGAGCTGAAAACCACACGTCCCAATGTGGCTCAGTGCAGTCAAGCAGACCCACAGATACAGCCCGACCAGTAGTTATAAACATAAGCATTTATTGTCAAAAGTAAAAACAAAAATAATTCATTCATCTAAAATAAATTAATGATAAATTGGTCAATAAACTTTGATAGAAATATCCAACTCACTAATCAATTAAATAAGCAATAAGTATGTTGTTTTGCTATTCACCCCCATGTAAAGGTAGATAAATTGCACTATGGACCTTTTTCTGGTGGAGATTTTGCCAACAACTTGTCCCCATACAGATGTAATTTGCCTTGCCTGGAATGTTCCACAGTATGACAGCAATTGTATCTGTCTCCTTGGAGAATTTTTTTTCAAGGTATATTTGAGCAGTTAAACTTTATTTAATTAACGATACTTATGTTTAATGTCATACTAAGGAACATTACAAGTAAAGCAATACTATCCCCATAGAGACAAGCGAAAGGTGGATCCCACAAGTTAAAAAGTGCAACGTTAATTTTGATGATGTGAAGTAAATGTGTGTAAGAAAGTAGATGTCATTCAAAACATCATAATGGACAATGGGCAAAAAAACAAACACACTTCTAATCAAATGTTTAGTTTTTTTTTGGCATAGGCAACATTATGTCAAACAAGGCCAACAAAATCTCTGTTAGCCTGTTAATTTCTGTGGTTTTGAAGTTGTTATCTGTGTCATATGTCATAATTGCAAAAGCAGCATTTGTCAGGTTATTTTAATAATTTTATTTTGTGATTTCACTCCAGGGTGAACAACTGTGTGGGCTTCTCCAATTATAAGTTCTTCATGTTGTTTCTGTTGTATTCGCTGCTCTACTGCCTCTTCATCACCGCCACAGACCTCAAGTACTTCATCAGGTTCTGGCTGGTCAGTATCCAGAGCCTCACTGTACATGCTCTTCATTGTATATAATCACATATAATGATTGTGATGTGATTTGTGTCTGAAAGGCCGGAGGTAGAGCCCATTTCCGTCTCAGAGAGTACTTGGTATGAAAATGTAGTTAACATTGACTAGAAATGTGTAGATGAGCAGTAAGTGTCATTGTAGTTTGTGATATCTCACTAGAATCAAGGTAAACTGGAATGTTGATAGTGGTTGTAGTAGTAGTAGTAGTAGTGGTAGCAGTAGCACTAGTATTAGAAGTTAGCGTAATCACAATACTAAATTTTTTATGCTCATTTGCAGTACTTAAGAATAGACTTGATACTAGATACTAATTTAGATACCCAAATGTTAATTTTAAAAGATTTTTTGTAGACAATATTGTAATTTTCAATGCGATAATGATGCAAAATAGTTAGTTGTTTATTATACCATGTGGTCTTACACTAGTTCTGATAAAACTAAATTAAACTGTTCAGGAAAGGCCGGTTTTATCCAGTTATGGGATTTTTTTTATAGTAATATACCTGCTTAAATTGGTATCTAGTTTCAGTATTAGTTTTAGTATTGATTAGTACCTGATTTTCAATTTTCACAGCCCTATAGTAGAAGAAGTTGTAGTAGTAGTTAGTGGTTTTGTAACATTTTCTCTCCCATTCCTTTGCTATGTTAAGAAAAAAAAATACTATACGCAAAAAGTACCATGCAATTTATGGTTGTCAGCAGTTCAATAAAATCATAAAAAACATATACAAATAAAACAGAAGCGGTAACAGTAGATATAAAGTGATGTGTGTGTTGTGCTGCTTTAGACAGAGAAGTATAGTTTCTTCCTGGTTATTGATTAATTAATCTATTTCCTGATCAGAATGGGCTCCCGGACACTCAGGCTAAGTTCCACATCCTCTTCCTGTTCTTCTCTGCGTCCATGTTTTCTGTGAGTCTGGCCTCGCTCTTCATCTATCACTGCTGGCTCGTGTGCAAGAACCGCTCCACTCTGGGTGAGCCGCCTGCGCTCATGTTATATCACTATATTCTAGACTCACTATAGTGTAAACTGAAGTGGAATTGACTGTTTACCTGCCAGACTGCAGATTTGTTGACCTGGTTTATAGTTAAGATATCTGTAATTACTATCCACATGAAACAAAAACGTACAGTACAACATTTTCACTGTCAGTATGAATAAAAACTGATCATATTTTTTCAGAAAGTCTCAGAAAGTGGTGCCATTATTCAACTCCAAAGACCCCATTGTTGTAAATTGAAACGATTTTAAAACAATATAGTAATAATGCAGGTTTGTGGACCCAACCCACATAATAGCAAATTATAATAAGGTTCATTATTTATGGATTTCTGTTTTGGATACCGTTGTTAAGAATTATCCAAACCAGTGGATCGGCAGTGGCTCTTGTGAGAACTGTTGTGTTCTTAATCCAGAAACTGATGGTGCAGATTGGCAGCCTTGCTTGCGTCAACCTGCCCCAGGACAGCTGTGACTATAATAATAATTTACCATCATCAAGTATGGATTGAATAAAAAATTAATTATGTAAATCGCTTTTCTCTTATGATGTAAGATGTAAAGATGTAAAGTCCTTGCAACTGACAACAATATCGTCCTGAGGGCTGCATATTGGCACCACTTTTTTATGTATTTCTTCCATTTGTTGATATTTTTATTACTTATTTTCCTATTTTATTTTTACTTACATATTTACTTACATATACATTTACATAATTATGCCTTATTTGACGCCAACCTCTTAGCTAGAATAGTTGGAATTTATTATTACCATTTATATTTTTTCTCTTTGTCATTATGTTATATGGTGATTTGTGAGCTACTGTGTCGAGATAATGGATCAATAAAGTTTGTCAAAGTCTTAGAAGACATTGAACTTTATGCCAGTCTTTGTTTCATGTGGATAAGCCCAGTATTTACAGAGATATTAACCATAAACAAGTCAACAAATCAAACAATCTGACTCAATCTTGCTCATTTTCTTTCACACAGAGGCAGTCCGAGCCCCAGTTTTCCGTCACGGCACAGACAAAAGCGGCTTCAGTCTCGGCTGCAGCAAAAACTTCCGTCAGGTATTTGGAGACGAAGTGAAGTACTGGCCTGTCCCTGTCTTCTCCAGGTGAGACCCTCGCCCATAGACCACAGTATTACTTTAATATTACGCTAATATTACACTATAACAGGTGAATAAATGTGTGAGAATGAAGGGAGGAAGTGATCAAGTTATTTATGACATCCTGAGGTAGATTGCTTCACAGATTTTGAACACCGTTGACCTTTAATTTTCAGTCTAGAAGTTTCTGAGACTGAGCTGTCAGAGTGTTACATAAATACAGGAAATACAAAATGTGATTGCAAAGAAGTTAACTTTAGATATAGTATTTGTCCTTTGTGTTGTTTTGTTGAGAATTGTATTTATTAACATTGACCAGTATTTTTTTTTCTAATAATAGATACGTACTAATAATAATTTGAAAACTAAACGGCTATAATAATCCAATATCTAGTTATGGTATCAAATACTAAGATATTTTATTTATATAGTGTGTTTCAAACTCTCAAAGAGGTTTTGCATTCATTGACTCCGTACTTTGTGGTGGCAGACTGATGGAAATGAGGAGGATAGTCCATTAATGGGTTTTAGAATGGAGAGAATGTTGCCATAGCGATTAACAATTTAAAACAAAAATAATAACCGAATAGGAATAAGTGTAGTTTATAACAGGAAGCCGAGACTGCTGGATACTATTGGCCCCTGTGACCACCAATCACACACCACATTCATACATAGACATGGTGAAGTGTCTTGCTTAAGGACACAACTGTTTTATTACCATTATATACACTTATAAGACTTCTGCTGCTATGGACCACTTGGACATTGAGCGGCCTGTTGTGGAAAGGCCATTGCTGCTAGAGCTGGGAAGCAGTGGCCCATCAAATGACAGTCAAGCCTTGAGTGACTTCTTCATTGCAATGAACAATGTGAGTTGTTGTAACTCTGCCCCCACAATGGCTTACTGAGCCGCTGCACCTTTATGGTCCCTCAGTTAACTTTTCTCACTTTAGATGTACTGTTGCCCTTGTGATTTGTGTTTTGTATCTGCTTGTTTGTCAAGCTCAAAAGTTGTTTCGACTAAAAATCTGCAAAGCCTTCAAAAGAAAAAGGTGGAAAATGTTTTAATAATTTAACTTAGCTGGATAGAATTAAATGTAAGCAGTGATTTTGGAAATTGGATAATGGTATTAGATATTTTGGATTATGTGTAACTGTGTTCCTGTGTAAATATAGAAAAATCAGCTAAGTGAATTTATGGCTTCAAATGTATTTTTGTATTTATGGTAATTGTTTTGCTCCTGGCTTCCACAATTAAGGGGCCAGTGTGTTGGAGCCATATTACGCCTCTCTACCTCCCACCTCTGTGTGGCACTATTTGTAACTTGCAACATAATTTGTTGCCCTATATAAGGGGGGAGAAAGACACATTCAGATGTTGCACCGTGAAGGTATACAGTCTTTTGACCGTTGTCGTCGACAATGTGAGATGGTACTGTGTATGTTTAAATGGCTAAGGTACGCCAATAAATATTGAGGAACACAGTATTTGGACTCTTTTTATGGAAGACACGCGTCCAAGACACCATACACGCTGCAGCCATAGCGGACCTTGCACAGGGCAAGTTTTGGCCGCTACACACCTTATAGACTCGATGTAAGAATATTCACAAAATTTTGAATATAGTACTCTGATTGGACCATGTATCAGAATACATTACAAAACACATTTTAATTTTGGTGTTTAGTATTTTGTAACTACAGTTTTAAAGTATTCTTCCCACCATAGGTCTATTTAAAACTAAAATAGAGGTATCAAGATATATTATTAAGTTAATGTATAGTTAAACAAATCACTACAACTACACAGACTGAAGTTTGTTGTCAAGAGAGAGACCCGTCAGTGAATGAAGTGAATTTTGTCCCACTTTATTTGAACAGACACAAGTTCATGGCTCAAGTTTAAGCTGCCATAGACTTTACATGACTGACAGAGGAGTGATTAGCACAGTTAAGAGCTTTAGATTTGTGGGCGGACCTGGTCTCCTCTGAGTGAAGCGTTTTGTCCTTGAAGTTTGAAGTTGGGAGAAAAAAAAAAGTGCAGATTTAACAGAGTTTGACAAGGCCCATATTGTGATGGAGATGGACAACTGGGTCAAACGTCTTTGGCTCCTCTGGGCGAAGCTGTCAGGATCTGTATATGGAAGAGGGGAAAGAGAGAGGGGGAGGAGAAAGGGGAGGAGAGGGGGGAGAAAGGGGGTTATAGTAAGACAGAGAGGAGAGAGAGGTGGAGGGGGGAGGAGAGAGGAAGGAGAGAGGGGAAGGGGAGACAAGAGGGAGAGGGCAACAATAGAGGAGAAGGTGAGGAAGAGTGAGAGAAGGAAGGAGGGAGATATGAGAGAGAGAAAGGACAGAGAGAGAGGGAAAGAGAACGGGCGACAGGAGAGACTTAGAAGGAGATAGGAGGATGAGAAAGAGATGAAGATGAGAGAAGAGGAAGAGAGAAGGATAAAGAGAGGAGAGAGACGGGGATAGAGAGAGAGAGTGAGAGGAGATTATTTAGAGATACAAGGGTAAGGGAGAGTGAGAAAGAGAGAATGAAGGAGTAGAGAGAGAGAGAGGCAGAGACAAGGATGTGGAACTTCCGTGACCTATATAAATTTAGTTAAGTGAAAGAAATAAAAATTATTAAACAATAAAAAGTCTATTAGTGTTATACCATATTACTACATGTTTGTTTAAGTTTGATTAATTGCATTTATTATTCTGACTGTGACCATTTCATGTTTCTTTTCTTGTCTCCAGTTTAGGAGATGGATGTTCTTTCCCCACTTGTTTGGTGAATCTTGACCCTGAGCAGCCACCGTCCCCCATTGGCCCCATCCCGACCACAAAGAGGTGAGCCAACCGTAAATTCATTTTGGGAGATTTGGTGTCCATTTTAGCTGTATTTGATATATTTCCCAATTTTTATGACATGGTTAAATGTCAGTTTTTGTCAATGTGATATTTTTGCTAAATATAACTAACTAAAAACAAATTAAATAATGAAAACAGATTTGTGAAAAATGCTCTATGTAACGTTTCTGATGGAGGATGAAGTTATTGCTTGAATGTCCCACAGTATGGCATTAAACATACCTTGCTTTTATAAACTTGTGCACAGCAGCATGCTGGCTAGCTCACTGTGCCTCAAAGCGAACAGTTACTTTGATCATAAAATATAAAATAAACAACCTATTAAAATTCTAATTAATTAAAGTAAAGCCTATCCAATTATTTTTATACGTAGATTATTTCAGTTTGTAATGTTGTTTATTTATTATACCAGGGTCAGTGAGAATTCCAATGACTAACGGTCACGTGTTAATATTGCACGATGCACAAGTCGTCTGGCAACAGCCAAATCACTGTTTTATATCACTGCTTTGCAGCCATCACCATGACTTCACCAGAGCAATGGCTAAAACAAATGCTCACCTGCTGTGCACAGAGTCAGCATTATTATAGACAATAATGTAACATTCTACTGTGTTCAAGACTCGGGGAAAACCAACCTCCACCTTGAGAAAGTACAATAGAACGGCCACTCAAATCTGGGTTCAGAAACACAAACTTGGGCTAGTTCGGTGCAGACTAAGTTGGATGGATTTCTGAACATGTCATTGTCAAACTGCCATAATTGAGTCACCGACAGCTCACGTTAACTAACACACTCCATTTATTAGCAGGAGCTAGTGATATCTGCCATTAACTACTCAAGCTAATGGAAAGCATTTACAATGGATGTCGGGAGACATTTCAGTTTCATTTTGTAGCCTTGGTATAAGGACATTAAACAAATTGGAGCTCCTCGTTGTTTAATACTTACTTATACCAAAGCATTGAGACAAACTTCTAGCTAACTTTCTAAAAGCAGAAGTATTCTCTGCTCAAGTATTCATTTTATTTGTGTACTTTTTAACACATTGTCAGTGACATCCACCCACAGCTTCCTGTTCACTGCCTTATCTTTTAATATTTATTCATTTTAGCATGACTCAGCAAAAACCTCAAAGAGATAAAATTGGACAGGAAGTAGTGATGTTAACAGTGTGGTTGCCGGGCGGGGTTGTGCTCAGAGCCAATTAGGTGTTTTGATTGCCAAAGAAATACTGAAAAACATGCATTCTTACTGTGAGTGGGCTCACCTCACCACAGATTTGGCCTGTAACTTGGCCTAGTCACCTCAACTATTTCACACAATTGAGATAGATTAATACTAGTTAGAAATAGTTTAATGCCACATTGTCGAACATTCCAGGAAGTAATAGGCAATAACATCTCCATGGAGACCAACAAGTGGCAGAGTCTCTACTAGAAAAGTTACATTATACCTTTAAATTAATAGGCCATATTCTTATTTTCTTAAAGTCTGTGGTGGAAGAAGTACTCAGTTTGGATACACAAGTAAAAAAAAAAAACAACAACAAAACCCTCAAATAAAAGTATCACATGAAAAAATCTACTTAAGTAAAAGGATTAAAGTATCTGTTAAAAAACTTAAAGAGTATGATATATATATATATATAAAAGTATTCCATGCAGATTTTGAGATCTAATACAACTTCTAGTGTAGAGATGTTGATAAAAATTTTAAGGGTTTTCAGCAGTTCTCAGAAAAACAAAAAACAAAAATACTTTTACTTTTCAGTCTAGTTAAAAATGTAGTAGAAAGAATAAATACTATCTCTCAGTGCAGTGAAGTAAAAATAAAAAGTAGTCACTTGTACTGCACTTGTAGATGTGTTTGTGTAACTTTTCTGGTGAAGGGTCCACCAAATACTCTTCTCCAAGGAAAACTTATTGCTTTGTCTGGAATGTTTCACAGTATGGCATTAAACCTTTCTAGCATCATGGAGACCAAACCAGACCAAACTGTTACAGGTCAGCTCTATGGAGAGGCAACCCCACTCACATGCCTGTTTTTCTAGGTATTTTTGAGCTATACAACCACCAATTAAATAAATGTTAGGTAGATCTGTTTAATGTCATACTGTGGAACATTCCAGGCAGGGCAATGACATGTCCACATTTCACTGTTTCACTACAATGCAACTACTGCTTTTATTTTGCTACATTCCACCACTTCCCAAAACCAGTTATTTTCATATTGTCTCTTCTTTTTGGTCTCATGGTTGGTATTGTTCTGTCTTTGTCCTCAGTGCAGCAGAGGGGCGCCAGTTCCCCTCCAAACCTCTGAGAGAGTCCCAGAGCCGACTGCTCACCACCGCCCCCTCCTGGTCTGACAGTGAAGGCACAGCTGAAAAAGACAAGAAAGGTACAGGACTGCAAGAGGGATTTCATGAATTATGTAGTAACATACAGTAGTTAGTTTTGTTTCTTAGTGTGGTTAGGTTAGGACTCTTATGGACTGTTATGTACAATATATTTTTCATTTTGTAATATAAATATGTTTCAGGTGCTAGTAATCCAATAATGATAATTGAACATGAGGCGTGACTGAAGAAATAGCTCCGATTCTAAAGGTAACAATCTACAACAATCTAACATTATAAAGTAACATTTTCATCATGTGACATTTCTCATTGCTTGGAATGTTCCATGGTATGGCATTAAAGGTGCTTTGTGTAATCTCTATGGAGAGAAGTAGGTGATGGACCCTCCACCAAAAAAAGTTACACAGTGCACTTTTTGCATTTATTTATCCAAGTTACAGGTCAAATCAATGGAGAGGCAAACCCGCTCACATTAATGAGGACACCTATAATTTAATAAATCTATAGAGGAGTTTAATGCCTTATGACGGAATATAAAAGAAAAAACATCTCCATATAGGATACATAGTGCATTTTGAAGTCCTTCTTGTCAAAAAAACTTTACAAACACTGCAGAAAATATAAGAAAACAAAATTATTCTGTACATTTTACCAGCAAAAAGTGCAAATTTCTGCTTTTATAATTTTAATTTTCTTTTTTCTCACAGGTCACCCTCTTTTGAGTTTGTGCCTGAATATTACGACCTTGAAGACTGGACTTATATTTTACTCCATCTGTTTGGATAGGGCTGTCTATACAACCAACACAAAAACTACTAGACCATGACAACTACTTTAAATATATTAATTTTACGCTGAAAAAAATGAAGGACATTTCATTCATTTTGTCTGAAAAGCACAGAGTTGGAGAAAGAGTGTTTAAAAAAAATGACATATATCTTATTATTATTTTTATGTTGTATCTCAATTGTAGAGCGTAGAAAGAGTTGCCAAACATGAGTAGTGTTCAGATCAACTGTATGTTAATGTGAGACTGTTTAGCCATTTTTATATCAAACAAACAAAAGGACTGTTGCATGCCTCATCTCAGGATGTGTGTCTTAGTGAATTGTACCTTTTTTCTTGCCTGACCAGCCAGCCCCTTCTACATCTTGTCTGAATCCAGAAGGGACAAGAATCGAGGGTGAAAATCCTCTGTACTCATACTTGAGACGATCCAACCACCGCTGCTAATTTGTGGCATGTGTCTCTCAAATGCAGAAGACATCTTGTGAAAACTTCTTCTAGCTGAGATAAGTAACACTTTGGTGCTTCGATTGTTGATTCTGAGAAGATCCACGCTGTTCTTTTATGTTTATGTCCTTTTGTATGTGTAAGCAGCGATATTTGCTTTTGACGTGAATGGAGCATGCGTCTCTCTGATTGGTTGATCCTCCTGTCAATCACACTTTCTGAAATCAGGGAGACAGGATACAGCTCCAGATCCATTGGTCTTTGTAAAGGTTTGTCACAGCGTGTGATTCTGGCTGGTCAGGTAACTTTCATTCTGCTTGGGAAAAAGATAATTTCCGTGTTACTAAGGGCTCTTTTCAATTGTAAAAGCATGAATGAGTGCGGATCTTTGCTGTTACACCTCTTAACTACAATAGCTGCCAAACTCTCTTCAACCTCAGACCACCGGTGTTGTGCTGAGAAATGAACTCCCTTTAGTTTATTTATTTACTTTTTTCAAGGGCCCATATTACGCTATTGTCTTATCTATGTTATAATGTTTTGTTTCATTCACACATGTTCAAGTTCTTCTGTTAAACAAAAAAACTCTGTGTTCCTGCTTGTGATGTCATGTGGTAATACAGGAAGGGCTCCACTGCGTTTTTAAACTCCATACACTTTCACTAGCATCATTTGGATGATTTCAGATCTAGAACTGACCTTCTCTACTGAACTAAAGGTAAAAAGTAGATGTTAAAATGACCACTTCATGACATCACAAGCTGGAACAGAGTATTTTGGGCTTTGGAATTGCAAACAGACTAATAATAAAGGATTACTCAAATATGTGTGAATGGAAAAAAAAAAAAAACACAACTCCAGGTCTGTTTTTGAGGAGGTAACAGCATTATAACATGGCTTAAAGCTCACAAGAGTCAATTTTGTGTAATATAGGACCTTTAATATCAACACATACAGTATACATTTTTCATCAGTTCAAAGTGGAGTGGAATGTAAAACATGATATGCCAAGGTAAAATTATTTTTATTTTAATATTTCAATGCAATACAACTACATGTACAAAGTATACATATACTCACTGGTATAGGTATTGGATTGATACTTGTCATAGTATTACTTGTTAAAAAAATACTGCTTTCACTACAACTCCCAAAATGCATCAAGAAGCAATTTTCACTAGTTTATCTGGTAATCTTTTCTCGGCACAACACCCCAAACTACAACCTCTGCTGCAGATTTCAACACACTCATCATGAAGTGTGTTTACCGTCAGTGCAAAAAAAACACCGGTCTTCTAAAATGTCTTTGAATGCTTTGTACATTACTCGTTTTGAATGTAAGCTTGTCTGAAAATATCTCCTATAGTGACAGTAATATGTATATCTATATTTTTCTAATTTGTGTCGGGACAAAGTGGGACATGCACTGTACAGTGGTGATGCCTTATGACAATTAAACAAGCTCTTCTTCAGCCTCAAACCATTACATATGTCATGGATTATTAAACATACAATATACCACGGTTACCACAGCTCATAAAGGTCAAAATACTGTTGCTGCAAGTTCAGAAATTGATTGGGGGTTGGGCTGCCGTGTAAGTTGTCTTATTGTCTTATTACATACTATATGTCCAGAAATGTGTTCCAGTTGGATCCACCGTGTCCTGGTGAGTAAAAAGCAATATTAACATAATATCTGTATTAATTATTAAAGACTGCTGTTCACTTTTCACAGTAAGGTTGCATCTGATGGAGCTACCTGTGGTATCATCCACAAAGTGCAGTGAACCACCACCAGAGGGAGCCCTGATCCTACTGTCAGAACGCAAGGTACAATCCAAGGTTCTGAGAAATGAAAGAAATAATAATGAAATAATAATGTTAAAAAGTGTGTTTTGTCCTTTTATTGCACTCTTAGGATCCATAGTCATTGTCATCTCTGCTAAGACATCTACAACTACAATGGCTTATCTAGCTCGAGTCAGATGATCCAGAGACCCCAGAAAGTTATTATTGGAAAATATAGTTTAAATCTGGGTGGAAAAGTAGAATACAAAGTTACACTAAACTTGTGTTTTAGGATCCAAAAACATTCCTGGAGTGTGACCCATCAGATGTTCTCACCCAATGAGAGGAAGAAGTGAACGAAGCCTGGTCCAATAAGAGACTTGGCCCAACACAAGGGAGAAGGCCTTCAGTCCGTGTAATCTGCTGTTACTCTGAAGTTCAGGCTAATCAAAACTGAAGCACCACTCCTGATGAAATTCTCCAGAGGAACGAGAACCTCCAACAGTGTTGAGAGAAAAGAACCTATTCTAAATCTTTGCAAGTTTTATAACACGATTTTTACTCTATGATTGTGACTGCAGGTGACCTTTGGATTTAATGGAAAAACAAAAGGAAACAAATGGTCTTTGGAGGACTCAAAAACAAGCGATGAAGCTCATCAGAAGACTGCATGCCTGGAGAAAAATGACAATGACGATGAGACGAACTACAGGGATGATGTGTGACATCTGGCCTCATGGTGACAGACAACCAAGGAGATGATTGTGGACTTCCACAAAAATGGGCAGAACAACCACCAAACTCTCTCTGTCGGCACTGAGGTAGTGAGGACAATGCCTTTACTACCTGATGAAACTGAGAAGCACAAACATCCCCAGTCCACTGATGGTGAACTACTCTACAACAACTGTGCCATCAGAAGTGTTCTGGCATCTGGATTTTTAGTGTGGTTCTCCTGCTGCACTAAGGTTGACACACGCTCTCCAGTGGGTGGTGAAAACACCACTCGATGTCTCCGTGACCAGCACCACCCTGCTCATCACCTTTTCTACCTGCTGCCCTCAGGTAGAAAGTACAGGTCCATTAAGGCCAGAACAACCAGACAGAACAGTGCCCCCTTCCCCTTTCTGCCTTTCTCCCATTACATGGACAATAACCACATTCACCAATAAAATAACATTGAACTGGACTTTGCATTGTTGCATAATTACATTTGTGCTGCCCTAAATGTCCTTATTGTACTGATGTTTACATTGGAGTTATTTAAGGGGTTATTGGGTGGGGTCTTGCACTTTACATCAAAACTATGCAGTGTTTCATGCTCTAAATGTAACTTTGATGTTTTCTATGACAATGCCAATAAAATCTCTTGGATCTGAAATAAATAAGAATAATAATCTAATAATATGTTTTTTATCATTTAGAATATTAATAGTATATTTATAATATTACCTATTTAACACAGTGGGAATATGCTAAAGTTGCAACTAACAATTACTTTGGTAATTGATTCATTTTCTGATTATTTTTAGGTTAGGTTATTATTTTAGGTGATTTCATAGCAGTTGAATGGTAGGCAATTTCATCTAAAACACAAAATTATCATGTCATTTTCATGCAATTACTGCTCTGTCCTTGTTATAAAACCTCTTTTGTCAGCTCATGGCATGTTTTTAGTCTGTTTATAGATCTGTTATCAGCTATTTTGCAGCCCTAGCATTACTTTGACTTCGAGGGCCAGTCTCCCTCCAAAATGAGTCAGTTGATTTTATTATGGTATGCAAACATGTCTGTCTGCAGAGAGAAAAATACACTTTGAGTATCAGCACACTTTCTAATCCTACGTAAACATTCCGCCAATGTACAGAGACACATATAGAACTATTCTAGCATGTCATGCAAAGTGAACATAAATGAACACATACCATGAGTCTGATGATGGTAGAAAAGTTTGAAGCCTTTATTTACAAAATAACCTAAAAACAACCCTCAGGTATATTGCATTTTCCTGTTTACAGTGTGTTCGTGCTGCAGAAACAAGAGTGAGCTGCTAAACCTTTATATTATCATGATCATTAAAGGTGCATTGTGTAACTTTTCTGGTGAAGGGAGTCGGTCACCTGCTTCTTTCTATAGCTGTCATTGCTCTTCCTGGAATGTTCCAAACTATGACATTAAACAGCTTTACCTTACATTTATTCAGTTACAGATGGTTTTTAAAAGGCATTCTGACAGTGAGTGGGGTCACCTCTCCACAGATCTGACCTGTAACTTGACCTGATTTGGTCTCCATGATGATAAAAAGGTTTAATGCCATACTGTGAAAAATTCCAGACAAAACAATAACATCCATGAAGAAAAGTGTTTGACGGACCCTCCACCAGAAAAATTACACAATGCACCTTTACGGGACAGATCTGCAGATGCTTCGACAATTCAACACAAGCTGAACACTGCTTTTGTCATCAAACTTTCAAAACGCAGCATGGAGTAATAAAGGAACAAACTCAAAATGTAACCAAGTATTTAAAAGCAAAGCAGTTCCTTTTCCAATCATTAAAAGTGTTTTTCTTCTTTTATTACAACCCTAAAATGCTACAAATAAAATTAAACTGTACTCAGAGAACAGGAGTAGTTGTAATTTGACATCATTGCAGCTTGACAATGTTTTTTAGTAGTAAGGTCTGGCAAATTTGAAGACCTCAGTCAAAAGTTTGGACACAATTACTCAGTTTTTAAAGATCAAAAATACCCAAACTTTTCACAATATGGTAAAAATCAACAATAAAATTGAAAATGATTGTGATGTTTGAAATCAATATTATAACAAACTAAGAATAAGCAAAAGCTAGAACTGGACCACAAAGGATTGAACTAGGATTAAACCAGGACTAGGCAAGGACTAAACCAGGACCAAACCAGGACTAAACCAGGACCATCCCAGAACTGAACCAGTACTAAACCAGTAACTTTGGCCTAATCCTATGAAGAAGGCCTAAACACAATTATTTTGAAGATCTGAATTTCAACTTGAATAAAACTTCAAATTAAAAGTAAAACTTAAATTTGACATGGACAAGTGTTGTAGGTTCCAATAATGGGATCTCAACCACTTTTTGAAAACCAGTAAAACATATGTCCAAACTTTTGAAGAAAACTTTGTACTCTGAATATTGGAAGAGCATAACTTTAGGTACAATAATGCTAGCTTGTTTAACATCATGCTACATTGATACTTATTTTCCCCATATTTTTAAACAATAACGTTATATGCATGAACACAAACAAATAAGAATAAACAGTATTTTGCATGTAAAGAAGACATTCACTGGCGCCCCATGTTCCCACTGCAAAATGATGGAGCTTTCTGACATGTTAATAAATTAGCATTTTAAAAGATATTATTAGCTTGTTATAAGGCTGAACTTGGCGGTGGTGAGGTGTAGACGGTACAATGAGACAAAACCACACAATGTAAAAAATAGCAACGTTTCAGAAGGCAACAAAGAGAAGAGCGAGAGAGAGAGACGCCAGACACATTTGAGCTTTCCTTATAAAATCAGGTTAGAGTTTTAAAGTGCAAAAATCTACAGAACATTTTCGGAAAACTAAAATCCCCATCTTTTTTATCCCCCAAGCAAATTGAACTGAACCAACCAGACCATCTAAGCTGCGTCGTAGGAATCAAAGACTAGCAGACTCCCATGTACAGGCTGTCTATGGGTTGACAAATTTCAATTCTTTTTAACCCAAATTTTGACCTTAAATTCACTTCAACAGCTGGCTAAAAGACCCATGGATGTTTTTTTTTTTTCCTATGTCACATTTTGGGCTCGGCGTTGATTGTTGTCATGACAATGGAGGATGGAGAGATTAGGAGGGGGGGAGGGGGTCACGATTGCTGCTTGTTGGCTTCCTCTTCGTAGGCATTTCCTGTCCCATTCTGGACGTAGGCGGAGCCAGAGCTGAGCCCGTACAAGTGACCACAGTACTTAGCGTCATCAATATGATCCTCAAAGAACATCTGAGAAGAAAGATAAATATTGCAAATAAGGACAATGAAGAAAAACGTGAACAAAAAAGGTGTTCGTTAATGGAATACTGCAAAACATTAAAAACTCTAACCCCCCCACCCATACTTTCCTCTTCTCTTCTGTCCTCCTCTCTCTCTTTATTTTTGATTTAATGTTATTATTTTTCCTTTATTTCAGTTTATATAATATTTCGATTTGGCATTTATTTTTAAGATGGTGGGTTAGAAAATAAGAAGAATGTAAAAAGGAGTTGTGATTTGTAAATCTTGTTTTAAACTGTATGTCCTCAATAAAAATGTTTGTTAAAAAAAAAAAAAGACTTATATTATAGCTGATTAGATTTTAATTACCAAGCTGTTGTGAGATAAATCAGTTATACATTTTTACGTAGTCTGTAATAATTTTGTAAAGTTATTATATTGTTTGTTTAATGGCTGCCCTTAGATCAGTCTTATATAGTTTTTCTTTTTTTTTTTTTCTTTTTCGGAGAGTCAAGTCAAAAGACAAAACATCTGTATACACTAGTCTGAGCAAAGATGAGCTCTCAACCAGGACAGCCTCTTACAGATCAATACAGTATGTCTAATTTAAAGACTAAAAAACGCATTAAGTCTGACATTTTCAAGCGAATAATTCTGAAAACATGTCATTTCATTTATGGCATGGTTTAACTGAAAACTAAAGGCAGATTGCTTAACCACAGTAGCCCACCTCTCTCATCTTAAAGAAAGCCATTCCTGTGAGTAAAGAGTCAGAGCCAGCCTGATGCTGGGGTCCAATCCTCTCCAGCTCCAACTGCTCCGCCACCTCCTGCAAACCTCCCTGAAAGAAAGTCAAACATCACAATTGATACTATTGATAATGACTAAGGTATGTAAAAGTATCAAATGTACTTTGCAGCTGATGTCATCAACATTCCCTGGGTGTGTGATGCTAGTTGAAAGCACTACTCTGTTAGAATCTGTTACTCAAGTTAGACTTTATGTGAACTTTATTTTAGCACAGTCTGACCAGAAAGAGCTGACTTGGTTGAAACTACAACAGGTGAGCTGATTTGTGCGCTTAAGCAATCTCTCACACAAAAAAATTACTGTCACAAGTTAATTAGCATTAGTTAACAGGTTAGTTGCTCTCATTTTTTTGTTGAAATTCAAACACCTAAACAGGACCATGAACACAACTCGTAATGATCACAGACTCCTTATGTGTTGTTTAAATGCATTTTGTATTTTTTCTTGAGTTTTCAGATAATCTAAAAACTTCTTGGTAGTTATTGCTAATGTGTGCATTGTGTGACCATGGTAACCGATGACCATTCTGCCATAAAAATACACCGCCAGTGTGATGCCATTGCAAAGTATCAGTACTGCTCTAAAAGGATCAATATTTCTATTACAAATGGACTTACTTCATGAAGCTGCATCATAAAATTTACAAACACATAGCCAATATTTTGACACAACAAACAATATAAGTACTTTAATTATCACCCATTAACACTCATAACATTATCATAGCTCAATATTTAGCTCATTCAACCAACTAATGAACCATCTATATCCCACAGGCTTTGTACCTTCAGGTTTTTACAGCTTTTCATGAGATACTTGACATCGTAGATCACTGGGAAATACAAACGCAGGATCTCAAAGAAGTCCACCTCCTCCTCAGGCAGGTTTGCATTGGACAGGATCTTTATCAGGTACCCAAAATCATACCCACTGAAAACACAAGGTTTTGTTTCATTCACACGTTTGACACACAAACCCTGCATATTCAGAGATATTTAGGAGTTCTTCTCTCAAACTGAAAACACCTTGTTCCATCTTGTGATGTCATGTGGTAATACAGGCTCCACTGCTTTCTTAAACTACATACATTTTCACTAGAATCATTTAGATAATTTCAGGAATTTCCCATCTCTACTAACCAAAAGGTAAATGCTAGCTGTTAAATTGAAGACTACCGTTGCATGACATCATAAGGTGGAACAGAGTGTTTTGAGCTTTAGAGATGTAGACAGAATAATAATAACAATAATAATCCATAATAATAAAGGATTACTTAAATATGTTTGAATGAAACACAACACAACTCCTGGTATATTTTTGATGAGGTAACAATATTATAACATGGCTTAAAGATCAGATGAGTACATTTTGTATAATACAGGACCTTTAATACTGTATATATTTTTTAATTAAAAAAAACAGATAAAAGAAATACACTGATAATGGAAATAGCAGCACAGTATATGTTTTGTGGTACCTGTGAAAGGACAGCCACTTGACCCCGTCGCACAGCACGACCCCAGATGTCATGAGCAGCTCAGCGAAGTACAGTGTCTCTATGCCCTCATCCTCGTGTTTCTTAAACTGAATCCCTGAAGTAGTGAGGAGCTCGATCGAGTCCTGCGCGTACATATCCTCTCTGAAAGAAGCATAAAAAAAGAAAAATGCGTTATAAATAAGGGTTACATTTATTATTAAATGTATTCATTGCTCATGCCATTACATTTTATTAGCAATTTAAAGAGAACAACAAAAAATCTGACCATTAATTATACATGTTCCAACCATTAAGTGCCTTGTCATTACTGGCATGAACAAAAGGAACAGGTAGACGGTAAATCTCAAATAATTGTATCAAGGAATGAGGAGAGAGGATAGAGGCATTCACTTAACATTGCTCCATGGACAAGCACAGATTTTGAAATAATATCTAATCAGCTAAATCAATCATCAATACATATTTTGTTCATGTTTCCTTCCTGTTGTATATTGTGATCAGAACTTTTTCACAGGTTTGCACCATATCAGTCTGGAAACTGGAAATCTCAGAGGAGGGACAGTGAATAAATATTTAGATGAAGGCAGATTACTTGCTATGGTAGTTATGATAACATTCTTATATTGTATCTATGGCAATAAGGCAGTCTGATAAAATTCTTACGTGAGGTTGAACTTAAAATTAAACTGCCATGTTGATGTTCCCGGTGGATATTCGCCCTGTTCATTCATAAACGTGAGTCCGAGTTGGATAATCTTAAGAAGGTCCACATTACAGCGCAGCAACTGATACTGATAGTCTGCGTTACTCCTGAACTCTCCAATTGGCCTCGCAACCACCCCGGGAAACTCTGTGTCCTGAGGAGAGATTAGAGATTATTTCAATTACAATGACAGCAAAACTTGATAATAACTTCATTTAAAATTAATTAGGTGATGCATAATTCTATTAGGATTAGGAATACGCAATATTGAAAAAAAAATATATATATATTTTTTAGTTTTGGGTCCGTCACCTCCTTGCTTCTATGGATATGTCATTTCTCTGCCTGGAATGTTCTACAGTATATCATCAGCTCTACCTCACATTTATTCAATTACAGGTTTTATAGTTCAGAATGCCAGTTTTTCTAGGTATTTTTGACTGTGAGAAGGGTTGCCTCTCCACAAATCTGACCTGTATCTTGGTCTGGTTCTGTTTCCATGGAGAATGGTTTAATGACATACTGTGAAACATTCCAGACAAAGCAATAACATCTCCACAGAGAAAAGCATTTGAATGACCCTCCACCACAAAAGTTGCACAATGCACTTTAAACTATCTATAAAGAATATGTCATAATGTGACTATGTCTTGTTTAGGATCAAGTATCGCACAAAGAGTTAATGGATCATAAAATTAAGCACAAAAGAGCAGAAATATTACCCCATACAGATGTTCACAAGACATTTAACTCAGCTTTTGTTTTGTTTTTTGCAGTAATTACTGTTTAATTTATAGACAATGGCAATATTAAACATTTTACAATTTACTGCCCATCTCTACTTAGGACTCCCATCAGTTACCCATTTAGTAACTGCTAGCATTTCTAGGAAACAAGGATTAGTCCAATATTTATTATACAGCTTCCCAGAGATTTGGTTACTATGAAGGACTCCGTATAGAAAAATAGGTTTTGTCTCATAGTCAGTAGTTACCAAGTAACACAATATTTTTCACATATAAAAGAAATGCATGATCATAATTAAAACAAAACTTCATGATGCAAAGACAGCATATTTTACCAGCACTGATTTGGAAACGTTATAGCAGTCAATTTAGTTTCTTATGCAATGGGGAATTTTGTACTTGTTGCAATAATAACTAGTCATCAGTACTGGTGGTCTAAATAAAAAGCTTTTATTAAAAAAAAATATCCGACCACACAGTAAGTGCTCACCAAATATTTCACTGGCCTACACACGGCTAATGCATTATGGAATCTAAATGAACAGACGCAGATCCATACCATAGCGATATAGTTGTATTTACGGATGACATGTCTGATCCTCTTCAGCTCCTCCTCCAGGTTATTGGCCCAAACCTCACATATTCTTTGGCTGTGATCCACAGTAGCTGCGGGCATAGTGCCACTGCATGCAAACACAGAAACATCAACAACAATACTATGGGCAAAGAGCTAGCAGTCTGCCCCAAGACTTCAGTGTTATCTTATTTTAAAAGTCCCAGACCCCAGAATAAGCATGTGTTATGTCTGATACCATGTAAATACACGCACATATGGGCGGCGTTAGCGGTCTATTAAAAATCAAGAACGAGATTAGCAGCTCGTATTAGCTTGAGCCACACCATATCTTAGCTAGGTTTCATGTAGGCGAGGCTAGTGAAGGGTTAACAGTCAGAATGGGACACAGAGCACATGTGAAGTGTTTAGCTGATCACTCATGCTCTTAGCTGTGCTCTGAACAAGTGTGCATTGAGCAGAGGGCACGGGTGACCCGCAGGACTCGGCGCCAGTTGGGATGGTTTGTGCAGCCTGGAGCCTCGTAAACTTACCGTTCCCCGGACCAGCGAGTGTGTGATTGAAGCAGTTACAATGTTAAAACTTCAGGTGTCTCCACGTTACAGTGTCGGGGGCTTTCCGCCAACTTTTAAATAGTTTATATTCTGAAATGCATCGGTGTCAACCCACGGCTGCCATCATCGTTTAGCCTACAACACTACGCCAGCACGCAGGGCACGTCACCTGCGTAAGTACGCACGCACGTGGACCTCTCATCGACCATACGACCAACACTAGGCTGTGTATGCGACCGACTTATTTTTCACTTATAAATAACACATTAACGCTAATCAAAGGATTTTTTGTAGTTTATTAGATTTCACATGTAACCTATTGTATAAAGAGATAAATAACAAGACTTTTAATAAATGCTTTTTAAGCGTTTGTTTTAGGGGTTAAACAGGGACATCTAGCGGTTGCAGGTTGCAACTCAAACCAACACTCCAGTTACATGTAGCTGTGCTGTGCACAGGTGCACATACCACACCACATGCAGATATCTGTTACATTTCTGCCATGCGGTATGTCTATGAGACACAGGGAGAAAAAAATCAAAACAACAAAAACAGAAAACCTTTCCATTTTATTTAAGGCCAAAATCATAAAATGACAAACCGTACAAAAATAAACTGCTTAAATAACACATGCTTAAACAGCATTGATGGTTTTGCTCATTTGAGGTCACAAGGGCTACATGGTGTGATTAGTATCACATTCAAAACAAATGAGACATGCTTATAAAAATAAAATGCAGTTACAAAACAAGTCTTTAAAGCATCCTACCCAAATTCTACAAATTTATTTCCCATTTCTGAGCTAACAATGATTTTAAAGTAGTGATGATTGCAATACAACTTTGCCAGTGTCCAATCACTGATGGTAACAATGAATACAGTACTACAGTTGCAGTACTCTGGAGTAAGATTTGTTCAGTGATCAAAATGTGCAAATAATTCTTCAGAAATTACAGTTAAATTTATCATGTACATTTTAATGTGTGTTGTTGTTATGGCCCATAGAGTTTTCACAGTTTCAACATCTGATACATAATTCAAACTCTATTACTACCCGATTTAAGATATAACAATAGCATAACACAGAGCGCTTCTTTTGTATGAGAAGCAAGCAAACCACACACAAAAAATAAAGTGCAGGTCAATTCAAAGCTAGTCCCCATTAAAACAAAAAAGGAAAGGTGCTTGCATAAGTTGTTAAGATATCTACTTGTTTAAAACTACATAATGCCTTAAGAGCAAACATATACATCTCAATAGTGACAAAGAGGCAACAAGCATAAAAGTGCAGACTGTGAGATTTGGCAGCATCTAGTGGTGATAGTAGAGATTGCAGACTACAAGTTGAAATAGTTCTTTAATTTTAGTAAACTTTACGAATAAAATAATCATTTATCCAGTCACTTATAGTTTGTTGTTTTCAATAGCTTTTTAAAAAGGGGTGCATGCTGAATAGTGGATAGTAATTTCAATACTTTTAGTTCTCACATTGATATAAAGGAATAATAAATTTTGGTGTAAAAATGGCTTAACCAGTAATCGACATGTTCTAAATCGACACTAAACCAGACCCAAAGATCTAATGTAATTTTCTGAATTGTAAGAGGGATGCATTGCTAGTAGTTTTGCATAAGATTGTTTTTATGCTACAAAATTGGCTGCATTATCTAGAAAACAAACCAATGGAGCTCAACAGTGGGCTCAACAGTGGGTTCATGTGGTTAAAACTTAGGTAGAGGCAGGTCAGAATGCTATAATAGAATTTGTATTTTAAATTTCTAAATGTAGATGTTCTGACCTGGTTTGCGGTTAACATCTGTAATTATGAGGTCTATCCACGTGAAACAAAATCTGAATCCAATCTTCAACAAATAACAACTGGGTTCAAAGCCTAAAACGTGAACACAACCTGTTGTCATGCATTTTTCCCATAGACATTTTTAACTGGGAGTTCCAAGGCTTGGTATAGGCTAATTGGCTATGGGGCTACTCATGACCATAACACTTTAATCTTATCTTAAAATCTTTAAATATTTCTGAAACATACATTTGCAGTATTTTCAAGTTTTATATACACATGTTAAAGTTATTCTATGTTATTTATGCAATTATTACGCATGTTCGCTTCAATGCAAAATTTTGGCCGGACGCTAAGCTACTCCTCGTTTTATGTGCGCTTTGATCCTGATCCTTGCAATTTGACTGATGCACACTCCGCGATCACAACTCTACTGAATCAGACAGTAGACAGTAGTAGCAAACCTCCATGACACATGTTTTATTTTATTCCATTGTGTGATAGTCATTGGCTATAGCCAGTTAGACTATATTGTGCTTTTGAATTCACTATATTTGAAATTTAGAACATATTGGGGAAATTAATGACCAATTTAATTTAGTATTTGAATCATGGTTGAGCTCCATTTTCTAAAATGTTTTTGGCACCTATGAGACCCCTATAGTTTTAGAGTACACCTTTAGTTTCACTTATGCTGCAGAGTTGATCGTTTCATCTGAATCTCTGGCACTGTCTTCGCTGAACGGTGACTGGACACTCAGGTCTGCAATCCCCGACTCCTGATCGCTGCCATTAGAGTTAAAACTTGAAGTCTGGTTTAAATCTTGTGGAGTAACTGGACTGCCCCCTTCTGGCCGTGGGCTGCTGGTGAGGAAACAGGAGGCGTAGTCCTGAGGGGTGTTGGCCAATTTTATGTCCGGAGTGAAGATCCATGCTGTTGGGCTTTTGTCAAAAACATTCATTGAGCCGGTCCACTTCTGTTCCTCCAGTTTTGAGATTTTCTGAGGGCCAAAATGTAAAATATTGTAAAAACAAACAAACAAAAAAACAAGTATAGTATGTTCATTCAAACATTCAGACTTTTCTGGGTGTGGATTCACTACCTTTTTGTCTCCATGAAGGTGTTATTGCTTTGCCTAGAATGTTTCACAGCATGGCATCGCCACCAGCTTGCCTCCATTATAGAGAGATAGATAATCTAAATGCAGCGGTGTCCAAATATATGCAAAGGGCTGATATATTAAAATACAGACGAAGCTGAAGGCTGATCTAGGGCCATAGACGGTGCCTAATACAGTGAATAACTGAAAATAAATAACTGTGCATTAATAGCAGGTTAGAATGAGCCACCAGACCTTTGTTCAAGCTTAGATCCTCAAAATAAAGCCAATTTGATATGAACTTTATCAAGACAGATTAAAAAAAAAAGTTAAGTAAAAAGCACTTCCTAAAAGTAGTATGGGCTAATTCACCTAGAAGCCTGAGCCACATTTGGCCCATGGGCCAGTTTGATCATGCCTGCCTTAATTCCATACCATGAATGTGTGCATGGTCCCTTGAAGTGCTTTGAGCACCTTAAAGGTAGAAAAGTGTTCTATAAATGTTTATTTTTTTATGTGGACTTGCACCTGTTTGTGAGAGGCCAGCTGCTCCTCCAGTTGCTCCGTCTCTTCTTTGATTGTCCTGAGACAGTCCTCCACCGACTGACGAGGATGAACCCCACGCTCAAAACGATTGTAAAGGCCCCTCCAAAACCTGCAAAGTGTACAATTTTGATGTCTTTCATAAGCAAGCTACTAAAATCAGTGTGGATTGGGATTTAAAAAAAAAAAAAAAAAAAAAAAAAAAAATCACAAATGTATTTTTTTCTTTTGTAGGTCTTAATAGTGCTTGACTTACTTGAAGCAGTAGGGAGCAGTAGAGGGCCGGAGTACCCCCTGAGTTTGGCTGTGGTTGGGTCTGTACAGAGGGTTAATGAAGTCTGCTCTGTTTGTCCACAGGTAACTCCACAGGGAGTGAGTCCTCTTCTGAATTCTGTCAAATTACAAAAGTTAAATATTGTTAGCCTCCTGCATAATTGATAATAATACAGAAGCAACAGCGTCTCGAGAGTGCAGATGCGAAGAATGGCGAAGAATCTACACTGAAAAGCACTGGCCATGTATGCCTTCACCTGGTGGCCTAAAACTTAAATTCTGCTGTTGGTGGCTAATGTTTTTTTGTTCATTTTTTAGCTTTAGCAAGAGCTACTTATAGGAAAAATAGGTACATTGTTGTTATTTCACAAAAAAAAAAAAAAAAAAAAAAAAAAAAAGAACACACTATAACAGACTTTGACCTTTTTTAATCAAAACAGATTTATCCAGACTAACTTTGAACACTCTTAACACCTTTAACATGTTTTGCCTGCTTTTTTTTGCTGCTGTTGATTTATTGTGTTTGTTTGATTTTATTTGAAAGCAGTTTGGCTGATTATTCTTTATAAATGAACATTCACTGATAGATTGTTTGAGAAAAGTCATGCTAGGTCAAATCAGATATTTTCTCCAGTCTCACCCCAGCTCCTCTCTCTCCTTCTGGTTGTTGCAGATGAAGTTTCCAAACTGACAGGAGTAGATGTGGTGGTGGATCATGATGAGGAACCTCTCATTGAACTCAAAGGCACAAGGAAACTGCTCCATCAGCTGCCACACGCACTCAAGGAACTGGTCAATGATCGGAGACACTTCCTTTGGGTCTCCATCGATGTGATTACATCTGAGAAATACATATATACAGTCAGGTATAAGACTAGGGTTATTGTAAAGGTAGTTTTTTTTATTTTAATAGATCATTTTTTTAGACCATGGTTTAGTTTGTTTTCATACCTGAAAGTTTCTGCAGCTTTGAAAACAAACTAAACCTTGGTCTGAAAAAGAATCCATTAAAATAAATGAGAAGAGCAGATGAACCTCATTGGTAAATCAGGGTATGTGAAGATAGAATTTGTCAAACCTGTGAGAAAACTTGTGACCAAAGGAAATCCAGTCTTTTTCAATAAGAACCTGGAAAATACAACAATGTTAAAAATGTATTGTAGTAATACTTAATACTACACTTATAGCCTCACTAGAGACAAGACAATACAAAAAGGGCAACAGTGGCTCATGTGTAAAGGGAGAAGGGTTGGTAATTGAATATTTATTTATTTATTTATTTGAGACAGGGACAGCGCACAATTTTCGCATTAACCGTGACAGGAGAGATGCATTGTACATCAGGTTGTAGCATCAGTGCTAATTTCCACCTGTCGTCCCTGGACAGGTTAATTGATTGATTGTATTTAATTGACCTTTGACTATCAACTGTTCTGGAGACCTGTAGCATGTTTTGGGTTGATGGGGGAAACCGGAGCACCCGGACGAAACCCATCCAGACACGGGGAGAAACATGCAAACTCCACACAGAAAGGCCCTGGGCGACCTGGGGATCGAACCCAGAACCTTCTTGCTGTGAGGCATGAGTGCTAGCCACTCAGCCACCGTGCCGCCGAATATTAGCTCTGACAAGTGCATTTTGTCATTGTCCTTGGGCAAGACACTTCACATACCTTGCCTGTGTGAATATGGGTTGTTATGAGTGACTGTGGTGAAGGGACCAAAGGAAAGAATGACGTCTTATGTCTGTCAGTCCCAGGGCAGTTGTGGCTACAAAGGCAGCCTAGTGTGGGGACTGAAGAAATAAAGGTCCACACACAGTAGTACTTTGAGAACAAGCAAATTATAATTATTTATTTTAAGGCATTTCATATTAATTAACGTTACTGTAAAAATGTCAGAATTATGTGTAATCCCATTATCTTTGTTAATTTTCTGTCCAAGGGTATAATAAACAACTACTTTCATTTTGTTTCCAGTATTTAATGCAAAAGTAATTTCAATTCCTCCATAAAAAAATGCTACAAAAATTCTTTGTAAATGTCTAAATGTACAAAACACATACAAAAGGTATATATCAATTATATTTGATTGTGACATTATTCTTCAACTTGTACCAACTACAGTACATTATGTAATAAGAATACACTGTATATGAACTTGCTATAACATCAGCACTGTTACATAACTACATTTAATATGGATTTTATTTGGATTTAGTGAATCAAAGATAACATACATTTAATATTAAAGTTGCCGCTGTGCTCTGTGTGGGACCACTCTTCTGAGACAATGGGTGGTAGCCCACCTGGAGGCCTGTCTTTCTACTACAGCCGTATCCCATCAAGGCTCAAAGGGATTTTAGGTTAAACTTTGACAAAATCTGTTCAAATAAACTGAGTCTGAGTGAAGCACAGGGGACTATGGGGTAAATCCTGGGAGTGGATACTGTACCACGAGGGGCCGGGTCAGAGAGGGCGACTTCATAGTAAAATCTTGAGGTAGTTCTCATGTCTGTAGTGGCTTAGAGGACAGAGCAGTTTTCCAGAAGTCTTCAACTAGAGCATACTTTTACGGTGTCACTGGGCAAGACACTATACCCCCCTTCCTATGTATAAATTGGTTGAGTGCCTGGTCCTAGTTGGAGACAGTGGTGCTGATTTGCTACACAATATGTTGCAAGTGAATCAAAATCACAATGTGAGTTGGTACAATTATCAAATCACAAAGGCTGAAATTATTTAGCTAAGAAAATTTACAAAATATAATGTCTTTGTACAGAAGTATCTTGTCATACCTGTACTTAAGACCTCTACAAGATACATACAATGTTATGAAATATTCTATTAGTGTATCAAATCAAATCAAATCACAATTGCAATATTGCAGCTGTGGCTTGAAAAGTAGTTAACCATGATGAATGGATCAATGTACAAATACACCAACAGAATAAGGCTAATAAATTGTAATAAGACATCAAGTATGTGTGCAAGGCTTCAGTCATCCAGGTGGGATTCATCTCAAAGGAGAAATTCAATTCTGTCAACTGATTGAATTTTTTGATTGAATATCATTCGCAGTTCATCCAAGCTGCATCTTCAGCTTCTGGAGTAATTCAAGTCTTATTATGCGAATATGACTTCCACATTCAATAGACCAAGCTAACAGGAACTGTAAACAAGTAGGGTGTTAGTTTCAAAGGTTTCAGTGTAGTTAGCTGCTCCCTTCAGGCAGATATAAGGAAGTGTCCACCGGCTCACGCAAACACACACGGACCAGAACTGAAGAAGCACCTTGGATGAGCTGCAAAAGGTATTTGTTCAAAAAACATTGGTCCAGTTGACAAAATTGAATTTCTCCTTTGCGGAAGACATCAAATTAACTTTATCACAATTTTTATTTACAGACATGGACAAAATTGTTGGTACCCCTCTGGCAATGAAAGAAAAATCAACAATAATCACTGAAATGACGTGAAACTGAAAGAAGCAATAATAAATAAAAATTTACTGAAAATTGTCCAACAAAAATCAAACATTGTTTTTCACCTGTGGTTCAACAGAATTATTAGAAAAAAAAAAAAAATGAAACTGGCCTGGACAAAATGATGGTACCCTTAACTTAATATTTTGTTGCACAACCTGTTGAGACAAACTCTGCAAACAAATGATTTAAGTCACTGTCAATGACACTTCTGCACTGGTCAACTGGTATTTTGACCCACTTCTCATGAGCAAACTGCTCTAGTTGTCTCAGGTTTGAAGGGTTCCTTCTCCAGACAGCATCTTTCAGCTCATTTCACAGATGTTAAATAGAATTGAGATCTGGGCTCATAGCCTGCGACAGAACAGTCCAATGTTTTGTTCTTGGCCATTTTTGGGTGTTTTTAGCTGTGTGTTTTGAGTTATTGTACTGTTGGAAGTCCCATGGCCTATGACTGAGACCAACTTTCGGACACTAGTCAGCACATTTTATTCCAAAATACCTTAACAGTTTGGAGATTCCGTTGTATTTTGCACAGATTCAAGACACCATGTGCCAGATGTAGCAAAACAGCCCCAGAATATGACCAAGCCTCCTCCGTGCTTCACAGTAGGGACAGTGTTCTTTTCTTTGTGTGATTCATTTTTTCGTCTGTGAACATAGAGCTGATGTGTCTTGCCAAAGAGCTCTAGTATTGTCTCATCTGTCCAAAGGACATTCTCCCAGGACATTCTATGCATTGTGACAAATTCCAGTATCACTTTTTTAGGATTTGCTCTCAGCAGTGGTGTCCTCACATGAAATCCACTTTGGCTCAAACAGTGACGGATGGAGTGATCTGACACTGATGTACCTTGCCCTTCAAGTTCACATTTAATTTGTTTGGAGGTTGTTCTGGGCTCTTTGGTTCCATTTGTGTGATCCATCTCTTCAATTTGTCAGCAATTTTCCTCTTGCAGCCAGGACCAGGGAGGTTGGCTACAGTCCTGTGGACCTTAAACTTCTGAATAACATGTGTAACTGTAATCACAGGAACATCAAACTGCTTGGAGATGGTCTTATTGTCTTTATATTTAACCTGCTTGTCTATTATTTTCTCTCTAGTCTCCTGACACAGTTCTCTTCTTCTCTTTCTCTGGTTCATGTTCAGTGTTGTCTCCATCATGTCTCCAAACAGAACAATGACACATGTCTCCCTTTAAACAGGCAGAGTGACTGAGGACAAGTTTGAAGACACCTGTGATGCAGATTAGAGACACACCTAAGTTTAACATGTCCCTATTGTTCAGTTACTTACAATCTTTTCTAGGGGTACCATCATTTTTGTCCAGGCCAGTTTCATTAGTTTGTTTTTTTAAATAATTCTGCTGAACAACAAATCAAAAACAGTGTCTGATTTTCATTGGTTATTTGTCAGGATTTTTTTAATTTATTATTGCTTTTTTCAGTTTCAAGTTATTTCAGTGACCATTGTTGATTTTTCTTTCCTTACCAGAGGGGTACCAACAATTTTGTCCATGACTGTATATCCTTCAAATGGCTAACATGAAGAATTAATTACTTATAAATATTGGTTATCCTCTCACATAGCTATCACATTTGCAGTGTGTTCAAATGTTCTCACCATGAATCCCTTGAGGGTCCTGTAGTGTGGGTCCAGCAGCACCGAGGAGACTGAACAAACCTGAGATGTTCTGTCCCATCCGTCAGAACAGTGCACGAGGACGCTCACACCCTCCTCTGACACAGCCTGGGGACAGTAAATAACATGCAGGGTTATAGGTATACATATGACACAGCATGTTAAACATCAATATCTCAAACTAACTGAATTAACTAACTTTAATATATTTTATTAAATGACATTGACATTTTATGGAATTTTGAAGACTTTTCACCATTCAAAAAATATACAGGAATATTTTGGTTTCAATTGTAATTTCCTACGGTAGCAGTGGTCATTTTTCATCATTCTAGGCAAGCAGGTGGCGTATCATTAACCAGAAAAGTTACACAGTGCACTTTCAATAAATCACAAGTCCAGTTCTTTTATTAGACAGCGTGATCCCTCCTCAGACTGACCTTAGCAATGAACACGGCAGCGTCGAGAACAGCTTTGATGTGTTTGAGCCATCCTGAGTTCTCGAGGCCCTCCAGGAAGTCCGACATAGAGGGGCTCCGCAGCTCACACACTGAAAACACAACACAGCTGTCTCTGTCACATACCTGTGTCACAATTCAAAGATTTAACTGCAGTTCATCTGATGATTGATTACTTACTAACTGGACAATGTTGACAATGTACACTGGTTAGGTCTTCTGTTGGTGGTCCAGATACATTTCAAATGGTGTAAAGTGAGTACACTGGGGCTGTAGTCAACTAAAGAAACTTGGTCGACTAAAGACATGTCCTACCACTCAATTAGTCAACAAAAAGAGTGTGTGGCACAACTCACTGCACTCACAAGACTACACCTGCACGGGAGAGAGTAAGAGATGGTTCATATGGCAGTAACATGTCAGATATGTACTTTGATGCAAGGCCATGTAGAGACTTGTACACAAGCAGAGCTGCTTTAAAGTCTACTCTCTGAGCCACAGGAGGCAGTGCAGAGACCTGAGCACAGGACTTATTCTCATACTTCCTGATTGGAGTAGGACCCAAGCAGCTGCGTTCCGGATGTAGTGCAGCTGTCTCATAGTGAGCAGGCTGTTATTGTAGTCTAACCTACTGGATGCATGGATAAAGTCTGCTTTAGACAGTATACCTTTGATTTTTGCTATGTTACTAAATGGTAAAAAGATGTTATTGATTTGATTTGGCTGTTAATTATTACCCTGAGATTTTTAGCCTGAGAGAAAGACTGGAGGTGACCACTCTCTTTGGCTGAAGTCACAGTCTTTGGCTCACAGAAACATAGTTACTTTGCCCTGGCCTATATTACACAAATGAACTCAGTGCTTTCTCTTAGGTGAACAGGTTCAGGTGCCCTTCTTGTCTGTGGTATTCAGTAATCCTCTGGGACGACGGGAGATTTGTACGATGGGAGGATGGTCTTCAAAATGTAATTACAATCTGGTTTCCTCTGTCTCCCAAATTTTACAGACGTCCCTTTGCTTCACCGGGGGGCACAAAGTTATCACAACTAAAATCCACACTACAACTTTTCAACGTAAATATTTCACAATTCTCACGCCCTCCTGTCTCTCTTTGGGGCATGAGAGGCCAGATTGTCCACTGCAGGAAACCAAAATAGACCAGAAATAAAGTCCAGATGGGATTTTCAAAGTCTTCCACACAGGACCCCTGTACAATACCCAGAACCTCTCCATGGATTAATTAAAGCCTGTCTGTATGAGGGCATATGAAAGCCACTGGGGAGTAGGGGTCCCACTAGGTTACACTGGAATCAGCTGAACTAAAGAAGGAACTATTTGTGCATATTTGGGCTATTTGTGTGTTCAATAAATATTGAAGTGTTGAAACATGTCTAATAATGATGGATGAACTGACCTTTATGTACACTCCCTTAAGGGGTTTAGTATTAGGTAATATAGTCTTTATGTAGTCACTGCTATTTATTTGTGCTTTTTATTGTCCTTTAAACTCATTTAATATTTAGTAATAATTGACCTGTTAAAAACTGGGACTAATGTTGCAAATTAGCCTTGGATGTAAACACCATCTGTTTCTGTTCCGATACCGATGCCGATATTTTAGATCTGAAATATCTGCCCTAGTATTGCTTGATATTGGATACGGGCACAGAGTCTAAAAATATTTATTTTCCTTTAAACACAAATTGCATATGATAAAAAAATATCCAAATGCGTTTGTAACTGTTATTTATCATTTAGAGTAACTACAGAACAGCTTGGCAAAATATTACAACATTGTCCAGTAAATTGCCTTATTACACAAAATTATACACCAAAATCCATCAAAATCAGCTGCAATATCTGATACCAGTATCATATTGGTGCATCCCTAGTTTGTTGTATCTACCCCTTTCAAATAAGCAGCATTTAAATACATAAATAAATAACATACATACAATATATACAGTTAAGACTCAGTTTGATCAAGGTTTAGTGCAAAAGTAGACTGTCCTGTTCTAGTCCTGGTTTAGTCCCAGTCCCCATTTTCATGAAAGGTTAAATATGACATGGGATCCTCTACATTTGACTCATACTGGGCGCCACAGTGCAGCACCCCTCTCCACATCTTGAGCTAGTCTTGGTCAGGTGTATCTGATTTTAGGATGATACCTATTGTCTTGGTTAAAGTTGGTTACATGAGTTTACTTTTGTAAATGAGTTAATATATTTTCTGCTATAGAGTATATTGTAATTCCAGCAGTTTAAAGCAAGACTGTAGCACTGCACGCTGTCTGCACCAAATAATACAGTGTCTTATTGGCCATAAAACTGCGTAAGCATCTTTACATTTGACTGTGCTTAAAGCAGTCTACTCCTGTTCTATTCCTCCGTGACATTTAAAAAATTATTTTTTCAGATTTGTACCTTTTCCTTAGTAACAAAATCAAAACCAAAATTTGAGTACTGTGACAGCCCTAATACAAATGTAACAATGCCTCACCTTCCAGCATCTTCTGTTGGCTGTTCCTCATGACGTGGATGTTCTCGATGCCCATGAACTGAAACTTGATGTTGGAGTAGTTGTCCTCGTTCTCGTAGCCTTTTCCTGCAGCTCTGTTGGCTATCGCATTCAGCTGGAAATAAAAAACAAAACACACACTTTGTCAACAGTAAAAGTAACAAGTTCAAGTTTCATCACTGCTTTTACAAATAAGCATGAGCTGGAGAGCAAAGGATACCAATCTGGGAGTGGCAAGATATTTTCAAATTATAATCTGAAAAAAAAAATAAATAAAAAAGAATGACAATGTATTTAATCAGTTATTTTATATGAAACTCTATATTTTTGTCAAATTAGGTCACATGACACAATTTACAAATTATTAAAATTTTGATGATTTTAATTACTGCTAAAAATGACTATTGCTTCAATGTTATTCTGCAGTAGGAAGTTGTGAGACTTTGGTTATTTTTGTGGGTCCCATCCTGAAAAGTTTGGAAGGAAACCCCATCCACTTGTCAGTCATGCCCATCTGAATTTAACAGTGACCAGACTCACATCTTCATAAAGTATAGGAGAAGTCTATACTCTGGATCCCAGGAAACTAATAAAGAAATCACAGCCCACTCTACACTACACGACCTTACTTCCAAATATCTGAAGGTTTCTGCACTACACATTTTACACATTACCATATATCTTCAAATTGTGCAATACACCCTACAGGCATTTACTATGAACAGCTGCCCAAGCACAGAACCCTGCAGCTGCACCCACAGAACTGTCCATGTGTTTGTGTGGACAGTTCTGACGGAGGACTCACTTTGGGCCTGGTGTCCACCACATACAGGACCTCACTGCGGGGATTGGACCTCAGCACTGCCCCCAACATCTGCTCGTCCTCCAGGCACCGAGCACTGAAGCCGGACAGGGGCTGGGAGCTCCTGCACACAGCTGCCTGAGGGGAAAAGGAAAGTTTTTTGTGATAGTGTGCTATAGTGTGTTAATTTGACTTTCCACGGCTCTGTAATTGGTGTAACTAAAATCTGAAGAAATCAATGGAAAATAAGTTCTATACCAGCTTTATCACAGTCTAATACTAGGTGTACACTGCATGATTTTGGCTGTCTGTGGTGAAAGATTTCTGACTGTGGAAAAAATCTTGAGTTGTAGCTAAAAATCATGGGTCCTAGGTATTAAAACTAGGTGTCAAAAAAAACATCTCTCTCTGTTTCCCTCTCATTTTCTAACTTTCACAAACTAGTGAAAATACTGCTAGTATGTAACACTATACTCAGCAAACCTGTACAGTTACGGAGCCTGGAGTCTAAAATGTGCTCTGATAAACTTTGGTCATAGCCACAGCTGATCGTGAACACTGTCGCTGCGTGTCTGCGTGTTGTTACATGATTTAAATTATTCATGTTATGCAGTGTGTCATCCAACAATCTTACAAGATGGAAAAAAAATGTGCAGTGGACACCAGACTTAAACCTGGACTAAACCAAAACTAAAGCAAAGACAGGACTTCAGAGGTGAAATAAGTAAATGAATACCGTATAGGATAAATACTAATAATACTAATACTAATAAATACATTCTGCAGAGGAATGACATAGTTCGTAATTGTGTAATATATTAAGGGTTTAAAGTACTGCATAGTTTCTACGGGTGGCAAGTGTTATTAAATAAAGTTTTTAATGTGGTGACAATAATAATGAGAAATGAATCAACATCAATTAGCAAGTGGAAAATATTTTGCAAGGATTCATATGATACAACAGTATTCTAGGGTGATGTGCAGTTGGCTGAAGTTTTGTCCAAATTCACAAAAGTTCCCATAACATTTCTGCATAACATTTTCTGCCCCCTTGATTTTTAATTTACCACCAAGAAGAATCAAAAATGCCAGATTTGTTTTATGCTTGTAAATTATTTGGCATCAGCTCCGGCCTCCCCAGCAACAGCATTTTTTGTGAAAGTGTTGGTTTGAATCTTAAGCATTTGAACAACAGCCTGGTATGAAAATGAGCTCTCTGTATTTTCTATAAGGCCAAACTCAGACAGAGCTGTGCCATCAGGTTCGTTTATTTCAGTAATGCATGGGGAATGAAGGAGCAAACTCTTGACTCAGATGAACAGAGTTTAATGCTTTCATTTTTTCCTTCCTTTTTTCCATGTACATAGCCATATTTACAAGCCCACATACCCACCTGAACTATCAAAGATAACACTGTGGACAAGTTTGTGTTCTTAGCAGTTTGAACAGTGAAACTATGAATGTTCTTGAATTGTGTGCACATTTATACTGATACTTTGCAGCTTTGTCATCAACAGTCCCTGGGGGTGTGATGCAAACTGTAAGATCTGCTCTGTCTAAAGCTCTGTCACTCAAGTTAGGCTTTAATCTGATCTTTATTTTAACACAATCTGACCATAGAGAGCAGACTTGGTTGGAACTACAACGGGTGAGCTGTCAAATTTTTCTTTGAGTAATTATCCAAAAACGTTTCATGTAGTTATTGCTAATGTGTGCATTGTGTCACCATGGTAACTGCTGAAAGTCCCATGAACAGAAACTATAGAAATACACCCCCAGCATGATGTCACTGTAATGTATCAATAGTTAACTTATACCCCTCAAACATAAACACATTACAATCCCCCACTGACTCACATGGTTGTCCTGGTTATAGAAGGACAGAGTGGGGAATCGTCCTCTGCTTCTGAACTTGGAGCTGCCCACGATGACAGGAAGTGTGGCTGACTCAGGGACGAAGACCTCAGAGGGGTACGTGTCACTCACCTTTAAATGAAAAAAATACAGTCAATAGTGTGTATAATGGTGAAAAATATTCTGTACCATATTTTCCGGGCTATTAGACTCGCTCTTAAGCCTCCAACTCCATCAAAAAACGACTGCGTGCCCTGCAATCCAGAGCGCCCTATACAATCCACTCGGGTGTCTCAGCACGACTTCAGTAAACTACAAAGCCGCACCACCCACAGCTCACGCAAACACACACGGAGCAGACAGCGACCGCGCGGCAACAAACACCCGCAGCCACACTCATCACTCTGCGCGGATGAGGAACGGAATGAAGGAACGAACCGAAAAAGCGAGTGCAATGTGCCACTCTGAGCCACAACTGAACAACTGAGTCACTGCGAACACGCCAACAATCCAGCGGTCCCAGACAGCACCCTCCCTACAACTGAACAAAGCCGAGAGTCACCGTGAACGTGCCAAACAAAGTCTGACTGAGCCATCTAACTGTTGTGTTTCTTTTAAAGCCCGGTGCGGTTTATTTGTGAAAAAAGTTCTATGACAGTGCGTCTTATAATCCAGAGCGCCTAATAGACCGGAAAATACGGTACTTGTACTTGCTTGTATAGGGGGTGCATATGAGTACAAATGAATATGAACATAGTGACTGTATTGTCATAAGATATACAGACCACATGAAAGAAAGATAATAGATTTGATACTGTATTGTGATATTTCAGAGTGTTAAAATTAAATATTTATCAGTAGTGAGTGATATAGCAAATTAAATAGTTTGGGGTCTCAGAATTTTAATTAATACAGTTACCAGTCTAACCACTAATGGCTTAGGGGTGTGATTTAGGCTCAAATATACTATAAAAATTTAACATGATAATAACTTAAATCATCATCATCTGGGTATAAAGAATGTGATGTTTTCCTTTCCTTTCCATATATGAATAAAAACTGCCCGTTATTGTCCCCTCCTGACCTTGTAGTGCTCATTAGCAGAGGTCAGCTTCCAGTGGGCGTTTGGGAGCCCCATTCTCTTGTATTCAGAAGCGAGGTCCAAAAAGTCCCACTCTCTCTGCCTCTCCTCTTCAGCCACATTTGGTTTGTAGGCGAAACAGTACAGCTCCTCATACGACTCTGAAACACACAACAAGTTTGAAATATACAGATTTTGTAGAATAATTTTAGTGACATATCATATATCAGTATAATCATCAGTATCAGTCAGTTAAGTTCGCATAAATGTTGTTATGTATTGGTAAGGTGTAACTTTTCTAGTGGAGGGTCTGTCATGATTTTTTTTTTCCATGAAGATTTGCTTTGCCTGAATTGTTCCACTGAAGGATTAAACTTGAAACTTTTCCAGGTGCTTTCATTGATTAAAAAACCTGAGCAAGGTCGCCTCTCTACAGATCAAATGTGTAACTTGTCTTGGTGGTATAACTTTTTTGTCTCCATGGAGATACATATGTTTAATGCTATACTGGAGCATCTTGGACCAAGTAATAACAGCTCCATGAGCATGAGGAGGTAATGGACCTTCCACGAGAGAAGTTACACAGTGCACCTTTAAGTAAGTATTGTTTTTTATTATTCTGTGAGACCTGCAGATAAGGCTGAGGGGTTATTTTAAACAAGGTCATAGATAGTTTGAGCAAACAAAAATATACAAAGAAAAATAGTGAGAAAAAAAAAACTGACTCAATTGTTTCTATTGAACACAATTCAGGACAAAGTTGTATCAAAAGCACTACATTTGAAGCTTTATCTCAAAATCTGAGAGAAATATTTTTACTTTATATTCTTTAGGTTATTTTCAAATGATGTGACGTGACCTTTACTTTTACTTAAGTAACAAAATTTAATACTTCTTCCACCGCTGATATCCGTGTAAGGAAAAATTTGATCTCCAGGTGAAACAAATTTAGAGTTACAAATGACTTATTAATTATTACTGACCATAATCTTGGAGGGAAATGGCCAACCTTATACACCAATTCCAAATAAAGAGGTGAAACTATAGGCTATAGTTATTATTTATTTAATTCTTACTGGCTCAACACAAAGATTAAATGATTTAGATAATATGCTATCTATTTTTATTATTCTTTAAAAGTGCTTTGTGTAACTTTTCTGGTGGAGGGTCCATCAAATAGTTTTCTCCATGGAGATGTTATTGCTTTGTCTGGAATATTTCAGTATAGTATTAATTTTTTCTATGATCATGGAGACCAAACCAGATCAAGTTACAGGTCAGATCTGTGGAGCTAATGTCATGCTGTGGATCATTCCAAGCAGAGCAATGATATATCCATAGAATCAAGCAGGTGAGGGCCCCCCAACCAAAAATGTACATAGTGCACCTTTAAATATGTTTATTTTAAGTTAAATCTGAGTCAAGCATTTGTGTTATTACCACAGTCTGAGTGTAATACCTCCATGTGTTTGGTGATTACAGCAATAAGAAAAGGGTTTTTACCAGTGTTTTTATAAATACACTAGAAATTTTCTGGTTTTATTCACACATAAGCCTTCCCTGTATATTCCCTGTAATTTACCTGTGAAATTGACAGGTAAAAAATACAGTGATATCAAAATGAAGGTAAATAGTGTTTTTGTTTTTCCATGGGATGATGCAGAAAAGAAGGAGTCACTGTCACTTAACATTTCTGGGATTATCTGCATACTTGAATGTATTTGTTTAATTGTCATGGTTACTCAGGTGTGTACAGTGTTTTACCTGGTTGGGAGAGGCGTTGTAGAGACAAGAGGATGTCCTGACAGTCCTGCTCCTCTGGGATCACAAACTGTAAGAGCTGAAAGTTTTTACAGTGAACCATCAAAGACACGCCAGAAGAAGAGGAGGAAGAAGACAAAGAGGACGAGGAGGACGAGGAGGAGGAAGAGGAGGAAGAAGAGGAGGGGAGCTTCTCTACAATGGACACCAGACTGTGGAGCACCTGCACAGAGGAGACAAAAACATAACATTGAATTCGTGTACACTGTAATAATTGAGACACACTTATTCAACCTCTGAACATACATGTATCCGCCACCTGCTTTTCTATTGCCTGGGATCCAGAATACACACTAATCCAATACTTTATGAAAATGTGAGTTTTGAGACTGTCCTTGAGTTCAGGCAGGCATGAATGACAGATGATATCAAAACAAATTTGACTGCTTACGAGGAAAAGAGAAAGGGAAAAAATAACATGAGCAAAGCACCAAACTGTGTTAAGCTAAGGTGAGGGAAATTACATTTGATAGGTGATAGGTGAACAATGAGATTCTTTATTTCACATGCGTCACTGAAATAAACAAATCTGACTGCAGAATCATGGTTATAGCCAGAGAGTGACAGAGTGTGTGGGGACCAGACTGATATCCATCTGTTTAAAAAATACAGAGATATCATTCTGGACTGGCCAGGCTAGCATGTCTCCATTATTGGTATGGAATGATCCACAGTATCACATGAAACGTATCTATAGAGACAAGAAGATGAGTCCACCAGGCCCAATTACTGCTGCCTGCAATACAATTTCAAAACCTGCCATGAAATGCAGATTCATGCAAGCTAGATAAGTGTAATGCCATAGTGTGGAGTGGCAAACCTTTACAAGTTACACAATACACGTTTAATATTAGGTGTGTGTGCATTATTACATTATTATTTCTATGATGACACTCCCATCTAGATTTTTTGCCTTGACCGGTTGTGCCGCTTACCCAGGTTTCATTGCGCACGCCGTCCTCGCTCTCCACGAAGATGGTGTGCGTGGCGGTCAGATACAGGGTCCCCACGCGGCTCTTTCGGGCGGACACGCGATCGAGCAGCTTCACGTGCTCTACCTGAGAATGAACACGTCAAATGTCACCGCTGAATTTGTTAATAAATGAACACAGCTTAAATGACACTGTGCGTGCAGTGCGTAAGAGCGTACTGCCAGCGTGGCGCCTAATCGCATGAAGTTAAAGTAAAAATATTCTAGTTTTATTAAAAGGTTATTATAAAAGATGAGCTGGACACATGACAAAATCGTATCCTACTTTGCAGTAACATTATAACAGAAAATATTACCAAATACTGCACAAGTTACCACGCATCTTTCAATGGTAAAGCTTTTAAAATGACATACTTGGGAAATCTGTGTAATGATAATTGACCATACGTTTGGAGTGACAAGGCAAGTGCGGAAATCACGGCTTTTTTACCTTTGGTAGCCGGATATGCTCCATCTACAGCGGTGCAAAATACCGCAGTTTTAGCGGCAGATGAGGCTAAAACAGGACCACACGATGTGACATAAAGGAGCGGTCATTTAAGACGTAACGCGGTGGATTTGGGGTGAAATTGTCCGCTCCGTGCTGCAATCTCAGGTAAACTCAGCCATGATGCTCCTGCGCCGCTTTAAGAGCAGATGTGGAGGCGCGGTCCTAAAGCCCGCTAAGTACAAGACCAGGAGGAAGAGGTAAGAAAGAAAAGAAATAAGTTGACTAAATTTAACGTCCCATATCACACAAAATGTATTTTTGTGAGCTTTAAGCCATGTTGTACTATACTATTCATCAAAATATACCTGGAGTTGTGTTTTGTTTCATTCACACATGTTTGAATAACACTGTCAGTCTTTTTATGTTTCCAAAACTCAGAATGCTCCTTGTGATGACATGAAATTATCCAAATGATTCTAGTGAAGGTATATGGAGTTTAAAAACACAGTGAAGCTCTTCCTGTGTTACCGCATGACATCATAAGGTGGGACAGAGCGTTTTCAGTTTGAGAGAAGAACGCAGGCTAAATTTGCAGGGTTTGTGTTAAACATGTGCGAATGAAACAAAACACAATTTCAGCTATGTTTGTGATGAGGAAATAACATTATAATGTACATCAGAAAATCAGAAAACGTAGAACAGAAAATATGAGCCCTTTAACTAAGATTCTGTCTCTAAATCAGGAGAAGGGCCCCCCAGTGCTGCTCTGTGGTCATTCTCTGCTCCTGACAGGTTGCCCCAGCTGCCTTGAAGAATGGGTCAAATGCAGAGGACAAATTTCCATATGTGAACAATTTGGTAAATCACTGTTTTGTCTTGTAACTCAAACACACCTTTTTTCTGTGGGGTCTGTGTGACCATCTGTTCAGTCAGGGTAGTGAAGAAAAGGTCTTTACATTCAAGTGATGGACTGTGGAGGCCGGCTGGTGGATCCTGATGTAATATATATAGTTAATCAAGGAACACAGCCTTTGATGTTTTACGTTGTATTGGTGTGAGAGTGGTTAGCCCCTCTCTCCATTTCAGAAAACCTCTTGAATTTGCATTTTATCCCTGTGTTACTGCATGTTTTCTCCTCTGTTTTTCTGATTTTAGAAGGTGATGTTGTCATACTCCCAGGTGGGGGCAGGAGCCAGAATTTCCTATTGATTACTTTGCATTTGCCATGAAATATCCACAAGGTAAATACACAAATGTTATAGGTACAATGTGTAACTTTTCTGGAAAGGGTCTGCAACCTGTTCGTCTCTATGGAGATTTTAATGCTTTGGTTTAAATTGTCCACACTATTAAACTAATCTGTCTTGAATTTATTCAACTACAGGTCTTATTTAGTGCTCAAAAATATCTTAAAAAAACATGAATTCTTACTGTGAGCGGGGTCACCTCTCCACAAACTCTCCACAAACTCTCCACATTTCCATGGAGACAAGCAGGTGACGGACACTCTACTGGAAAAGTTACGCACTGATCATTTCTATTAGTGACTAGACCCACAAACTCACTGTATTACAATATAAATCTTGAATCTGATCATTTCTATTACTGAATATGGACCCAATTACTCACTGTATTAACACAAATCTGCATTTTATCAATATTATTTTTAGCTGCGCCCAACTGCATTAAATATTATTGGCCTATAGAATGCGATGTCATCTGGATCCCAACATGGACATGCATAATCTTTAAAATTTTAACATTAACATAATGGGAAAAAGAATTGTTGTCTGTCAATATTGTCTGCCTACAAGTAACTTCCAACATATTAGAAGCCCCTGTTTGTCCACCATGGATACAATTTTAGCTGATTGCAAGATAGGGCCACAATAATGTCTCTTTATCTTTCATCTTTTCCTCTTATTAAGTTGATGTTGCCACAGTAAACTTGTCACACGGTGTTTTGGTGATTAAATTGCTGTGAGTATAGTCAATATGAGTTCAGTTTTGCTGCTAGTTATTTCTTATTTAGTGCATTTTTCCGTTAAGTTGAACTAGACTTTTTGAACTCGTAAACTGATTTTGTCCAGCCGTGCAGAACAGGTACAGACAGGAAATGGCTTTGGGAGGAGTCTCTGTGACAATGCATGCATCCATACAGCTCCATACATGAACAGGTTTCCAGGGAGCTCATAAAAACAGACTTAAGTTGGATCAGGGGCAGGTAAATGTCCCTAGGCTTCTGTCCGTCTTTGTCTGCAATGAATTATTAGAAAGCTGAGTTTTCAGGCATGGTTTAAAAGTAATTCCTGACTGGTTTTCTTGGAATCGTCAACCAGACTTGACAGTGTGTAGGCAATGACATTGAGGTTGTTCGTGTCTCCAAAGCCCAATATTAGATTTTAAACAATTAATATTTATTCTAATTGTCTTTTAAAATAAGTACATGTGGATATAAATGTATAATGTTTGGGCCACAATATACTAGGAGACTAAAATAAGAGCCTTTTTTTGGTTATTTATTGCACTGAATAACTTGCGTTCTTACATTAAACGGACTTGCATCTCCACAAACCTGACTCTCCTCCTGCTTCTTTCTATGGAAATGCTGTTCCTTTGACTATAATATTTATTGAATTAATTTTTTTTTTATTTATTAATTTTTACAAATTTTGAAACTGATAGATTTTTTTTCTCTGTTCTTTCCCCTCCTTAAACACAATAAAACAGTGACTACAAACAACCACTCATTATAGTTTAGGCTTCACGTATGGTTTTAAATTTCTATTTTCAGGGAATCACGCACTTGACTTCCAGAAAGTTACATCCTGTTGCTTTAAGTGTTCCTATCCCCTACAAATAACCAGATTAAAGCAAATGGTCCCTTATACCACTTTAGAAAACCACTGGATTCTAATTTATAACACTATCTTTTTGACCTATATAATTTTAATCTTCGGGGCCACTAGATCCCCACTCTCTTGCCCATGCACTGAAAGCTGTTGTCCACATATCCGTAATTGTTCACTTGTACATTTCCTGGCGACGCCGTGGTGAACTGGAGCGGACACACCACCGACTCCGAGCGCAAACACCACTCAACCTGTTGGGGCACTCAGCCATCGGGGCCCAAATCCATTCAATTGGCTTCACACAATTAGCACAGAGTCAACACAGAGGCAGGCTTAAGGCAGGCTGGAGGCGGGGGGGCTTTCAAGCAACGCCATGGAAACAGGGTCCTCCGCGCGTGATCAAACTCCGCACGAGAAGGAAAGGCAAAGCTTGGGTCACGTTAATATAGGTGAGATGTGAGACTGATACTGTGTGAGGTTAGATAAACACGTGTGCACAAAAGGGAGTTAACCCTATAATGCCAAATGTGTCAAATTTGATACAAGCATTTCTGAGACCTATTGCATCACCATATGGTTAAAACTTCACTCAAAAGCCTGTTGTATCCAATCTGGCACTTGTCTTTAACCCCCTGGTGGACACCTTTATCACTACAACAATTAAAACACAGTACATGGGACAATCCAAGATGGCTACCTTCAGACAGTTCCCAAATCACTGGATCAAGGTAAAGAAAATTGTGATTTTTACAATTTTCCAGTGACATTTTCTTTGAAATTTTTAGTAATATTTCAACATGAACGCTTAATCAAGAAAAAGAAAAAGTTACTGGAAAATGAATCAGTATGAAAAAATAAGAGGCCAATGTTCTTTAAAGCCTTAGCTGCTATTTTCATGCTTACCACTGTTCATAATAAAAGAGAAAAGAAGAAAGAGACCTAATGAAGATGATGTTTTTTCTGTATTGCCAGATACATGTAAAGCCTGATGTATCATTTACGATACAAATGGAAAAACCAATATGCAAATAATTTTTTGTAATTTTTTAATTTTATTTTGTGAAAAGGCCCCATAAAGGTTCCAGATTCAAAAAATCTGAATTTTCTATCCATTATTTCTGGGGTCAGGCATTACAGGGTTAATAAAAGGCTATTTCATTGTCACAGTAGGAAATTGGCACTTTGCGGTGTAGGCTGTATCAGTGAGTTAAACTAATTATTAAATTGACCTAATGAGAAGATAGTTGTACATGCTTTTGACTGTACTTATCCAATTACAGTAGGACCAATTTGAACTTTTTCCAAATAGATTTATAATGGTTTTGATATATCAGAACTACTGTCTTTTAATGTTATAGAAACCTGTGTGTCAAAGTGATATTATACTGTATAAAAAAGCAGAACATATTGTGAAATGCTAATATCATTTCACAAATTTGTGACAAATGTGTCTTAGTGTAAGCATTGTTAATCCCAGGGCTCAAACACTCAGAAAAGCTGACCTGGAAAGACTTCACAGTTGCAGTGCTTCTTCTCATCCTCCAACCTTTATTGGCATTCTAAATACAAGTGATAAAGTCTTCTGCTATTAAAATGTGCAGTATGGAGCTCGACACTCCCTGGTTCTGGAAATTTCTCATAAAGTTTTCCAATAGACTTTCTGAAAAATTATATTAAAAGTTTGCAAGGTTGCTCAGGGCTTATCAGCTATGTGGTAACTAATGACCACAGACCTATACTTTGATTTCAAATCTGTTTCTGAAACTTTATAAACCTCTAAGTCCTTAAAGGATTTCTCAGAAACATTAGTTTGAAATGTGCTTTTAGTATTAGTATAGAAGTCAACATGTAGCTGCTTAGCCTCTACAATGCCTTTAAACTCTTAATATTAGCATTTTTTTGAAATGTCTATGGGAAAAATGAAAGTAAAATGTATTTCCAGAACCAGAGTGGGTGGTCACTGTTGAGCTCCATTATTATTGAACAAAAGCCCTTTTAGAAAAATCTTATAGGCCTACAGCTGCATTTGAAAGCTGCCAAGCCTTGTTATTAAAGTTGCATAATTTTTTCCATTTCTACCTGAAATGAACTGAGGACCCCCTGTAACTGTCTCGTAACGTCCTGACCCTGAGGTTGAGAACCACTGAAGAGCACAGACCTGCAGAGTGTTCCTGAAGCTGTTACGACATGTAAATGTTACGTAATGTTTAAGTATATGTGTCCTATAGGGAACATGCTGATCACACGTATTTGATCAATACATTTGGAGCCTTCATTAAAAAAGTAAATGTTAAGTTTTTTGCCCTGGTTTTGCTTGTGTGTGGGTTATAATAGTAGCCTCCTATTCTTTCAGTTGCACTTCTTAATGTTCCTATATTACACAAAATGGACTTGTGAACTTCAAGCCATGTTGCAATGTTGTTGCCTGCTTAGAAACATACCTGGAGTTTGTTTCATTCACACATGTTTGAGTGATCCTTTATTATTAGTCTGTCTACATCTCTAAAGTAAAGCACTTGTTTTATCACTGGAAGGTTGCTGGTTTGATGCCAGGTTCAGTGAGTAATTTCTTGGGTTCTAGGCAAGACACTTCCACTTTCACAATCAATTGACCCAGATGTGTGAGTAAAAATAATTTGTGAGGGTGGTGGTGTCAACCACTGGATGTGAAGAGTGAATGAGTAATGTAAAGCAAGTATTAAAAAATCCTATTTAAAAGTAGTTATTATTATAAGTCAAAGAATTTAGCGTGAATATGGAAATAATCAATTCATACTTTTTACAGTCTAGTTTTAGCACCACTGATTTTGTCATTCATTCAGTAACATTCTCCCCCTCCTCCTCTAAAGCTCAAAATGCTCTGTTTCACTTTATGATGTCATGAAGCAGTAGTTTTCAGGTTAACATCAACTTTTCACCTTTTGTTTTTGCAGGGCTTGTGTGTTAAACAACATTATAACATAAATCAGAAAATAGCATAATGTGTAATATGGGATCTTTAATAATAAACTGTTTGTATAATTTTGTCACACAGCCCTATAATAAAAATAATACTATTTTGCCCAATATTATTTTAATCACTACTGTAAATTAAGGCCATTTCAGCCCTATTCAACCATTACATCATCCCTCTGCTTCATATGTAGGTCATTCTGTTCTCTTTGACTTGTGCTATCTCCAGATTCACTGTTTCGCCCCACACTCAGTTAACTGTGTGCTTTGTGCAGTGTTAACAGTAGGTTTCTCCAGTGGCCCATTTTAAGCTTTTTTTTTTCCAGCTTTTCCCATCAGAATTCAGGTCAGGAGGCAGAGTTTGGGCAGGGGAGCTGATTCTTGTCCCGTAGATGTGGGCTGGACAGGGGTGAGGGCCAGCTGCCACCTTCCCACTGAGGTCCTGGTCCGGTTTGAACTGGCCCTGGCCAAAATACCTCACAATAATACAACACAACGGCAGCTTTAGTGCTTAAAAAATGCAGCTAAACCTTCTCAAAGGTCCTGTCCCCATGCCAGGCTCCCAGCAACACAGTATAATGAAGGACACCGCTGACTTCCAGAGTAAAGTATGTGTGGTTGAAATGAGTGGTATGTACAGCTGGGTGATAAGACAGAAAATAATACATTTCTCGTATAGAAATAACACAATCTTTCAAGTCTCTAGTCATTAACAGTGAATATTTAGAGTATGTTGATTTAACATTTGATTTGCCCTGGAATTCTTGCATCAATATTTTTTGTTGTTGTTGCCTAAATTATCTGCTCTAAAGATGCACTACGCAATTTTCCTGGTAGAGGGTTTGTTTCCATGTTATTGCTTGGCACAGTGTGTCATTTAACTTCTACCTCTATCTCTATCTAAGAAAAGTAGGCTTTTCCACCAGGGATAGTTACATGTGAGATTAAATGAGCAAATGAGAAGGTCTTCTCACCTGACTTACCTGGTAAAATATTGAATAAATAAATAAAATGATCCATGATGAGACAATGTAGTTTTTCAAGGTATTTTTTGCAATTCAATCCATCTTGCTAATGTGTTTGAGCCAACGTAACATTTGGTGTGAGTAAAAAGCATATAGCATTGATGTAATTGTTGCTAACAAAGCAACTATAACAAATGATAATGATGTTGCACTTTAATTTATCCAAAAACAACAGTTTATTATCAAAACTTGAATTATCAAACTCAATATTCACCACTGTGAATATTGTGCTAAAACTCAGCTGAATCCTTCCTCTTCCTCAACAACTTTAATGTGATTCTGTGAAACATTGAATGCAAAGTCAAAACATCTCCATGGAGACCAGCAGGTGGCAGGCCCCCCACCAGAAAAGTTACATAGTGCGTCTCTTGCACAGTCTTCTTACGGTATTGAGCAGTAATGCCTTAAAACAAGTGGGTAAGAGAGTAAAGCGCTTGTTTTATCACTGAAAGGTTACTGGTTTGATGCCAGGGTCAGGGACTGATTTGTTGGGGTCTGGGCAAGACACTTTCACTTTCACATTCAGTTTACCCAGATGTGTGAGTAAAAATGATTTGTGAGGGTGGTGGATGCGAAGAGTGAATGAGTAATATAAAGCAAGTATTAAAAATGCTCTTTAAAAGTAGTTATTGTATCTTCTTTAAGTCAAAGAAGCCTGAATATGTAAATAATCAATGAATACTTTTTGCAGTGTAGTTTTAGCACTATTGATTTGGTCATTTGTCCAGTAACTCAGGGAACACATTGAGCTCCAGTCATCTCCTCCTCCTCTCCCCCTCCTCTCTTCCTCCTCCCCCTCTCCCCCTCCTCCTCATCCTCCCACTCTCCTGTAGTCCACCCTTCAGTGACCAATCAGGAGCAGGCTTTTAGCTCCCCTCCTGTCCCTCTGCAAACAACTGTCTGTCTCTGTGTTTGTCAAAGTCAGTTTCCCAACCATTTATCAGCAGCTACAGCGCATCTGACTGAATAAATGAGTCCTATTTTAGACCTGATTTAGACCTGGCTTTGACCTGGTTTAGTCCTGGTTTAGACCTAATTTAGACCTGTTTTAGTCCTGGTTTAGACTTTATCTTGGGTTTTATCCTGCCACTGTTCTGGTTCATTGTCTTGATTAAATTTGAATTTAGATTTACCTACCTATAGTTCAATCCTGGTCGTGTTTTTCCTGAATTTGTGGAATTGTATAATCGTTATAATAGTGTTCTGTCTTAAACCTGTCTTAGTCCTGATTTAGTCCTGGCTTAGATCTGGTTTTAGTCCTGACTTAAATCTGGCTTAGTCCTGATTTAGTCCTGGCTTAGACCTGGTTTCGTCCTGGTTAAGACTTTCTTTATGTCTACTTTAGCTCTGGGTCTGTCCTTTTGAGTTCTTGTATCGTCAATATTGCGCAGTCATGGTTTACACTTTGTTTATTATTTGTTTAAACTTTGAGTTTATCTTTTTTATCTGTGGATAAAAGGAGTTCTCCAGCAACTGTCAATAGGTGATGTCTTGCCTAAGGACACAATGACAGCACACTGGTCAGACCTGGAACTTTTTGAAAATACATTTCCCTTCAAATGCGGGTTTGCAGAGCTTTAGACACAGCTCAGTTTTGATATTGAAGGGGAGCTTTTAATTTAGACTTGCACTGATAAAATCTTGAAGTCCTGTAAAGAAAACTTTTAATTTGAAAATCTTGTTTTCCTTAAAGTTTAATATCCAATTTTCCCTGTTTTGGAAAATGTCAAAGTGTGGAAAGTTATGTCGCAACTCTTGTAGTACTAGTCCTCCAAACCACAAGTGTGTACAAGGGGCCTTGTCTCTCTCCCTCTCTCCCTCTCTCCTGTCTCATCCCCCTCCCTCACCCCCTCTCTCTCTCACTCTCTCCCTCTTTCTCACTTTTATTCTGTCTTTCTCTTTTTCTCTCCCTCTCCCTCACTTCTTCTCCACCTTCTCCCTCTCTTTTCTCTTTTTTCTCTCTCCCCTTTTCTTTTCTTTTCCTCTCCCTCTCCCTTCCTCATTCGTTCTCTCTCCAACCTCTTTCGCACTCTTTTAGTTACTATTCTTTCTCTACTCTCTCTCTCTTTCTCTGCTCTTCCTCCCTCATTCTGCCCCCTCCACCCCCCGTCTCTATACACACCTCTGCTCACTTATTCTCTTTTCCTCCCTCTTCTCCCTCTGTCTTTTCTCTTTCTCTCACACCTTCCTAACTCTCTCCACACCTCCATGTGCTCTCTTTCTCTCTCTCTCTCTTTCTCTCTCTCACCTGTAGTTTTACCCCTCTCTCTTACTCCCTCTGTCGTCATCTCCTCTCCCTCTCTGTTCTCTCTCTCCCCCCTGTGTCTTTTCTGTTTCTCTCACACCCTCTCCCCCTCCATACATCCTCCCCCTCTTTCTCGCTCTCCTATCTCTCTCTCTCTCATACCCCCCCTCACTGTCATCATCAGCTCTCTCTCTCTTTCTCTCTCTCTTCCCTCTCTCTCACCTTTCACTCTCTGCCACTCTCTCTCTCCCTCTGCTCCCTCTGCCCTTCCCCTCTTTCTCGCTATTCTGTCCCTCTCTTTCCACACGTCCCCTTTCTCTCTCTCTCTCTCACTCCCCCCTCTCTTTCTCCCTCTCTCTCTCTGTCTCTCAACTCCCCAACTCTCACCTTCCCTCTGTCGTCATGACCTCTCTCTTTCTCCCCTTCTCTCTCCCCCTCTCTCTCTCTCAGCCCCCTCTCTCTCCCTCCCCCATCTCTCCCTCTCTCTCACCTCCCTCCCTCTCTCTTTCTCTCACCCCCCGTCTCTCCCCCATCTCTCTCTTTCTCTTTCAGCCCTCCCTCTCTCCCCATCTTTTCTCTCTCCTCTCTTTTTCTCTGTTTCTCCCCCCCTGTCGTCATCAACCCCCTCTCTCCCTCCCTCTGTCCCCCTCACCTCTCTCTCTCTTCTCTCTCTTCTCTCTCTCCGTCCCTCCCTCTCTCCCTCCTCCCCCGTGAATGAGGGGTGTGTGCTGCTTTGCTCCAAAACTATGGCCCTCTCTCCCGAGCTCCAGTCAAAGCAGCAGCGCGCAGAGCTTCACTCCTCTCCATGGGACCTCTATAATTCTACTTTTTACCTTCTTTTAGTCTTTTTGCACAGTTCTTTTTCCTCCTGGAGTATTTGAATAGGGTTGCTGTTTGCAGTTTCAGGTATGTCCTGTTTGCATTGCACATTTGCAGTGAAAGACCATGCTGTTTGAACATGTACAATTGCCTCATGTTTTAACAGGTCACACTCATATATTTCTATCTTTATACTACTACTACTACTTCTATACAGTTATATGAGTGTATCAATTGTAGGCCTGTCACTATAATTACTATATCAACTTATCCTTCAATATATGAAAGCTAGAGCAATATTTTTGGGGGCCAATCTTTATCGTGTGTACATTTTCTTTCCACAATTTGGAACTTTTTGGTTATTTTTTGGCTATATGATAAGAACTGGGCAATAAAAGTTAACGCAAACTTAGTACTAAAGTATCTCATTCTGCTGTTTATTCGTGATTTTTTAACAATATTGAACATTTAAAATAGTTCTTGTGGTTTAAATCTGCAATTTTTGTGTCAGTGATAATTTAGTTTCAATATTATCATTTATCGTTATATAGGTCAAAAGTGTACCATCAACTTCTACTCATGCGCAAATATGGCTGCAAGATTAATTGAAACTGCAATTTGAATGAGCGTAATTAGCAAATCACAAATACTGACATTTTTGAAATATCATAATTTCATCCACAGACAAAATATCTTGACTTATTGCACATAAAAAACTTCTAATTCTGTATTTTAACCATGTTCTGAAATGTGACTCTTGTCTTAGTTTGTCAGTTATTTCAGTCTTTTTGTCAATTCTTCTGGATGCATTTAACATGTAAACTTTGAGCAGAGGCCTATTATTACTATGCTTGTAATGTTTCTGTGCATGCAATTTAATACAACAAAATATCAGTGAGTTAAGTCACATTTTTAAGATTGTGAAATAAAATGATGAATCTTCTGGTGTAGACTGCATCACCTCTGGCTTGGTACTTATTTAACAAGCAAATTTATTGATTCTTAAAGTTAAGGTATACACTTTATTAACCCTGTAGAGAAATCTCCTCTGCGTTTGACCCATCCTTCACTGTATCTGGGGCAATCTGTCAGGAGCAGTGGGCAATTCTGTAATGTTGTAAGATATATTAAGTTTCATACATTTATAATTAAGTGAAATTATTTTAAATACATAGTAAAAACTACTACTACTTCTTAGGTAACATGGGTACATTAGACTGATTTATAATCCAGAGAGAGTAGATGAGGCTGTCTTAAGTTCTGTCAACTAAAATACACATAGTAATGATTATTCTTAAAACATTAGTAATGTTACATAAAATTATTGAGTAATTTTTCCATTTAGGTTACTCTATCAATGTTAGTACTGCAAACTAATCTTATATTGGCAATGTTGTGGTCCCAGACAAAAATGATGATTTTGATGAAGGCTTTTTTGCTGACACATTATTTTTGAGAATGGGAAAAGCTTTTGGACATCAGCCATCTATGCATTTTTTTACTTTTCTGTTTTCCTTTGATATTGGCAGTGGTAACTTTAAATAAAGATTATCATATTTTCCCTAGTAATGTTAATGCAAATTTTAGGCTAAAAAGGAGACACAAAACACATACCAAGTAAAAGTACAAGTGCATGCACAAGATGGAGCAGCACTGAAGATGCAGTGTTTTTAACAGTGAAATGTCAACAGCAGGTGAATCAAAGCACAATGACATTTGTGCAGTCTGTAACATAAAATGTCTATATGTTTATGAATTATAATATAAACACAGAAATACTTACACTTACAACTGAGTCTTTACAAGCTGCTGACCTCTGACTAAACCATAGACCAGGTCTAATCCTGGTCTAAAATTTTGTCTAGTTCTATTTCTAGTCTAGTTCTGATTTAGTCCTGGTTTAGTCCTGGTTTAGTGCTGGCTTAGTCTTGGTTTAGTCCTGGTTTAGTGCTCCTGGTTTAGTCCTGGTTTATTCCTGGCTTAGTCCTGGTTTGGTCCTGGTTTAGTCCTGTCTGAGTCCTGGTTTGGTCCTGGTTTAGCCCTGGTTTAGTCCTGGCTTAGTCCTGGTTTAGTCCTGGTTTAGTCCTGGTTTAGTCCTGGCTTAGTCCTGGTTTAGTCCTGGTTTAGTCCTGGCTTAGTCCTCCTGGTTTAGTCCTGGCTTAGTCCTGGTTTAATCCTTGTTTAGTCCTGGCTTAGTCCTCCTGGTTTAGTCCTGGTTTATTCCTGGTTTAGTCCTGGTTTATTCCTGGTTTAGTCCTGGTTTAGTCCTGGTTTAGCCCTGGCTTAGTCCTGGTTTAGTCCTAATTGAGTACCTGTGCCTACAGGATGCCTACAAGAGCATTATGAGTAACCTTTTGAAAAGGCTAGTAATGTTACTGTCTAAAGGAAAGTTTTAGTAATACTTAAACTTTGTGAGTAACATCACTGAGTTAAGTCTTTTAATGTTACTATTTGTTCAAAAACACACACATATTACTCAGCAGTGTTCATTTAAATGCATCTTATTTTTACTAGTTGAAAAATGTAATCCTATGCAAAAATCTATGTAAAGTTTAGTTTTACAGTGTACATAGTTAAAATTACATAATCACACATATCATATTGTTATGCAAATGAGCTGTCTCTTCTCCTACTGCATTTCTTTGATCTAAAAACCCCATAACTAATACCTATCAATGAAAAGTACATGGCAGTCGGTGCAATTTCCTGTCAAAACTGTAGCTAACAAAATCTCTTTTGAAGTACACTACACAGTCTCGCCTATTCAATATTATGTATGCTAATATTATCCGTAGGGGTCTCTTGCATAGCGTTCTCTTTTAGCCCAAAACAATGAAACCCCTTTTTGTCCTTTAGCTCTGGTCTTATGAATGCACCCCTTTGAGAACGCAGAACTGGACTCTAACCCCAAACAATGGACTTTAATGGGCAGTACAGTGAGTTACATTGCCAAACTACGGCTCTCGATTCTTGGCTGTGTTCCTAGATCACACGCCACTGTTTGTAGGGTTAACCTGCTTCCCATTGGTGAGTAATAATCTGGTATATTTTACGCTGTTGCACAACTTTTTGAATTAATTCTTGTTGTTCAGCATGCACGCAAGAGGTTACGTAACTAATATCTTGATCTCTTAAACACAAGTTAAATCCAGTTTTAGATCCAAAAAATGAAAGGGTCTGTACTACGCTATTTTCACATCTATGTTATAATGTTGTTTCCTCATCACAAATATACCTGAAGTTGTGTTTTTTTCATTCATACTTGTTTAACACACAAATTCTTGCATATTTCGCTTGGGTTATTATCTCAAACACTCTGTTCCACCTTGTGATGTCATGTGGTAATATAGGAAGTTCTCCATTGTGATTTTAAACTCCATACACCTTCACTAGAATCATTTGGATAATTTCGGAACTGGAATTGCCAATCTCTATTGAATTTAAAGTAAAAAGAAGCTGTTAACTTGAAAACTACAGCTTCATGACATCACAAGGTGAAACAGAGAATTTGGAGCTTTGGAGTTGTACACAGAACAACAATAAATGATTCAGAAATGCACTGTTTGGGGGTCACGATCCAGTGATGTGTTTTGCCTGTACCAGATTGACATGCGTGCAAAGGCTATACTAGGAAGTGCATCTAACGACTTAAAAGTTTAGCTCGAATTCAAATCACAAAGTTTTCAATTTTATTATTTAAAGGGAGTCTCTGCTTAGGCTGCTGCCCCCGTGACCTGGCACCGGATAAGTGGAAGAAAACGGATGGATGGACATTATTTACATTATAACAAATATTAGAGTTTCCCCCCTTTTTTTCAAATATCAAAGATTTACATTACTGGTGGAGTCTGCCACTTGCTTGATTCCATGGAGATGTTATTGTTTTGCCTGGAAAGTTCCACAGTACCATATTAAAGTTATCCATCTTGCATTTGATCAGTTAGCTGTTTATACTGCTGAAAAATACCTTGAAAACATGTATTTTTAATGAGAGTGGGGTTGCCTCTTCACAGATCTGACTTGTAACTTGACCTGGTGGCATCACCTGCTTATCTCCGTGAAGATAGTTTAATGCTATACTGTGAAACATGTTAGGCAATGAAATAACATGACGACAACCAGAACAGTTACATAGTGCACCTTTAAATATATACAAGTCCTTTATGTAACTTTTTCCTTCTTCTTGAGTAATATGAGTTTGCTTAGGGGGCTCTGACCTCTGTGTTATATAATTTAAACAGGCTTTTCACCATTTCATTCCTCTGCTGCAAGCAGACAGGTGAATATTCAGAACGCGCTGGGTCTTGTTTAAACATTGACTTAACGTAAAAGACACAATAAGGTGCTGATACGATTTTAGTTTATGTAATTTTTGTAAAAATGTTCATGAGTGAAGCTTGTATATTACATCAGAGCGTTCAACTGGTAGCATTAGTTTGAATTATATGGACTTAATTATAGATTAAGACCTTATATTCTAGTGACAGTCACACTGCTTGTATTATGAGAGATGCAAATGGACATTGTTTCATTATCACAGGCTACATGATGGAATCTATACAGTTTGAAAACATTCTTACCTTTCTGCCTTTATTGACTGGTGCTAGAGTCACAACAAACTCAAACACTGCAACAAATACAAATGCGACAACACAACAAAAAACCACAACAAACCAAAAAAAGCCACAACAAACCAAAAAAAGCCACAATGGAAATGACTGCGGGACTCTATTTTAATGCAAACGCCAGCAACAAACACAAACGCCACAACACAACACAAATGCAAATGCCGCAACACATTAAAAAGCCACAACGGAAGTGACTGCGGGAATTTCTTCTTCTTCACTTGCTGCTTGATCGGTCCATCGGACAATAGAGTCCCGCGGTCATTTCTGTTGTGGCTTTTTTTGGTGTGTTGTGGCTTTTTGTTGTGTTGTCGCATTTGTATTTGTTGCGGCCTTTGCATTTGTTGTGACCCCTCCGTACATTTACAACTCTAGAACGATAACAAATTTGGAAGTGAGATATATTACTGAAGAAAATATGGACAAAAATTATAATATTGAAACAAATAACACAATAACCCAAGAACAGATCCAAACCACAAAAATTATTCTAAACTCCAATACTTAAACATTCTGTGCTGAATGAAACACTTATTACTTACTTTGCATCTGTAATGAGTCATAGAAGTCATTAATTCAACCTTGTACAACTCAAGTTATGAAGAAATACCCCCCAAATTTCCCAGTAGTGTAAAAATAAATGTACACACGTTAAATATTTTTCCAGCTTTCATACTGAATGATAAGTTGATGTAGTAATTACTGTGGCAGGCCTAGTTGCATTGTTCTTTATCATATTGAAAAATAATGAGCCTAAACAGAAATGCAGTGGTAGCTTTGTTACTACATGAGTTCTGTAATGGATTGTTTTCTTTGACAAAATACAGAAGCCAGGGTTAAATGTAGTAACAATACTACGCGGAAAAGAAGTGATACAGTGCAATACAATTATGCAACTTACTTTTCTGGTTTTTGTTCAGTAATAATGACACATCCTTTGGACAGACATGTTAGGATGAGACAGCAGGATGGTATTTGAGATGAAGTACTCTGTTTTTGTTGAATATGGCAAATTTAACCATTATGGTAACAGTTCTTTCTAGTCAATTTGAGCCACTTTGAATAATTATTATGAATCAGAGATACTTAATTCTAGGACCACCCTTGATTTAATTTTGATCTTCGAGGTGTATGCGCTTCACCCTTTGTTTTAATGTGGTTTAGATTGACTGCAGGTTTGAACTGGGGATAATAGAAGTCATCTGCAGCAACAATGATGTAATAGCAGCTGATGAAAACTGTAATTGGCTGCTGAACAAAACCTATTAAACATAACCCTAACCTACTGTACAGACCCCAAGGCCAACCTGTGAGCATCTGTGCATAAAATCACAGATCAATGAGGAACGTGATTGACAGGTTACCAGGTAGCTGGCTTGAATACAAGTACAATTTGTATATTTTGTGTTTTAATGTTCTGATTATGTACATTTGTGCTCTACAGGCTTGTCAAAACCTCAGAGCTTCTCTTTTTTCATAATGAATTTACTCAGTACTTAGTGGAAAGCTACTTTTGTAGTCACAGCTGTCCTGAGGCTGTCAGAAGAGAGGCTGCCAATCTGCAGCATTAGCCCCTCCAACCACCACCAACCAACCAGCTCAAAAAAGGAATCAGATAGAACTTAGTTAAGATGATTTAGAGAGGGCTAGGCTCCTAAAGGATTCAAGTTTGGAAGTTTGTAGGTTCTTTCTATGTGTCTGGGTGGGTGTGTCTAATCTGATTTCCCCCATTAACCCAAGCCTAGCTCAAAATCTGCACATGGGTCCCCAGAGTACTTTACCCCACTGCTCCTGACAGTTTGTCCTAGTGGGTGCCCAGTGAGTGAAGGATGGGTCCAATGCAGAAAATGAAGTTCGCTCCAGAGAGGTTAATAAAGTGTACCTTGAGGACCACAAATTGCACTTGGACTAGGGGTGGACAATGTCTCTACAGAGTAAGATGAATAAGATTAATAAAATTCACAATTTCCAAGTAAGACCATGTGCGGGATTCTTCTCTGTTCATTGTTTTTGGGGTGCTTCCTCTCCTCCAATGCACCAGTTTCAAGAAATTGATGTGCGCAGTTCTCATTCTTTTACTGACAGAGTAAAAAGCAGTGAAATTTCTGATTTAAAACACTTAAACATTATCATCAGTTGCAGTATGACCTCCCCTGGCCTAACTGTTCTGTCTCTCTCTTTCTGCAGGTGCAAAGATGCTGGACAAATGCCTGTCTTTTGGCCGGTCCCTGGTGCGGAGGAAGGTGGTGGATATGAATTCTCTGGAGGAGTCGAAGCTGTGCCGTTGCCTGGGCACAGTGGACCTCATCGCTCTGGGGGTGGGCAGTACTTTGGGGGCAGGGGTCTACGTTTTGGCCGGAGAGGTGGCGAAAGGAGACTCTGGGCCCAGTATCGTTATATCTTTTCTTATAGCAGCTCTGGCCTCTGTGATGGCTGGACTGTGCTATGCTGAGTTTGGCGCTCGAGTGCCTAAAACAGGGTCGGCGTATCTCTACAGTTATGTGACGGTGGGAGAAATCTGGGCCTTTATCACCGGGTGGAACCTCATTCTGTCATATGTCATTGGTAAGTAGTCACTCTTCAAATATTCTTTTTCTCAACTGTTAAGAACTTTAAAGGTGCACTTTTTAGCTTTTCTGGTGGAGGGTCCATGAAATACTCCTCTCCTTAGAAATGCTGTTGCTTTGTCTGGAATGTTTCACAGTATGGTATTAAACCTTTCTATCTTCATGGAGACCAAACCAGGCCAAGGTACAGGTCAGATCTGTGGAGAGGTGACCCTGCTCATAGTAAGAATCCCAGTTTTTCTAGGTATTTTTGAGCAGTAAAACCTCTTGTGAATGAATAAATGTAAGGTATCTGTTTAATGTCATACTGTAAAACATCCCAGGCAGAGCAATGATGTATCCGAACAAGCAGGTGACAGACTCCCAGCCAAAATGTTTTATAGTGTACGTTTGAACCTGAATATCTACTACCCAGAATGCAAATTGAAATCTATAATTCTAAGGACAACATAGGTTTAAAAGGACACTATGTAACTTCTCTGCTTGTCTCCATGGGACATTCTTGCTTTGCCTGCAATGTTCCACAGTATTGCATGAAACGTAACTATCTGCATGGAGACAAGCAGGTGAAGTGCACCAGCCCAAGTTACAGATCAGATCTGTGGAGAATGCATTTTTTCAGGTATTTTTTTTTAACACTGACAACACCTGTAATTGAATACATGCAAGATAAATAGACAGATAGAGAAGGTAAATGTTGTTTTGTGGAATATTCCAGGCAAAGCAATAACGCTACATTGAAACAAGAAGATGGCAGACCCTTCACAACAAAAATGACACACTTGCACACACCTTAAAATTGGGACTGAACCTAAAACTCAACATGGACTACTCAGGACTTAAAGGGCCCATATATATTAAACTAAAGGTGGATGGTGTTTAAAAATACAACGGAGCACCTCCTGTATTATCACATGACATCACAAGTTGGAAGAGAGTGTTTTCAGTTTGAGAGAAGAACTCATCCTAAATATTCAGGGTTTGTGTGTTAAACATGTGTGAATGAAACAAAACATGACTCCAGGTTTGTTTGTGATGAGGAAATAACATTATAGCAGATATCAAAATGGGCCCTTGAAGCAGGACCAAACAAGTCTACAGGACAAACTATAACGGAAGCAACCAGCATTTATTCCATTGTGTAACTACTTCTGACCTTAAATCCCCCTGTTTGTTTGCGCAGGTACATCGTCAGTGGCGCGTGCTTGGAGTGGGACGTTTGATGAGATGATCGGAGGACACATCGAGAGGTTCTGCAAAACAAACTTCAGTATGAACTACCCCGGCCTGGCCCCGTACCCCGACTTCTTCGCTGTCTGCCTCATCCTGCTCCTCTCCGGTGAGATTTTGGACAAAAATTACTCAGGTTTTTATTGGGAACAAATTTGTGCAGTTTGTGATTCACTCAACTGACCGAACACAGCTGGACAGGATGTTTAGGAATCACAATGAATGCACAAAAACTCCACACCGGGCCATGTAAAGGTACTTCATATTTTATGTTCATGTTTTAAAAACAATATAATCTTAATTTCTCCATTTTTAAACAGTTTTATATACCTATACCATACCAACTTTATTTATAAAGCATTTATAAAGCACAGGTGGACAAATTGCTGTACACAAACAGAGAATAGATAACCAAAGTCAAACTCATAATACAACTACTGAAAACAATAAGACACAAGATACTCACATTAATTAACTACAAGAAAAGTACATCTCATTTATTAAAAGTCAGTGAGAGAGAGAAAAAAACTCAATAAAAAAGTTTTGTCATGAAGTACTTCTATGCTATTACCAAACACTATTCATGGCTTTTGGGTAAGATGACCAGCCACTTTGTCAGAACTTTACAGCGACATGTGGGTCTGGTATATAATACTCCTGTCTCCCTGATTGGAGTTGGACGTGATTGACAGGTCAGTTTGTGTCAAAACAAACAAGGCTGCTTAAAAAAAAGTGGAAAAATAATGCAGATGACTGAGAAACAGCCTCCTGTTATATGAACCATTTGACCACTTTTCCCTCTTTCATATATTATAATATTGTGTTTTAGATTGTCAGTCGCTATGTGGCAACTGTCCTGATTTATCATCGTTCTGAAATCCATGTAGTATCATGAGCTGTGTACAAAAATAATAGTCAATATCAAAACCATTAATAAACTTTTCAGGAAAGTTTCAGTATCAATACTCATTCCAATGAGTATCTACTGTACACTAGTATTAGTATCAGTCCATGAGTACCTAGTTATTAGTATTATTAGTATTAACATTAATTAGTTGATTATCAAGAATTTTATTGGGGAAATATCATAATAACAGTTGTAATAGTAGCAGTAGCAGTAGTAGATGCAGTAATTGCAGCTAAGTAGTTGCTGTAGTATTCAGTATTTTAAATGTATTTATAGTAATTCCACCAGACAAACAAATATTTTCCAAAGTGACCCTGATCTTTAAACCTTTGGCAGAAGAAAATTCTCACACTGTTGATTTTGTCTTGGTGCCAGTTTACACCAGTTTAAGTCAGAGTGTCAGTGTCACTGTAACTCCTGGTCCTTTCTCCTATGTATAATCCGAATGAAGGTTTATGCATTACTGTTTAAACATACCTGGAGTTGTGTTTTGTTTCATTTACACATGTATAACTCAAAAATATTCAGGCTGTGTTCTTCTCTTAAATAGAGAACCCTCTGTTCCACCTTGTGATGTCATGTGGTAATACAGGAATAATCCACTGTGTTTCAAACTCCATAGACCTTCACTAGAATTATTTGGATGATTTCAGTCCTGGAACTGCCAACTGTCTCTACAAAAGAAAAGGTTAAAGGTAGTGGACTGAAACATGAAAACTACCTCTTGATGACATCACAAGGTGGGTAGGGTTTTGAATTTTGGAGATGTAGACAGACTGATAATATAATCCTAATATAATAAAGGATTAGTCAAACATGTGTGAATGAAACAAAACACAAAACAAAGCACAACCAGGTATGTTTTAATGAAGTAACAACATTATAACATGGTTTAAAGCTCACAAGAGTCAGTTTTGCAGCTACTTTTTTCCATTTGTTTAGTAGAGATTTGCAATTCCAGGCCTGAAATAATCAAAATGATTCTTGTGAAGGTGCTTTCCATTTGAGAGAAGAACTGTAAGCTGGGTTTGTGTGTTAAACACGTGTGAATGAAACAAAACACAACTACAGGTAAATTTTTCTGAGGAACCAACCTTGTAACACAGATCAGAAAATATCACAATATGGACCCTTTAAGTTAAATAAGACTGAGATTCAGGATAAGAGTCAAGTCATCTACTTATTTTTTTTTTAAATTACTGAATTTGTACAGTATGTTCAGTGTGGTTATTCCAAACTTTAGTCATTACTTAAAATTGTACCAAATGAGAAGTAAACAAGTCTTACCATTGGTTTCCTAACTTAGAGACATAATAGTGTTTTTAGAGCTTCTACTTCCTTATTATGTGTTGGATCTGATTTTGCCAGTTAAATAATTAATTTAGTGTGACTACTGTGAGGTGGTGCAGCAAATCATCATCCAAGATCATTTCGTGTTTTGAACAGTTTTAGAGTTACAATTACTCTTTTCAGTGCTTCAATATTTTTTCTTTTTTTCTTCCAGGACTGTTGTCGTTTGGTGTGAAAGAGTCAGCCTGGGTCAATAAAGTCTTCACCCTGATAAATGTGCTGGTTCTGCTGTTTGTGATCATCTCTGGGTTTGTCAAAGGAGATGGAGAAAACTGGAAGATCTCAGAAGAATCACTCATCAACATCACTATAACGAAAAGGTATGTGCTTTTTGTAGGTGTAGCTTTGAGAAGTTTGTGAAGTGGGCGAAATGGAGTTTGAGAAGTGGGCGAAATGGAAATGGAAGGGAAACAGTTTGAATGGAGGTTTCACATAGATTCACACAGATCTGATTCCCTTTTGCATTTATGGAGCTCACAAACTTCCTAAGCCCATTTCTTGAGCTGTTTTCCGCTGTCAGGATGTGCGATGTCCGAATCCCATATCTAAAATATGACAATATCAAAACCAGAAACAAAAGCGAAATGGTTCAAAAGACTGGCTTTGTCAATGACGCATCCCACTGGAAAAACAAACATGGCGGTTTGATGCTTAATTTTTTGGAAAATCCGAATTGCGAATTCCGCATTGCACAATGACCGGAAGTCCGAAACTTGTGATGCATGTATTGTGATCTGATCTTGTGTCAATCTGAAAGTTTGGAAGTATTTTTGCACATATTGTTAATAATTTCTTTTCCGTCATTTAATGAGCAAATGATTGGTGGTTTTAAAGACTTTTCTGGTGGAGGGTCTGCCAAATGCTCGTCTCAATGGAGCTTTAATTGCGTTGCCTGAAATGTTCAACATTATGACATGAAATGTATCTAACTAGCATTTATTTAGTTACTGGTGTGTTTATATTGCTAAAAATATGCATTCTTACTGTGACCGGGGTTGCCTCTCCAGAGATCTCACCTGTAAGTTGGCCTGTTGGTGTCTCCTTCATGTCTCCATGGACACAAATAAGTTTAATGCAATACTGTGGAACATACTAGAAAATGCAATAATAACACTGTCGAGATAAGCAAACCCTCTACCATAAAAGTTTCACAGTGCACCTTTAACAAATTGAAGTTTAAACCAATACAAAGCTAATGTACCATAATTCAAATTCTAAAACCTACAGCAAGAATTTTTTTGGAGTAACATGATGCCAAAACATGTCTCAATTTCCTGTTTCTTTGATGACCACTACAAAGCTCACATTTTAACTGAAAGTACAGAATTAAAACTTGAATAGAGTGGAGTAATCACACACTTTAAAATGATTGTTTCAGGGCACAGATGCATAAATAATAGTGTAATGTTTTTCTCATAGGAACTTAACTCCAGCGGCGAACGTTACCAGTGACTATGGTGTTGGAGGTTTCATGCCGTATGGATTCAGTGGGACTTTGGCCGGAGCTGCCACCTGCTTCTATGCGTTTGTGGGGTTTGACTGTATCGCCACGACAGGTGAGGAGCAGTTGAATGTGTGACACTAACTCAGTTGGTCCGAAGGTTGGCGTTTCAAATCCCGTTCTCGACATAAACGTAACTGGTTGAACGGTCAGATTCCAGCTTCACAGGTGAATGTTTTTGTGCCCTTGGGCGAGACACTTAATCCAGCTCGCCCCCAGTGTCTGCGTACACTGGTGTATGAACAGGTAAGTGGTTCCTTGATGTAAAGTGCTTTGAAGGTGAAAAAGTGCTGTATTAAAATGTGACCATTTACCATGTGTTATCTGAAGTTTCACATTGTAAAAATTGCACATATTTGGTACATGGACTAATTTGACACAACCACAACAACACAACAACAACAACAACAACAACAACAACACAACAACAACAACAACAACAACACAACAACAACAACAACAACAACAACAACAACAACAACAACAACACCACAACAACAACAACACAACAACAACACAACAACAACAACACAACAACAACAACAACAACAACAACAACAACAACAACACAACAACAACAACAACAACAACAACAACCACAACAACAACAACAACACCACAACAACAACAACAACAACAACAACACCAACAACACAACAACAACAACAACAACAACAACAACAACAACAACACAACAACAACAACAACAACAACAACAACAACAACAACAACAACAACAACAACAACCAACAACAACAACAACAACACCACAACAACAACAACAACAACAACAACAACAACAACAACACCACAACAACACAACAACAAACAACAACAACAACAACAACAACAACAACAACAACAACAACACCACAACAACAACAACAACAACAACAACAACAACAACAACAACAACACCACAACAACACAACAACAACAACAACAACAACACAACAACAACAACACACAACAACCACAACAACCACAACAACCACAACAACAACAACACATACATTTTATATAGCACTTTTCATTGTAACTCAAAGCTTTACATTTCCAGGCAATAGAGGAAACTTTAATTAACTTTCATTCACATTGTCTTAATCCTCTAGTAATTGACTTTACTAAAAGGTGCACAATGTAATGTTTTATGCTGGGGGAATCCCTGCTTGTCTCCATGGAGATGTAAGTGTGGCATTAAACATATCTAACAAGCTTTTACTTAATTATGGGTGTTTTAATTGCTCAAATAAACATTGAAAAACACCTCTCACCTCTCCACAGATTTGACCACTAACTTGGATTGGTGGTGCCTCCTTATCTTTACCAAGGGAGATGGACAAGTTTAAAGGGCCCATATTGCTCATATTGTTATTTTCTCATCACAAACATACATACCTGAAGTTGTGTTTTGTTTCATTCACACATTTAACACACAAACCCTGCATATTTAAGCTGAGTTATGTATGTTTTTAATTAATTAATTAATCATTGCATTTATATAGCACCTTTCAAGATACCCAAGGCACTTTACAGTTCATTATTCATTCACTCAACACTCAGTGGTGGTAAGCTACTACTGTAGCCACAGCTGCCCTGGGGCAGACTAATGGAAGTGAGGCTGCCAATCTGCACCATCAGCCCCTCTGACCATTACCATCTCTCATGCATACACCACTTTCATACTGGGCAATGTGGGTGAAATGTCTTGCCTAAGGACACAACAATAGTTTTTGCCATTGGTGCCCCACTGTGGCACCTGGATTTCCCAGCGGTCTCCCATCCAAGTACTACCCAGGCCCGGCCCTGCTTAGCTTCTGAGATCTGACAGGATTAGGCTTTGACATGCCGGTATGGCCACAAAGGTGGTCACAACCTGACCACCTGTAAGGTGATAACAACATTCTAACATGGCTTAAAGTCAATTATGCGTAATATAGGACCTTTAATTTATGTCATACTTTCAGACAAATTATAACATCTCCATGAAAACAAGCAGGTGGCCAACCCTCCTCCAGAAAAGTTACATAGTGTATATTTAATAACAGAATACTCTTGACTTTTTTACCCTTAGGTGAGGAGGTGAAGAACCCCCAGAGGGCCATCCCAATTGGTATTGTGGTGTCTTTGACCGTGTGCTTTTTGGCGTATTTTGGCGTTTCCGCGGCACTGACACTGATGATGCCTTACTTCCTGTTGGACGAGAAGAGCCCCCTCCCCATGGCATTTGAGTACGTGGGGTGGGCACCAGCCAAATACGTGGTGGCAGTGGGGTCCCTCTGTGCTCTGTCCACGAGGTAAGAAACTGGAGTAAACATCTTCTATGCTGATGTAATACTGTATTTGTAAATCATGAGCATGGTAAAAACTACTGTGGTGATTATTGGGATCTTATCAGAAATTGAAAACAAAACCCCCTTCAGATCTGGCAGTAGAAATTATTAGAAAAAAGCATTAAAGGTGCACTATGTAACGTTTTGGTTGGGGGTCTGTCAGCTACTTGTTTCTATATATATGGCATTGCTCTGTAATGTTCCACAGTATGACATTAAACAGCTATATCTTACATTTATTAAATTACAGATAGTTTTATAGCTCAAAAATACCTAGAAAAACCAGGCTCTCTGACTGTGAGCGGGGTTTGCCTCTCCACAGATCTGATCTGTAACTTGGTCTGATTTGATCTCCATTGAGACACAAAGGTTTATTGTCATACTGAGAAACACTCCAGACAAAGCATTAACATCTTCAAGGAGAAAAGTATTTGATGGACCCTCCACCAGAAAATTTACACAATGCAGCTTTAACTTTTGTTTTATAAATAATGTTCATTATATTAATATTATTAACTATCCTTTTCAATACCAGTTATCCGATCCATATCCAATATGTGGTTTAACCGTCTTTATGGATTTATTTTTAATTCCACTACTGAATTAATATTTTCACAAATGAGTAATATTGACAGTTTCCATGGATACCACAGTGTTTAGAATATGTATTTACATAATCAAACATAAAATATAAAAACATGTGGGCATTCAATAGTTATTTGTCCTACTTGAACGTAAAATCTGCCTGTTTTGGACACATATTTTTTTTACACATTAAAAGTGAATGGGGATGGCCACGCTGCCTGCACTAGGTGTACAGAATATGTAGAGCATATGTATCTCTTGTAGTATTTGTGTATTTACCATAAGCACAACTTGTTTCTGGGGCAGTTATGTATAGTTTGAAAGAGCTCAGGTCCAGGACTGTCAGTTAGTGCTCTGAAATTTTATTTTGAAATCCTGGCATTTGCTGTGCTCAGCCTGTACAGACACTAAATAAAAGTCTATCCAGTCAGTTGTTTTCACTGTAGACTTTTTAAATTGGCTAAAAGCACCCAGTCCCCAGCTGCACGTCAACGCGAGCATGACCACCGGCGACTCAGACCTAAAGGCCCATCAAGCCCATCAAACCTGACTGGGCACATTTTGCCACTTTAACAAGTCTACAGTGAAAACAACTGACTGAATATAGAAGTTCTGTACTCACCTCTGTAGACTTCAAGAACATATTACATTTAAAGGTGCATTATGTACCTTTTCTAGTGGAGTGTCCCTCACCTGCTTGTTTCTATGGATATGTGATTGCTTTGCCTGGAATGTTCCACAGTGTGACATTAAGCAGCTCTACCTTACATTTATTCAATTACAGATAGTTTTATAGCTCAAAAAATACCTATAAAAACAAGCATTCTGATCTGACCTGTAACTTGGTCTGGTTTGGTCTCCATGATGATAAAAAGGTTTAATGCCATACTGTGAAACATTCCAGACAAAGCAATAACATCTCCATGGAGAAAAGCATATGACGAACCCTCCATCAGAAAAGTTACACAATGCACCTTTAAATTATGGCTACATAAATTATGGCTACAAACAGTGATATAATATTTAATGTCAGTTCATTTCTGAAGGGGCTTGTGTTTCTCAGATGGACTGATTATTTTTTTCATTGCTAAACGTTGACGCTTCTCTTGACTCTCTACTGTGATACTCTGTATTTTTGCATGTCAAATCTTAATATTGTTCAGATGATTACATTTTTGGGTTTTGTTTCCAATCAAAACAGGTTTATCAAATGTGTTTCTTCCTTGAATATTTTATACTAGCTTTGACTGACTAATGCTTCCAAAGACCATATGACCAAACTCTAAAACAAACACAATTTTAAAAGTGCACTGTCTAACTTTTCTGGTGAAAATGTCATAGGCATACAGCAAGTTTTTCACTGTATACCTCTCCACTTATGTGACCTCCTATTTATCCCTGAATAAGTAAGTTTAATGCCATACTGTGGAACATTCTGGGCAATACAGTAGCATCTCCATAGAGACCAAACTACAAGCCACACCATCCCATCCTAACCCACCTTGAATATAGTCTAAATCAGGTCTATCATATGACTAAAACAGGACTTCATAAGACCTAAAGCTGGATCTAAACCAGGACTTAACCAGTACCAAACTGCAATCTACCTAAAAAAAAAAAAAAATTGTAACCACCATTCCCCAGTCCAATTTTAATATCCTGCTTAATGTCACTGATAAGAAGTCCAGATTAGTATCAAATTAGTCTCTGATTCAATACTTGTCCTGATTTGTTTGCCACAGCTGCTGAGACTGTGGTTCCAGGTCGCGCCCTTTGGCAGGTTTTAAACTCTTATGCAATAAGAAGTCCTCCTGTTTATTTTGAACCGAGAAGCAGAGACTTATGAGTTCAAAATATTCCCCTAGCGACCGCCCACGCCCTCTTCTCTCAACAATAACTGTTTTCTACAACTCAGAAATGCCTCAAATAACAGCGCACTAAAACACACAACATTTTTTTGTACAGCATTGGTCCCTTTTTAGGTGGATGCATCAATCATACATCGTTTTGAATATAACTTTATGTTACTAAGCTAACTAACATAACTTTTCTAGTGAAGGGTCTGCCACCTGCTTGTCAAGTGTTGCAGGTGTTGGTGATCGTAGGGAAGGCAGATGGCGCAGATTGACAGCCTCTCTTCTGTCAGTCTGACCCAGGGCAGGTGTGGCAAAAGTAGTAGTTCAGCACAGTCGAGTATGAATGAATAATCCAAGGAATTGTAAAGTGATTTTGAGTGTTTGGAAAAGCGCTATATAGGACTAAAGCGTTAAAGTAATGACATGTGCATGGAGATAAACAGGTGTTGTTGACCCTACCCTCCATCAGAAAAGTTACATAGTGGATCTTTAACTAATATATGACTTCATTAGACTCAAGGAAGAAACACATTGCTAATCATTTGTATTGCTTGTGTGTAATTGGGACTAATGTGTATTGGCTTGTGCATGTGTTGCTGCAGTCTGCTGGGCTCCATTTTCCCCATGCCTCGTGTAATCTATGCCATGGCCCAGGACGGGGTGCTTTTCAGAGCCTTAGCCCGAATCAATCCCAAAACCAAGACGCCCCTAATCGCCACTATGAGCTCCGGGGTGGTAGCAGGTGAGAGAGCGGGATGCTAAAACTCACTAAACCTGTGTCACAAATAATCTTGTTTTTTTCCTTCTATTTCAAGGTTAATTTTGGGATGCCATTTTTTTTTTTTTTTGGTTCAAAAAGCAGCTTAAAATTAACTCAGAGTTCAGAACAGCTGCCAGGGCAATAAGCTCTCTGATTGGTCAATCCACTAATTCAGAGTTGTCATTATCAGTGAAATATCAATGCATGAGTAAATAAATGAATCAAGTGTAAGTAATGTTAATTTCTACTTTGGCAATCATGAATTTATACTTTTAAATAAAAAAACAACCTTGAATATACCATTACAGTTGCCATATTAAAGGCTTAAAATGCCCTAAAACTCCAGAAGCAACTAACCAACAACTAACTAAACGAAACGAACGAACAAAATAAAAACTAAAAGCTCTGAATAGGTGAACATTTGTCTGAACTCAACCCTGACTTAACTTTCAAACTCTGAGTTGTTTAAACCTGCTTACATGAACCAGGACCAGTGCATTTAAACCCTATGTCTGTATATGTTTAACCTGACCCTCTCTCCTCTAGCCTGCTGGGCTCCATGTTCCCTCTGCCCCGTATTCTCTTTGCCATGGCACGAGACGGTATTCTGTTCAAATTTATGTCCAAAGTCAGTAAGCGCCAGTCACCTGTAGCTGCCACCATGATGGCGGGTACCACAGCGGGTAAGCTCAACATGAGAGGGGCACGGCTCTTCACCCATGCCACTTCTACTGGGGTGAATTGTGGACTTGTTGGTGATTGTAATCAAGTATTTTGGTGGTGGTTGCATGCAGAGATTGGTGTCAAAGTGCATGTTGTTTTATTGATGGATATGTCAGCCTCGGCCTTAATTTCAGACTTAAAAATATAGTATGTAACTTTCTGGGGGTGGCATGTCAACTGCACGACTCCATGGAAATAGAAAGTTAAAACATTAGAGCATACTGTCAAAGATTATAACCAGGAACAATATTTCCATGGAAACAAGCATAAAGAGGCCCTCCTCCAGGCCAAATAAATCCAGTTTGTGGAGATGCAAAACTGATCTGATCTGGGAGATACTGATGATGAGTGCAGAGCTTTATGAACATGTTATTTGTTCATTTTTGTTTTAAATATGTCTGCATGCTGAAGGCACTTAAACAACTTAACAGCCATTTAAAAGTGTGTTTTAACATGTAAAAGTATATTTATGTGTTTGCTCATAAAATATAGAAATGTCACTCAGTGTTTGACAATGTTAAAGTAAGTATTTGCTCACTCCCAACACAAACTTGCAGTTCCAAAATTAAAATGGCTGTTAAGTTGTTATAGTGTCTTCAGTATTTGTACTGGCCTGGTTTAACGCCCATCTATTAAACCACCTGCCCTTGGTGTAAATGGGACTATACATTTTAAAATAGTATGATAGGAATAGGAACAAACTGAAACAAAGCTGTAGTTCGCAAATTGATTTTTCACTTTTGTAAAAACAAATTAAAGATACCCTCTGTACTGTAACTTTCTTGTGGATGGTCGACTATTTGTGTGTCTGTGTTTTTAATGCTCAAAAATATACATTAAAAAACATGCATTATTACTGTTCCATAAATCTGTAACTTGCCATCACCTGCTCATCTCCCTGGAAAAAGTAAAGTTTACTGTGGAACATTATAGGCTAAGCAATAACATCTTAAGCAGGAGACAAGCATGAGACATGCAGATGATAGACCCTCCCCCAGAAATGTAACATAGTGTACCTTTAAAAATGTATCTGAGATTTAATAACTTGTTGTGTTTGTATGATGCTGGTGTAACCATACAAGAAAATATCAGACAGAACATTATGGACATTTAGAAACATATGGGAGCCCTGATTTTGCATTTGTTATTAATCATACATATTGTTTTACTCTTTTATTACACTACTAACTGTATTTCCATTGGTTGCCGTAGCGATCATGGCGTTCCTATTCGACCTCAAAGCCCTGGTTGATATGATGTCGATTGGGACCCTGCTCGCCTATTCACTGGTGGCCGTCTGTGTCCTCATCCTCAGGTCAGTACACTTTAAAACTACATGAATACTTTCAATATTTTACCATTTGAAAAGTACATTGTATTTTATGTGTTTAAAGTAAAAACACATTCTATTCATGAGTTTCCTGTTATAGGTGACAGTGTGAGGGTTTTTCACTAATCAAAAGATATAATAACTGGTTTTAAATAGTCAATTGCTATGACAACTTTGCTGAATTTTCCTGAATTGTGAAAGACATGGATGTTCTGCAGTTATTTCCATAGTAATTTGACCCTGTATTTTATGATAAATAATAATCCATCTGCAAAGCCCAGTGAGTTTTTGGAATACAGACAAGGTTTATACTTGTTATAATATTTGAAAACAAATTTTGTGATATTCCCCCTTTAACTCATTTTTATGTGTCAATTTTGTTCTGAGCAGGCATCTGCATTGGCTTTGTTGTATTCTACTGTAGGAGAATGCTTTGGTTAATTTAAAAGCACTGCCTGTGTGGGTAATGCAAGTACACACCAGTAGAGGTGCCAGGAATATAGAATTTTGAATGGACCATGACAGAACTGGCTGGGTTTGTGTTCCTTACACTCCACATGCACGTACATCCCTCTCATGCATGTGCATCCCTGTAAGCCCATGCACGTGCACACTCGTTTTTAGTTTCCTCTGTGTTCCTCCTTTCGTTTTCCTCCCATTACGCAGCAGACCAGTGTCTATCTCATGCGCTCCTCATCCCACAAAAAACCCGCTGACCACTGCTTTCCCCCTGGTCACACTAGCTCCCATCTGTTCCAGCAGTTCACTACCATGGACTGGTAGACAAGTGTCCACTGCTGCTCCTGCTGACTTCTCACATTCTCGTCTCATGGATGTCCACTGCGTTTGGTCCCACAGAGGTGGATGTCTCGCGGATTATGGAATATGTTTATTGTCATATAAATGTTTCTGATTTTACTACTTTAAGCACAGACTTGGATTAAACCATTAACACGCAGGGAGGGTGACTGCACAACCTGCATTTGCCTGCACAAGTGACTGTTATATGCCATGAGTACCCAGAGCAAGATGCACAGTTGTCTGTACAGAGCTGAGCTGAGCTGAGCTCATGTGCATTATAGGTCTTGGTGCACGATCACCCCGCACAGCACACCAACATGTTATGAATGTTAAGCATTTAACATTCTAATATATTTCCAGATAAAAGAAGCCTTGAGCATGTTACACATTGTTTCTCAGTGGCATAGTTTGATATTTATTTTTACAATTCTGGCAATTCACCTAACGCCCCACACCTCGCCCTCAGTCTACTAAACTCCACCCGATATTCAAGCACACCTCTTGTTCAAAGCTCCACGCCCCACACTTGTGCTAGTGCTAAAACCAGGGGCAAAATCGAGCCTTATTTCTCTCTAACCAATGTCAGTGTGATGTTTCTCAGAAGATGGTGTAAATGCAGAGGGCTTGTGGCGTAGAGGGCACTCCCATCTCTAATGCTGACAACAGATACAGCGTGGTTCTTTGGAAAATCTTTTCCTGTTCTTTCGATTGGCTCTCCTCCCACATTTGTTCTGCTTACATGCTGGCTGATGAGTCTGTGGTTGTTTGAGAAATTGTGACTCCAGCTGGTGATTTTTATTCTCATGTCTTTGGGTCTTGACACTTGTATGACTATTTGTTTTCTGATAGCCTGTATGCTCAGAGGTGTGAAAGTACCCATCAGGGGCATGAATAATGATGCTATTATGACTCAGGCAGAGTTCCCACTTAATGCAGTACAACAGACCAAGCTAATAAACAGAAACTGTAGTAGGTGTAGTTACAGTGTATTTAGCTCCTCCCTTCAGGCAGATATAAGGTAGTGTCCACCAGCGTCTGACCAGAACTGAAGAAGCAGCTTGGATGAGCTCCGAAACATATTCGATCAAAAAACTTTTGAATTTAATTTCTCCTTTGCTATGGGTCCTACCTGGATGACTGCAGGATTACACGAACATCTTTTCACAAACTACATTTCCATCACAATATCTTCCAACTCTTTTTATCGGGAGTGATGAGCAAAACAAAATATTCTCTGGCTTGGTTTGTGCCTGAATTGGCAACAACTTGTATTTTTAATTTCAGTTACAAAATAAAAAAATAAAACTGTTGGGACATTAGCAATCAAAGTTAAATCTACAAACGTACACACATCAGTAAGGATAATGCTGGGAGATCTTATTGCTTTGCCTGCAATGTTCGACAGTACAGCATTTAACCTATGTATTACGCATTGATTCAATAACGTTGTTTTAAAAAATCATCCAAATGATTCTAGTGACGCCGGCGGTGTGTGGAGTTTGAAAAACACAGTGGAGCACATAATGTATCACCACATGACGTTGAAAGGTAGAAGTGTTTTCAGAGAAGAACTTAGCCTAAATTTGCGATGTTTGTGTGTTAATCATGTGTGAATAAAACAAAACACAACTCTAGGTATGTTTGTGATAAGGATTATAACATGGATCAGAAAAAAGCGTAATATAGACCCTTTCAGATACACTGTTGGGCAAGTTACTTTAAAACTGTAATGCGTTATTTATTACTTATTACTGTCATTTCAAAGTAATTCGTTACATTACAATATTACTGCATTTAAAATGTAAGGCATTACATTACTATTGCATTACTTTAAGTTACTCTCACCAAAATAACTGCGAAAAAGCTGAACTTTTGAGCCGTATATGGACTGAACCAGGACTAAACAAGGTCTAAACCACGACTAAACCAGAGCTGAACCAGGACTAAACCAGGACTATAACAGGACTAACCTCAGACTGATTCCAGGACTGAAGAGGAGAACTAAACCAGAACTGAACTAGGACTAAAACAGGACTCACTGTCAGGATGGGCTCGATGGTGACCGCAAGAGAAAGGACCGGCTTTGCTCCGCACCTCACGGAGGTAAGAGCGGCTGTCGCCCGATCGCTCTTTATGGACCCTGCAGCTCAGGCTCACGGTCCTGATTTCAGCAACTATTTGCGGGTACAAGACCCGGTGCAAAACTCTGCTACAGCGCGTAACTTCTACCTTCCTTCAACGTGTCCAGAAGTCCAACTTTTTGTGCGATGGTTTGCATCGTCCTCTGTCTTTTGGGTGTGAGCGCAGGAGACTTTGTCGGTGCAGAACATTTCGTCGACGTTGTGGATTTTGTCGGAGAGAAAACTTGCAGACATACAGCACTTCAGAAGCACACTGCTAGAGATTGAACATGTATTTAAATTTGGCAGCTGAACATATTCTGTACTGTACTGTTCAGGAGACAGGAGTCCCTTAGCCGATCAGGACACAGCGGGAGGAACGCAATACGTGTTCATACACTAAAAACAAAAGGCATGCAAAATTGCACAAAAAAAAAAATTCTAAAAATCAGCGAAACAGCGAGACCGCGAAAAGTGAATCGCATTAGAGCGAGGGGCGACTGTAAACCAGGTCTAAACCAGAAGTGACCCAGGTCTAAACCAGGTCTAAACAGCGTAGAGTTCTGGGTCGGTCCTTTCACCCGCGGTTAACTGAAGGTCTATCCGGCCGCGTCTCCGGCGTTTCACCACTGCTGATTTCACGGTGATTTTAGCGAATTTCTATGAAGAAAAACCCAGCACTTCAATCCAGGTTAAAAAAGCATTGTAACGCGCGTTACTCACATTTGTACCGAGTAAAATATTACAATTTTTCCCCCTGTAATGCCTTACATTACTTCGTTACAGCAAAAATCAACGCATTACTGTAATACATTACTTTTATAATACATTACTCCCAACACTGTTCAGATATGAGCGTGTTGTATTTGAAATGCCTGCCCTGCCTCTGTGCCCTGTGTTGTGTTATGTTACTGGTGTAATAGTTCTGAATGAGCCTTCTGTGTGTCTCTAAATCTGGTTAAGAGTTTGAGATGTTTTTGAGACTTGTTTGCTCAGGTTTGCTTGGGTCTTAACTCTGGACCTTTTCACAGTGCACTAATGGCCCCAAGATCTATTTCAGGTGAGGAATAGTAAACATGTTTTTGAAGAGAGAGTGCTTCCTGTTTCCAAAATACACATGTTTGGGCCAATATAGCAGGTAGCATACATCTAAAAACATATACCAGGTGTTTGAATGTTATCAGCAGTCAGTACGCATATGCAATTTAAGTCAGCTAATAAGGCATAGGGCTGATCTTCATGATTCAAAACCAAGCTTATATCAATTAAAGGCAGTATGTAACTTTTTGCTTATTTATGGAGATGTTATTGCTTAACCTTCATAGCATTAATCTTGTTTTATAATCCAGTGTTATCTTAAAAAAAAATATATATATATATATATATATATATATATATATATATATATATATATACATACATATATATAAATGGTAAATATTTCATCTGTTTGACTACATGTTCTTTTATTGAAAGTCTGTGACTTAATTTGGCGTTATCCTGCAATGGAACAAAAAGAATCCTGAAGAGTTTCATAGTGGACCTTTCACAATCCTGTTGCTGTAGTCATATATATGTAGCATTATGTACACACAATTTCTTACTCTAACTGCATCTAACATTTTGTGAACTTCATGACCTTTGCCCTTCGCCCCTCAGGTACCAGCCGGACGGGGTCTTGGAGCGACGGTCCGGAGCAGGGGAGAGGGACTTCCTGTCTGAGTCTGACCTCACAGAGTCGGAATCTCACCTGAACATGTTAAAGGGGGCGGGGTCAAGTCTCCAGGCAGCGCTCCAGCCCCCCTCCTCCCCCTCAGAGCAGTCCTCCTCTGTGGTCAACATGTCTGTGGGAATACTGGGTAAGAACACAGCCACGGCATCATGCCGATTTGTTTCATTTATCAACTAAACCTATCTACTGCCTGCTGCAAATTTTACTAGACTACTATAAATATTTGTGATATGTGTTTTATTTCAATATCGATTCCATTTCCTTTTGTTTTTCTAAGTCCTCTCAAAATACATCTTTGCAATAATTTTAATGATCGAAACACAACCCAATTCCTATTTTTGTGATGTTTTAATCGAAGTATAATAAATGAATAATTACACATGA